GTTAAGCATGATTCGGTTCGGTTTTCGATTAACCAAAGTAGAAAAAATAAAAACCGAAACCGAACCAAAATTAATTCGATTAATTCGGTTTGTAATCAAATTATTTCGGTTCGGTTTTGAAATAATTCGGTTTAACCGAATTTTTTCATTACTTCTCCATTTCGGACTTTAGACAGCTTCTCCCAAAAATTTCATTTATTTTTTCTTTGCCTAAGCTGAGTAATTAGCAATGCCGAGCTAATAAGTAACCACTTTCTTTTCTAAAAAGAATTCAACACCAAAAAAAAAAAAAATTCACAATTAAAGTCAAATTTAAACACCCAACAATCCAACATGTTTAACATTCATATATCGAAAAGGAAATAAGTCATGCAAAATAATTGTTGATGAAACAAAGATCCATATACAATACAATCGATATTAAACAACAAAAGCATGGTAGAATGTCCGTTCTCATTTCTCAACAAAGAGGACAAGACACGAGCTCTCTTCTTGTCCTAAAACAAACGATTTACGTGCATTTGCAATACCTTTACTCCTTCGGGATCCGCAATAAAATGAAATCCCAACAAACACTCAAACTCAATGCTCCCGAAAGAGGATATTAACATGCTACGAAAATCAAAGGCGGTAGACCTACGCCTATCATTGGTAGGTAGGAGACACCAAGGCGAGTAAGCCTACTTGCCCATTCGTCGTAAGCCTACGCACGTGGGCATGAGGCGATAGGCTACTACCTACTATGGTTCTCTTCTCTAGTTCAATGAAAATGAAAATTTACAATTCCCACTTACCGACTAAACTTGCACAAACAACGAAATAAAAAATCAAACTTAGAAAGTAGAAACTTAGTAACTTATACATACAATTCATCACGCCAAAACATCATCAAGTCATCAACCCATCAAGATTCAACCATTTGTAATAGAGGTAGTGGCAAGTGGTAACTCCGAAAATATAAGATAAAAAAATTAAACTTTTAATATTAATATAAAGGAAAGAAATAACAAATGAAAAGGTAAGAGTTATAGAAATTACCATTTTGCATTTTCTCAACATCTTGTAAATTTTCTTCAATAATAATTGGTGTCGATGAATTTTTAATCCAATCTTGAGCACATATAAGAGATTCCACTAAGCTAGGAGTCAAAGAACTCCTAAAGTAGTCAAGAACCCTTCCTCCGAGTGCTAAATGTCGATTCCGAGGAAACGAGTAGAAACAGGAACCGCCAATATATCCTTAGCCATTTGTGAAAGGATGGGAAACCGAGGAGAATTGGTTTTCCACCATTCTAAAATCTTAAAATCAGCACTATTATTTTCAGCACCTTCACAAAGATATTTATCCAACTCCGTTTTATTTCCTCCACCTCCAATATCACACTTGTATTTTTCAAAACGCATCATTATCTCTCTTTTTATTCTAATTTCTTCTTCATCAATCATTTCTTCATTTGCACAACCCACATCTATTTTTCGACTCCCACTACCTTGGCCAATTTCACCTTGAGATGTTGACGAACGACAATAGAAATCATACATAGCATACATAGATTCCTTGACAATATTTGACATTCTTTGACCCTCCAAATCACCATACAATTTATTGATTGAAAATTCAATAAATACAAGTTTATGCCTAGGATCAAGTATTGTCGCAATATAAATCAACTTATTCATTTTCTTAATATCCCCCCAATACTTCTCAAACTTTTCTTTCATTTTATTGGCCAATGTAAAATCATCTAAATCCCCACTTCGTTGCCATTTTTTCAAAACATGTTCGAGAGCATAAATCTCTTCAAAATAAATATTTGAAGTCACATACAAAGAACACGAAACACGCAAAGTGAGATTGTAAAAAATTTTCAACATGCCTACCAACTTCTTACAAGACTTCCAATCATCAACATTAGGTGGCCCAACAACATTATCACCATGATCTACATCAAACTCACTCCTATATAAAGGATCAATTTGCTCATATCTCTTAAAAGCTCTCTCAAACTTTAGAGCTGACTCTAAGATCAAGTATGTTGAATTCCACCTAGTAGCAACATCTAGTTGTAACAAACTCCTAGAATCAATTTTTTCAAGTTGTATGCATTTCTTAAATCTTTTCAACCTAGCTGGAGATTGCCTCACAAACCTAACGGCCGATCGAATACGAACGATTGAAGGATTAAAATGTTTTAACCCATCAATAACAACTAGATTCAAAGTATGTGCCATACACCTCATATGAATGAATTCACCATCTAAGATGCTATAACCTCAATTCTTAATCACATCTTTTAAGTGCCTAATTACCACATCATTCGAACTCGCATTATCAACCGTAACACTAAAAACCTTCTCAATTCCCCAATCAATCAAGCATTTCTCAATGGCAATACCTAAATCTACTCCCTTATGACTATCAATCGGATAAAAATTCAAGATCTTTTTATGCAACTTCCAACATTATCAATAAAATGAGTCGTTAAACACATGTAATTGATTTTTTGAATAGATGTCCATATGTCCATAGTAAGGCTAATTCTTTGACTATTTTGGTTCAAAAATTGCTTCAAATTTATTTTCTCATCTAGATAAATTTGATAGCAATCTCTTAAAATTGTAATACGAGATGGAATCTTGAATCTAGGTTGCAAATTAGACAAAAACTTTTTGAATCCTCTACCCTCTATATGCTTAAATGGAAGCTCATTTAGAATGATCATTTCAACTAAATCTTTTCTACTAACATTTTGATCAAACTTCCATGTGGTAAGATTACTTTCTCCCGCTTCAAGCTTTCTTAGGTCTAATTGAGTTTGGGTAGAGTCAATACAACTAAAAGGGTTTTTTTTGCAAGTCAAAACATAAGACCTAAGTGAAGTTGTCCCATTTTTTGAAGGATCACAAGCAAATACCTTATCACAATAGTTACATTTAGCCTTCATGTTTTTCTTGTCATCTTCAAACTTTGTGAAATGATCCCACACCATCGATCTTGGCTTCATTGATTTCCTCTTCTTTCCTTTGCCACTGTCTTGAGTGTTACTTCGAGTTGCACTTGATTGTGGATTAGGATTGCTTGAATCCATAGTTTCATAATTCATCTCTATGGATTGAGATTCCGACATCTACATAAAAAACATAAGAAAAGGAGTATTAAGCTTCATAGTTCACACTCCTTAGTCCTTAAGCTTAAGCCAAAAAAAAAAAAAAACAATCTAGCTAGGCGGGAGGCACCAAGGCGAGTAGGCTTTCATAAAAATTCTCATAGAATCGAGAATGAAGTTTTCATTATGTACATGCCAAATCATGAATTAGTAACTGCATCCAATCTCCAAAAAAAATCTCAATTGTTTCGAACTTTCTCTTTTTTTTTTAATGGAATATTTACGGAATCCCCTAAATAGCCAAATAGGATCAAACCTTATTCCATATTTCCATGGTATTTACCTCTTTCTTATTCTTATTCAAGTCTCCGAGAGGGCTTAATTGATCCATGATTTATGTTTCATCTTTCGTTTTCTTTTCATTTGTTTCGAGAAATATAGCGATCCTTGCCTCTTTGGATCTGTTGAGAACGGTCCTACTTTTCTAGTTTGTACAAGTCTTTTTATTTTACTCATTACTATTATTCCAGATACAACATGCCAACATGGTATGGGATTATTTAGACTACAAGAGCAAATCATATTACGGAGCAAGATTTGGTAAGTAATGGTTAACAAATTGGAATTCATTTATCAACGATTTTTTTCTTCCATTTGAATTCATTTCAATAATTTCAAGGACTTATGTAAAGTTGTATAACTTATATTTGCTAGAATATATACAAGTGAGCGATAACGATGAGGCCTACGCCTACTCGGCTGCACGGCGGTTGGCCTACTTGCTCGAACAACCGCCAACCCATGAATCAAAAACTCCTTGGGATCAAAATCCAAGCATTACAAATCCAAAAACAACAACCTCGATAAGCAACGCAAAACCAAAAACAAAAATGTATCAACGACTCTAGCTTTCACATATTTTCGCCCCAAATGAAAAACAGGAACAACCATATGGTCCATATCATCTACAATTCATGAAAATAAACAGAACCCAAAAGATCACATTAATCTCATGACTAGCATGGTTAAGACAAGATAATTATAAAAGAAAACAAATATACAATGCAACAAATTATCAAACTGACCTATCCTTTTAATGTTGAAAATAAGATCTTCTTGTTTTCTTGATTGGTGAGACGAGAGAAAGAGTGATAAATATGGTTTGAGGCGGTGGCGAGCGAGGCGAGCGGCAGCGCAGCCACGACGAGGGACTTCGGGCGAATCGAGCCTATGTAGTGGCGGCGGCGGCGAGGCAATGGCGAGGGAGGCGGCGAGGGACTTCGAGCCTAGCGACGGCGAGCGAGGCAACGGCCAACAAGGGAGCGACGGCGACTCAGCGAGGCAACACCGCAACAGGCCAACGGCGGCCGAGCGGCGAAGCGACGGCGGCGGCGACGAGGACTTAGGGAATAGGGAGTTAGGGTTAGGGATTTGTCGATTTTAGTTATTTGGAATTGGAATTTGGAAATGAGAAGAGAAATGGACAAATCGGTGAAATCACAAATGGTAAAAAGCTCGAAATGTAATCGAAATTTTGGTTTTCGGGTTAAACCAAATTTTTTTTTAAAAACCGAACCGAACCGAAATAAATTTTGGTTTTTCGGTTCGGTTATAAATAGTAAATTTTAAATTCAAAACCGAACCAAATATCTTAATACGGTTCGGTTTGATTCGGTTTTCGGTTAACCGAACCGTTTGCACACCCCTACATGTCAAGTTATATAAATGAGATGTTTTCTATGTGGCATAAAGTATCTCATTTTGATAAATAAATTTAAAATTATTATATTATGATAAATAAAATTTAAAAGCGTCTTGTTATGAAAAAAAACTCCATTGTTTGCTGAGATGAGCGACGACGTAGTCGTTGTGGCTTTGGACGCCCATGTGAGCATGTTTTATGGCACAACGGGTGTTGGGCTCAAGTGCCTAGACCCACTTTTCTTCCTCATGAACCCTCTACCAAGTTACACTATTCGGTTGCTTGATGTCGTATCTGGGCTGTCCACATATCAAGATAGTGAAAAATCAAGACTTGCCATTGCCAATTATGTGCAGGGTGAGATTGGTAAGGCGTTGAGTTTTGAGTGCACAAAGCTTACAAGAAGAGACAAATACTTGATTCTTAGCTCAGAACTTATTTTATAAATTAATTTTTTAAAAATATTTTTTAATTTAAAATTTTTAATTAAAAAAATAAGGATCAAAATGAAACAGAAAAGAAGGTTCAAAATTAAAATAAAAAGATTTACGAACTAAAAAAATAATGTTTAAAAAAAGATAAATTAAAATATAATATCATGAAAATTTTTATAATAAATATTTTTAAAAAATTTAAAAATTATAAAAATTTTACTACATATTAAAAATAAACAATACACACGATTTTTTATGAATAATATAAATAAACGTGGATGAACACTTAACAGAGTTTTAAATAGTATTAGTAAATGGTAAACAATTGCTTTATTTTAATTGTTTTAATAACAATACTAGTAATAGCATAATCAAACTATTTTTTTAAAAATAATTTTATTTATTCTGCCTCATCTGTAACACAACGCACGCAACAAATTTAATTATCCAGCTAAAAGGTGCTAGCTTTACTTTCTAATGACAATTTAGTCAAAGGTTGAAACTGATACAGCCAGTGGATAAAAAGTTAGAAAAGGTAGATAACTCACAAAAAGAAAATCCTTTGTGTGATCTGAAGGTGTTGAAGTAGTCAATCCCTTATCCAGAAAGAATCCTCAGCCCCAATCTCAAAGACATGGGATTTATCATATTCCCTTTTCCCGCCATCCCTAAACTTCGCTCCTTCCTTGTTGCCCTGCCTTCTTCTGAAAAAACAACACAAGGAGAAGATAGATAAAACCAATGAGGTTCTCCTTATCGCTATCCATTCCAAAATGTCAGAATATCACCATTACTAATGTCCCTTGCTCGATCATCAAAAATAATAGTCCCCACCTCCCATTTCGCGCGCTACTTGCTCTCTCTCTTTACCCAATTTTGTCTAATTCAAACCCCATTTTTCGATCACCCAGATGTTATTTGCCTCTGCCCACTAATGTTTTTATAACAAGATGTCAGTCTTCTTCAACTCCACAAAACAGTCAAGAAAATGATGACGAAGAAGAAGAAGTGCTTGTTCAAGACCTTAGGGTTCCTCACCATTGGTTGCTCCCTTCCAGGGCCCTGGAAGTAGGTGCCAACTTTTGTATGTTGGAGATAGAATAAGAATAGTATATGGGTTTTGAATTATGTACATGTGGTGATGTGCAGGAATCGAAGTGGCTCGAGGTTACCCTGCACAAATGGTTGGATGATGAGTACTGCCCTGAGCAAACCAATGTTGAAATCAGCAAGGTTGCTGCTCAATCATATTATGAGTCTTTGCTAGAGAAACAAACAGACCTGGGTGTCATCTTGTTGAACATGGCTAGAAATCTGGAGTCTATTTCCTATAAAGAAAGCTTTCATGGGGCATTTTCATCAGCAAATGCAGCTGTGAACTTGATTGTCCAACGGATAGAGCTTCAAGGTGAAAATTTTTGAGTGTTTTAAATACCAATGGTTTTGTACTGCAGGTCACTGTTGCTTATCTATTTGTCTCTTTCCTTTTTAGTTTTTGCAACTCTATGGAAATGGCAATCTTTGCAGATAGATACACAAAAGGAAGAAATAGAATGGGAAAAATATGTTGTAATTGGAAGAACTACAATGTTCTAAGTTGCAATTGTTTCCAGTTTGAATCTTAAAACTCTACTTTCTTGTTTTTGTATTGTCTCGACTTTCTTAAATCTAGCAAACAATAGGATGTTTGAGCTTTGACTAAAGAGGGAGAATAGTTATTGGGCATGCGTCAAGTTTTATGCTTTGGCCCCAAAATTCCCATGATAATGGCCTGTGGTTTAGTATGTATTTGTTTTCTAGATTTTAGCATTACTATTAAACATCCTTACCTTGAGGTATTGATTGGTGCATTAGTTGGCTCATTTGTAAATTATTGATAATTCTGAATCTAAACTGGGCAATCGTGCTACCTTTGCTTCAGTTTTAGGAATAATTACTGCCAGTCCTCTGGTGGGAAAATGGTGTTTTGTCGAGTGAGGAAGGAGAAATGAGAACTATTATGCGCTCAGGAATCCCAAATTATTAGCATAGGTCTGTCTTTTGATCTCTGATACAGCACAAGGCCAGTTAAAGGCAGAAAAATGCAGGTTCAGAAGCAACTCGTTTAAGCCACCAACTCCTACCTATGTTTGTTCTCTCGAAACACATTGTTCAGCACCAGCTTCCCTTACTTCTCTTAAGCAACCTGCCATGAGAAAAAATTATTAATCTAGAAGATGATAAAGTTTTTCGATAAATAACAGCTAGGTGTCTCTTATTCTCAAGCCATTTCCTTAGGTAGTTCCTGTCTTCCTGATGATGTTACCCCAACAAGCCGCACCTGGTTTTGATAGGAAAGTGAATGTTTAGTTTCTAACCAAATTTGTGCAGGCCAATCTAATTTATGTATTTTGCCTGAACTTTGTCAGCACCAGTGTTTCCTATGATAATCACTCATCTACTTCTGAGATGATTTGATTAGCAAACAAACCCTGCTACTCAATAGAAAGAGAGGAAGTGGTGGGGTTGGTTACCTGGTGCAGAAGCACGCTATTTGCTTCTAATGAATTTAGGGAATGCTATTGTCTGTACCAGTGTTACCAAGAGCATGGTTTGTTCTAGGTTATGGTACGAGTTTGGGATACACAGTATGCACATACATTAATTTGTGGTATGGCGGGGTAGGCTTAGTCGGTAGTTTACTATGGATCATGAAATGGTTTGAACCACCTATCTGGGTCATTCCTAAGAGTTGAATCTGGCACTGGGAAAGTCATTAGGCATATTATGGTTCTTTTTCAAGTATAATACCCAGTCAATAGACCAAGGATCTATTTAGCCCTATTGGGAAGACATGCTTATCTCAGAATTAACCTTTACCTGCTTTTCTAGGATAACATGCTTGCCTTTTCTAATAGTAAGCTCTTTACTAAACACTTCTACCTTAAAAGTTGGACAAAAGGTTGCTTAGCTTATAAAGACAACAGGGCCAAACGAAGCCCAAGTGTTGTGGTAGTTAGAAAGGCAAGAAAAAGAATGCCTAGGAAGCTGCCATCATTTAACACCCCCCCCCCCCCCCCCAAAAAAAAAAAAAAAAAAAGAATGATGGGAAGTCAGGTTGCCTATTTGGGTGGTTTGGAATGCAAATGTACCATGAATCTGGATCATGATCACGTTCCAGGGGCTAGCAAGATCCTGGTAACTCTGGTCTTTACAGTGCTCATACATGTTGCTTCATCCTCTTCTCTCAAGCTTGGCAGTGATACTTTCAGGAACATTAGGGGATGCTCCTATGCATGTTATTCTCATTAGGGTAAACCTCTCTTCTATGGATGGAAAAAGAAAATTCTTTTGGGCATTGCATCTGTGAATGCGCGTCAGGAAGAAATGTCGAATCCTAGGATTAGGATAAACTCCCACAAAATTGGAATCATTCACGGGTGAAGTTTAACGCTGATAGTCCTGATCAACATAATTAAGGTAGCTAGACCAGAGCTAAAACTCACCCAAATATTAGTCAGTAGTCGCTGAATAACTTGTGTTTTTTTATTCTTCTTTTGATAAACTGAAACTTAGTTTTGGGCTACCATTCTAGTGGTTTAGAGCAGGAAAAATGACTTCAGGATAATTGTAAGAAGGGAAAAGCTAATTTCGTGACCTTATTTTTTATTTTTTGAAGTTATCTAGGGTATCAAACTTTGTAGCAGTTCATTGAAGTCATTATGTTAATGTGCTCATCGACTAATGCTTCAACCATTGACTTTGCGAATTACTTTTGACCGTTTTTGTTGGGTTGAGGGGAGTGCACAATTGGAAGAGCTGAATGCCACCAACTTGCGCCCTGGCTTCTCTTCTGGAAGCTCTTAACATTTACTAAATCAGTTTGATAAGAGACATGAACGATCACGGTTTTCTGATAACATCTCTCTCACTCTTTGCCACATCTTCTGTATCCGTATTTTTGTAAACATTTGGCCTCACACTCACATTCTTACCCTAAGTTTGGATACTCAAAACAGTTATTATATGTTATTGGTTTCATCGACATTTTTAGGAATTTGAATGGTAAAGCGTGACTTGTAACAGAGGTACATGTGCGGACTGATGCATATGTTCAACTAGTGAAATGTCTAATGATATGGACAAGTGGAGCTCTAACACCTGTGATGATAGTTTGGAGAATATACCCTTTCTGATGATCCGTTTAGTCATAAGTGGCTCTTAATGTTTCAATGTAAAACTAACACGAAATGAATCTTCTATCATTCTTAAGAAAGCTAATGGCTATTGTTCAGTATGTTAATGGATGATTATTTGTGAAGGGATCAGTAAAGAAAGAAAGAGGGTTGACAGACTTTTACTATGAATGTTGGCAAATGATTAGTCTCTGGTGTTTGTCTATGGTTTCTCTTTCTCATGTGTGCATGCTTGCAGTTGGCATTACTAAACAAAGGTGAGGTGGGTTCCTTTACAGCATATGATTCGCCTAGGAATCCTTTCTCTCCCCGTCTTCTAGGAGTTTTGAGATTCCCCATTGCATTTGATTATCAAAAAGTTCTGATTGAGCTTTGTAAAGATAAGTATCAAGTATTGGTTCATCACATTTACATATAAAATATTAGATATTGTAACAGAATATCAGATATTATAATGAGCAGTAGGACCTGGCATTATTATAGGGATCATAATGCCAAGATTTTCTTAGACACGAGAAAAATTAACATTGTTATAAAATTTATTATTGCTCAATTTACTTTTCAAATATTTGAGAGTACAAACAGAGCAGATTGTTGGACCGCTGCTTTTCTTGATTCTATTACAGATGTCCTCATCAAGATTCTATATATCATAAGACATGTGATTAGATGGATACCTAATATGAATGACAACATATGTAGAGGTAAACAAGCATATGATTTTACAGTTGTCAAACATTTTGTTTAATCAAATGATTGAGAAATTAAAGAAGGTTAAAATCACTGTGTTTCCGGAATATTTGATGGGATCTGATTGTCGTGTTTTTTATACTACATTTCCGGAATATTTGATGGGATCTGATTATTGTGTTTTTGATACTAGATTAGATTCATAGCACTTGCTTATCTGTATCACATGGGCAGACCTTACCTGCTGGAAGCTTTTGCAATATGACGCTGGGACTGCACAGTAGGAGGCTACTTCCGATTGCAATGAGTGTGCCTCCTGGAAAACATGTTCTTCGGAAGATGTTTGGCTTTGCAGTTGGTTCCTTGCAGTATGGTAGATAAAAAATATTATTGTTAGGGAAATTCAACTTCCTTGGTTGCAGCTTGTTCTGAAAACCGCTTTTGCTTTTGCATTGCGGTGTTGGTAGCTTAAAATTGCGACTTTGGATTAGGTATTGGATTCAAATCTTATATTCAGATAGCTTGTTCAATTTCTAGTTTTCGTAGGTCATCCAAACATGAAGTCTTTATCTAAAAAGACAAGACGGAATTTGATCGACTAAATAACTGGTGTGACCTGATGCAGTCAACTCCATGCCATAGAGACACCCTTTGCTTACACTGTTATACACACACGCACACAAAGAAACCATTTTATTATGAAATATCGCAGAACTGAACTACTGTATTAAATTTTGCAATTGGTTTGGGACAGGAGCTGTACTAACTGTTAGCATGAAGCGGTCCCGTGGACAGCTTTTCACATGTTGTCATTTTCAACATATTAGTAAGGCAAATGCATTTCACATGTTCTATAATACTTGCATGTCCTTTATTTATGATATACTATTCTATTGTCCTGAACCTGAATTACTGTTTCCATTTGTTGACATTTGTGTGCCGTAAATAGGGAACAGAACCAACAACCGAATGCTATATTGCACAATTCTGTCACCAAATCGACAATAACCTTCTTAGTCATGAAAAGCAAAGTGAAAGTTCACTTCGTTCTCGGCGCTCAATCAATTCAAATTATTAATAATTGAATTTCTTAACCTTTTCCAATCATTTTTGTTTTTTCCTTTTTGGTCTAGGCGACATAACATTTGGGGACAGGACTGATATGCAATTCTGTTTGGGGTAAGAGATGAATAGCATCCAATCTCCTTGGCAAACAGCCATTTTAAACAGGTTTTGGCACTTGTGAGGGTCCAGAATATTCCATAACAATGGCACATGGGACGTCCATTTCAAAGGGAATGGACGGACGACCACATGGGTGATGCTTGCTATGTCTCTCTGATCCTTTGCTCTGTGCGTTCTCCATTTCATTATGGGGTAGGTATGATTGTGATTATGGAATGCCAACTTTCATGAATGAATTCTAAATAAGTGGCTTGGAATGGTTGGGTAAATATCACACCAACCATTAAAAAAACAGTTCGTTTAGCATGTCCCACATCGCATGATTGATTTTAACCACAGGAAGAATCAGAATTTGAGATCCAGAATGACCTGCAAGACTACGTTTCTAGTTGTCCCATATAGCCTCTGTAGCCTGCACTGCCAATGTGCGAATAAAAGCATTTGTTTTTTGGAACATCGAACGTAAAACATGTTGGTTGCATGTTTTTTTTTCCCTCTACAAATAATTGCTTCCAACCCCCAAATGAGTTCATCTAACGTTCAAACAGTCAATCCTAAAAGAAAACGAGGCAGAGAAATTGCAAAGAAAATCACATCATGGTCCCAGAACCTGTGGTCACAAAATCTACGCATCTAACAAGTGTCCTAGCCGTTTTGCCCACAGTAAATAATTTAGACTGCGAATGAGATGCTAAGTGCACATCCCACAATTAATTAAGTGAGTAAATTACAAATTAGTCCCTCTTGTTTTGAAAAACGAATTAATTAATTCATTTAATTTTTAAAATTAATTCTTTAATCTTTTAATCAGTATTGATCAGATTACAATTAATTTAATATTTTTATATTTTGTAAAATTTCTTTTTTTCATCCATCTTTCTATACTTTTACTTATTTTTTATTTCTTATTTATTTCTTAAAAAAATCAAAATAAATTAAAAAATAGCAAAAAGAACTATATAATTAGTTTTTCAAACTAAAATGATTAATTAATTAATTCATTTAAAAAAGGAAGAAGGGAACCCCACCCCCCCCACACAATGTTCTCCAATGTAGAGTGTAGAAATAAAAGAAAATTGAATAAACAATGCGTATCTTTTTGGCCCTACAAACAAAGATTAGGCCCCAAATTATTGGAGAGTGGGAGGGATCTCTGAGGTAGTTGGCTGAGAGAAACAGCAGACATGGTCTCACATTATTACTCATTAAATGACTACCTAGCACATGAGCACCTAGTTGTACCAAGCCCATTGCGACGAGTGGTGACTGATGAGAGAAGCTTAAGGTAAAGCAATAATTGCTGCAACATGTCCATTAGTGAATGGCCAGAGGGTCAATTTCAGCAGGTGGTAACAGGATAAATCGATATAGAGAATTAATGGGCATCCAATTCCCTTTTTTTTTTTTTTTTTTTGTCTTGTTGTTTTTGGATCAGCACATTGTTTCCTATCTATAACTAGAGGTGAGCAAACGGTTAAACGATTCGATTTTGTACGATTCGATTCGGTTTTCGATTAACCGAATCAAGGAAAATAAAAACCAAAACCGAACCAAAATAAATTCGGTAAATTCGGTTTGTAACCAAATTATTTCGGTTCGGTTTCAAAATATTTCGGTTTTAACCGAAATGTTTTACTGAAAAAAAAATTCTAGACCATTGTTTCATTATTTGTCCTAAGCCACCATCATTTTCACCATTTATTATTAAAAAAAAAAAAGACAATAAGAAAACAAAGCCCTTACATAGGAAATATCTTTTGCAGCTACCTAATCACAATAAGAAAACAAAGCTCTTACATAGGAAATATCTTTTGCAGCTACCTAATCACAAGTTGACACACTGAATGTCCTAAATGAGAGAAGAAAAAAAAATGTAGTTGTCTTCCTTCTTTTGCTTATTCCGAACTCATCAAGCACCGACAACATCCTAATTCTTAATTTGACCTCTATGATCTCCTTGCTTATCTTGCTAAAAAGCCATTGGGAATGAACCGCAGGAAACAAAATTTTAGACCGAATTAGTAACCGTTGAAGATTATAATTTTCCAACATCAATCACTATCATAACAAGATATATAAAGCAAGGTAAAGGTTACCAATATGTATAACATCCCTAATAATTTTACAATCATCATTCCCACTAAAAAATGTAGTCTAAAAGATTTTCATTAGCAATTTTGTGCGGTAGAAAAAAAATTAAAACAGACTTTCTTTCGGTTTGTAAAATTCAAGCTCACAGAGACCTAAAACCATCTTGCAATAGTAAGTTAATTTCATTTGATTGTCTTGCAAAGAAACAACTAAACTTGTAAAAGACAATTGATTGCAGTTAGTCATCAACTTTATTTAATTTTTTCAATTGATAGTTGACCAAATTAAGAATCTTAGAATTCATGAATGCCTCCTCCGACTCGATGAAGTGATGATGAAGGAGAATCGGAGAAGATGGAGCGAAGGATAGGGAGCTAGGGAGGCGCCGCTAAAAATTGATTTTGATTTAGTGAAGTTTTAAATTTTTTTTTTTTTTTTTGCTTTTAATTTTTTCGGTTTTCGGTGAAAACCGAATTTTTTTTCAAAAACCGAACCGAACCGAAATAATTTCGGTTTTTCGGTTCGGTTTTTAATTTTGTAAATTTAAGTTTAAAACCGAACCAAAATACATAATTCGGTTCGGTTTGATTCGGTTTTCGATTAACCGAACCATTTGCTCACCCCTATCTATAACCGCATAGGGAGGATCAATCTTTTGGACGATTATTTCGATAAACTATTAAATGAGTAAAATGAAAGTGCATATCAATCGACCTTCTACTTATACAGTTCTATTACTCATCGGTGAGAAATTTTTTATGTTTGTAAACATTTTCTTGCTTAATTTGTATTATTACCCCCAATTAATTCAATCTTGAGAAAAAAAAATTAAACACATGGTTTGTATGTAAAGAGGGTCGGAGACGAGGAATAATGGAAATTTTAAAAGGAAAGGATTAATTATTAACTTATTCCTATAGTTATTTGGAAAAGGAGAAAAACAGTTTATTCAAATTACAAGCTCACAAGGATAAGAAAGATCCTTCTCTTCTTTTCTTAAGTCAATCATGCCGAGTAAAGTAATTCTCACCGGTTTCTATCAAGCATAAGCTTGATGACCTCAAATGGTGGTGGTAGGTCGGGGAAATATCTCGTTTACATTTACTTATCGAGATTGTTAGAGAGTTAATTTATAAATTAGTCCCTCTCATTTTGAAAAATAAAATAATTAATATCTTTTATTTTAAAAATTAATAATTTAATCTTCATGTTTTTAAATCTATTTGTAATTTTTTTTTTATGCTAATTCTCAAATTATTTTTATTTTAACAAAGAGAAAAATAAAAATAATAGAAAAATATGATGAGGAAAAAAATGTTTTATAAAATAAAATAATATTAAATTAAATATGATCAATATTTTTCAAAGAATTAAATAATATTTTTAAAATGAGAAGTACTAATTAATCTTTTTTTTAAACCAGAAAGACTAATTTATAATTTACTAAGGATACGATGAATTATTTCAATTCTTTAAAATAAATACAACGTTATTAGCTTTACATTACAACATTCAGTCCAAATTTTTTGTGTTCAAATCAGATGTTTTAACGTTTGATTTAAGTAACCTCAATGGATTAGTATGATATTTAAAAAAAAATTGTTCTATTTCTTGACTTTTTAAGTTCGAAATTCAAGACAAATATAAAAAATAATTTATTAAATCTCTACATATATAATGTCGATAAAAAAATCATTTCCATTAATATGCAAAACTGTCTAAAAATAACTCCTTAAACTGTTGAATAAAAAAAAAAAAAACATTAACATTAACACACATTATTAAGTGAGAATATCAACTGATCTAATAAGTGAACTCTTTTAACAATCTCTCTTATATATGTCATCTGCATATAAAATGCGACAGCTTTCTCACATGTCAGCCAAACATTAAAGTCAGTCGTTGTCATAGTAAATATAAAAGTAGGGTGCTTGCTATAAAAAAAGTGGAATGTCTTTTGCGGATCCATATATTTTATAGTCAGGAAGAAGCTCTTTCTGAAGCCATACTCACTTCTCTCATAAACACAGAAGAGAATTAACCCATGGCATTCAAGAACAATCTCTTAGTGTGCACCCCATTAGAGTGTGAAACAGTAGGAGAAATGCTGTCTTCCATGAAGCGAGCAGAGGCTGAAGGTGCAGATCTTACCGAGCTCCGCCTTGACTCCTTGTCATTCTCTCACGTTTCTCAGGTTGAGAAGCTCATTAAACGCAGAACTTTGCCTTCTATAGTTTCTTTCAGGTACCTTTAATTTATTACCTAGCAGCTACCACAGCTATACTCAAATATTTTCTTTATCTTTCTTATAGCATTAAGATTTAAGAGCACCTGCTTTTAGGACTTAACCAAATACTTAATTCTCTAGAAGGAAACTAATGTAGATAACAAGATCATTACTTCTTCTCATCTGCATTGTTTCATTGCTTTAATTATGACTCAAATAGCCAAGTTAATAGGTACAATCCCAATAAGCCAGGCGTAATTAATCAAGCCTGGCCTAAATTTCTGTACTTGGTTGATAGTGAATTCGAAGTATTCCCCCTTTCGATGGTCTTGTATTCTACATGAATTGTGCAAATTTCATAACATGCTGCATCCATGTGATTTAGATTTGGCTGACAGAAGATTTTTTTTTGTTCATTATTTTACATTATAAGATTTTCTTATGCGAATTTGTACTTTAATCGAGACTGATAATTTAGATGGTCTTATATTATTTTTTTTCTAGTTCGAGAGTTAAAATATTTTCGAATCAATTTATACGTTAATTGAAATTATTTTTTAAAAATAATTTTACATACTCTTTTTTATCGGTATGATACATTTAGAAATGATTTTTTTTCTAGATACTAGTTCTAATTAAATTTAAATTAAAAAATTTTTAAAAAATAACAAATGGGAGACTAATAATTTTGATTATCATTAAAAGGTAGGAACTACCGAAAATATTGATAAAGGAAAAAGGATGGTTTATGTGCTTCAATTGCAACCAAACAATAGTAGTTCATTTATGAAAACAAAAGCAAATCAAGAGGTACGGTGTCTTAAATCAGTACGTGGAGGTTTGAGAATCAAACAGTGCTGCTGGAATTAATGGTAGAAAGAATGGAGCTTCAGGCCTGGAAATGTAAAGAGTTCCATGTGTTTTTATCTGTCATTATCTCAAGATAAGAATGGCAATTACTACTACTAATTATTTTTTGTCCTGAACATCAAGATCTTGACAGCATCCATTGCTTTCTTATGGTTGTTGAATGTTTACATTTTTTCTCTCGTTTTAAATGTTAGTAATTCCTCTCATTAATTTCCCTTTGCTGTCAATCATCATACCAAAAATTCAACATATGCACAGGGTTTTTGGGTCTTCAGTAGTACAATAGTAAGTAATTAAGAAAGTCTACCTAACTTTATTCTTCTGTACCTAACTTTATTCTTCATTTGAAATATTTAATAATACTTATATTTTACATTGATTAGAGTGGAGCGTCGACTGTCCAATTAGCTTATAACCTCTGGGTACTATTTCAGATAAATGTGATAATAAAAAATAGAATGATGAAAATAAAAATTTTATTTCCACATTTGAGCTATTTGATTAAAAAAATGAAATGGAAATGAGAATATAAATTACATACAATTTCATTCTTATTTAAAACGTGAGAATAAAAACAAAAAATGAAATAATTTTTTTTCAAAATAATAATATATTTTGTTTATTTATTATCTATTAACTACTTCTACTACTACTATCATCATCAACACAACAACCACTGCCAGCATCACAAGCCACAAGTAGCACCGTTGTCACCACCGTCGTGGTCACCACCACAACAACTACCACTATTACCACCATAATTTTTATTATTTTTATAACCATTATAGTTTGATAAAATTATTTTTTTAATCGTTATTTTTATTTGTATAAAAAATCAGATATTTAAAAATTTAAATTGTATTTCGATTTCTCATCAGTATTTTAAACACAGTATGAGAATATAAATGACATTTTAATTTTTTAATTTTCATTATAATTCTGTATTTCAATTTCGGACTTTTCGTTCTTAGTAAATAAAAGATACCTGTAAATTTTTAACTACTATTTTAAACTTTTAGCGTTTTCAAAGTCACTATTTTATCCTTCCCCACAGGCTCAAATCATCGAGGATCTCAAGCAACAAAGACAGGAAGAATACATGTTTACAAGTACTGGGACTGGCTTTCGACTTGAACGTCGAGTTTGTTGAAATGGACTATGAGGTACTATCAGCCAACATTTAATCACACTTTTAGTTAGTATCAATTTAAACTACTCAAAAAATATTGTGAAGCAATGGTGGAATGATATGGTCAGCTGTGTTTGATCATGTACCAATTTGCTTTTAAATGTTTAATGGGTTCTTGCTAATTATTGACTGATCAGATGAAACTCTATCTTTCAGGTGGCTTCTGATAATGTCATGTCTGACTATGTGTACAACCGTTCCAATACCAAATTAATTGTATCCAGCTACGTTAATGGTAGGAAACCTTCAGCTGAGGAACTTGGTTATTTAATCGCTTGTATGCAATCTACTGGAGCTGATGTTCTTAAGCTAGTAATTGACGTTGAAAAAATCACAGATTTGGCACCTGTTTTTACGATGCTTACACATTGTCAGGTATCCTTTTTCAGACGAAGTTCTGAAATATCGTAATTGTGGCACTCTCTTACCCGCTTGTAGTGTTGCTTGCTTTGAACGTGTGAACAATGAGGCTTATACGTTCTTGGGCATGTTTTGTTTTTGTCTACAGATCCCCTTAATTGCTCTTGCAGTTGGCAGTAGAGGACTTATATGTCAGTTGCTGGGGCCAAAATTCGGTGGGTTTTGCGTCTATGGATCTCTGAGTGACAAAGCAGTACCAGGCATGCCAACTTTGTTGAGTCTTAGACAAGTTTATAAGCTTGAATACATAAATGCAGAAACAAAAGTATTTGGTCTCATTTCAAATCCAGTTGGCCACAGTAAAGGTCCTATCCTGCACAATCCTGCATTTAGACATACTGGATATAATGGAATTTATGTTCCAATGCAAGTGGACGACGTCGAAGAGTTCTTTAGGACCTATACGAGCAGTGACTTCGCGGGTTTCAGGTATCAGAAACATTTCTTTTGGTCAATTAGTTCTAGTTATTACTGATTAGTTTTCTATGCATCCTTCTCTTAAATATAAAGTAGCTTCATATCTATGCTTCTGTGCCGATTGGTGTAGCGTTGGAATCCCACATAAGGAAGCAGTAGTAGGGTGCTGTGATGAAGTCCATCCAGTTGCCAAGGTCAGAGAAGTTTCACCACTGCTGCTGCTGCAAAGTTCATTTTTAATTAGTTAAAATCTTCATATCATAGTAACTGATGAGGTTTGCGACATAAATTTTCCTTATTAATACCAGAAAAGTCTGAACAATAGAGTCATAGCATTATAATTGATTAAGTCGTTCGTTTCTTATGATATGCTTTGCATATAAGCTTCTAAAGAGAGGCAATCTTTGTTCCTCAGTCCATAGGAGCTGTAAATACTATAGTAAGGAGGCCTACTGATGGGAAGCTGGTTGGTTATAATACAGACTGCGACGCTTCTATCTCTGCTATAGAGGATGCTCTCAGAGGTACCATGCTGATAAATTTGGTTCGTTAAATGCACTAAGATGATGCATGTTGTTTCGTTCCTTATTCACAAGTGCTCTGGATAAGCAGAAAGGCAGACTACCCACAAGGGAGTGTCGGAAGCTTTGCCTCTATCTGGGAAAACTTTTGTGTTGATTGGAGCAGGAGGAGCAGGAAGAGCCCTTGCTTTTGGGGCCAAAAGTAGAGGGGCTCGGGTTATTATTTTCAATCGCAACTTTGGTAAGCAAAACTACTAGCTGCATCTTCTCTCTCCAGCAACTAAGATGATGCATGTTTCCAACAATGGCATTCTTTTGAGCAGACAGAGCAAAGGCTCTTGCAAAGGCAGTTTCAGGGGAAGCTCTACCGTATGAAAGTCTAGACAGATTTCGTCCAGATAACCAGATGATCCTTGCAAATGCTTCTGCTATAGGGATGGAACCAAATTCAGATCAAAGTCCTGTTTCAAAGGTACTCTATCTGTCTCTATTTATCTCCCTCGTTGTTTAATAATAGAATTTTTCCTAAATAATAAATCCTTTTGGAATTTCGTATGCTTCTTTAGGATGCCTTAAAAGCATACGAATTGGTATTCGATGCTGTTTACACGCCCCGGAATACAAGGCTCTTGCAAGAAGCTAAAGAGGTTGGGGCTGTCGTGGTCAGTGGTGTGGAAATGTTTATCAGACAAGCTCTTGGGCAGTTCAGACTGTTCACTGGCGGCTTAGGTATCAATCTTCCTCTTATTCCAACTCATCAGCTTCCTTGAACTGATCAATTAATAGACAAGTCCCCAGTAGATCTATTAGAAATTGTCATCTAAATTCTCGTTTCTACCGCTTTGCAGCTCCGGAGGCTTTCATGCGCAAGCTTGTCTTGGAGCAATTCTGAATGTATATCCAACCATGCTCGGTGAATTTTTTTGTAGATGTGAATATCTTCAAAGCCACGAGGTAATAAAACAGTGAAGATTCTTGTGAGCTCTCCATCTCGAGTTGAGGTGAAAGCACCTGAAAGGCTGAAACTTGAATTGCTCGTCGAGAGGCCACGCTTTTTCCCCAAAACCACCAAAAACGAAAAGCATTCTGACGCTGTGTTTCTCTCTGATTGTCCATAGAAATAAAAAGACGAAAGTCAGATGCAAGTTCAAGGCTTTTATCAATTGATCTAGTATACACTAGATTTGTACTCGCGCTACGCTGCGGGATGGATATAATAGTTTTCAGAGTTATGTTCAGTCTGAATTTTTTTTTTTTCTGCAGCGTAATAAAATGTTTATATGATGGTGGGACGCGAACACCAAATTTGGTGGGTAAAATTACATGTATTCAGAGATACATTATTAGGTACCTTCGTGAAATGAGAACATATTTATTTTGCTTTAGTGGAGGCTGTTTGTTAGCCATCGGCTGGACCTAATTTTGCTAGTACTTATAATTAAAGTTTTATGGCAGTGATGTCTTATTTTTTGGATGGCAAAACAATGAAAAATAAGAGAGGTTTCTGTCAACAGTTGCTATTTAAATTTTATTAGAGTGTTTTGTTATTTTTTGGATGAAAAAACAATGAAAAATAAGGTGTACTGCAGATTTTGCTCAGAAAACTTATTTCAAAGAAACTGTTTAATAATTTGATTGCCTTTGATGGTGTTTTGGGCAGCATGCGTGATTGCATTCTTTTAACTATCATGTGTTAAGTTTTTGCATGATAACAGAATGAAAAAAAGGCTACAGCGGAGACTCTGGTCAGAAAAGTTATTTCAGAAAAACTTTTTGAATAATTTAATTAGCCCCGTTGGGTCCATAATATCGATGTGCGTAGTCAAAAAATGGTATTTTTTTTTTAATTCAAATCAGTATAGCTGTGAAATGCTTAAGTAAAGGTCATGGTTTTGAAATGATAACTTAAACGACATAAATGCTTCATCATGGTTTTTACATAGGATGCAGGAAAGGAAATAAGAACCACATAGGAAAATAATTAGAAGAGCATGCTATTTAATGTATTTTTTGTGTCCAGAATTTAATATTCACACCAAAGATCCATTTTTCGTCTTCAAAACAAAAAAATTAATATAATTAAATATATATACTCTATATATATATATTGAAAAAATTAAAAATTTATTTAAAAATTAAAAAATTTTATTATATAAATTATAATAATATATTTTAAAAAATAAAACATTGACGTTCTAAAATTTCATCTCATAATTCATATATTAAAAAATAAATTTATTAACAAGTAAAATTATATGAAAAAATTATTTTGATGTGAATTTTAATAAAAAATAAATAATTAAAAAAATTAAATTTAAACAATAAAAGTAATATAATCAGATATATATATATATTCTATCATCTTTAAACTATATGAAAAACTAAAAAAAATAACTATTTATTTTTTATATTTTTAACTTTTTGTTTTTGTTTGACAGACCTTTTTTCTTCTTTTATATAGAGAGAGAGAATGAGAGAGAGAGAGAGAGCTACTAGTTGCAAACCAAGGAAAAAAAAAAAAAAAAAGGAGGGAGGCCATAAGTGGTTAGCATATGCAGGTAGACCTGCGTTTCGAACCTTGCCTGCCGCTCAACCAAATAAAAAAAAATGCATTTTTTAGCGAATTCGAAGTCGTTGAAAAATTGAGGGTTAACTTTCATACTTGTAAAAATTAAATTTTGACATCATTTTTTTAAATACCTCTAAATAATTGAAATAAAGCTAATAAACACATCTAAAACTTAAAAAATTATTTTAATACACATAAAAACAAAGAAAATACAAAATAAAATCGGATTTTTTTTTCTTTTTTGCTCCAATCTACTTCCTTTAATTGTTTAATGGCTTGAAACCACTATAGACAAAGTCATTTTTCAAAGATAAAAAAATCTAATAGATTTTCGTCTGCCAGAGTGGCCTAAATAAGTTTGGTCGGCGATCTCTCTCTCTTCTTGTCTCTCTCTTCCTTTTAGCCTTTTCTCTTCACCCGGGGATCAAAATGGATGAGCAAATGAATATGTAAATCGAAATATGCGTTTGAAAATATGAGAGAACAAAGCATAAAAAAAGCTATGAATAGTGAAATATACAGTAAAATATGAGAGAATTAATAGTGAAATATGAATGTGTGTATAGTATTTCAAATAGAAAAGCTACACTAAACCAATGTTTTACCTTAGTTTTTTAGTTAATTTGCAACAAATCAAACAGCACTTTCCGAGGAAAAAGTAAGCAATGTACCTTGAAATGTCTCCTACAGCGAGGTTGTGTAAAATAGCTGTAATCTGTACCCTATGGGTGGCTAAGGTAGCCGACGATTGCGTGTCTATCTACATAAGATTGGTGCAGCACTATCCCATGTTTTATACCAAAGTACATAACTTTTCAAGCGCAAAATCATTGTTGAAAAAATAGTAGTAGATATGGATGGGGATAAGTAAAATAGCCAATGTCATCAACAACTGATATTTTGTTCCCATCAGCAAGGACAATTACTGAGAATCTTTACTGGTTAGCTTACTTTCAAGCCGTATTGATTTAGAGGATATGAGGTTGATTTGGCAATGTGTGAATTTGCTTCTTCCCCTGTAGCAGAAATATCTCTGGTCCAAACGTTTCTGGTCTGCATTGCAGAACTACAGATGCATTTTTTTGGAGACTGACTTGGTGGTTGCCTCAAGAGAGATCTCTAATAGGAAACTAAAATGCTTTCTTAGAACAGAGAACACATGGAGATGCAGGATAGGAAAAATCCCTCAAGGTTACCTAACATAGAAAGGGAGAGGAAGCGGGGAGTGCATCATGAACTCCATGCTTTCAATTTATGCTTTTTTCTTGAATCTTTTTAAAACAAGTTTAGTGCAGCAGCTAACTTGGTGCTGGGAGCACCAAATTCTTGAATGATGTAAAACCTCCGTCTACCACCAAGTTATGTCCGCTAACATACTTCGCATCATCGGATGCAAGGTAGAGTGCAGCATTAGCTATATCATTTAGCTCACAATTTGCTCCCTCTAAAGTACCGGTTCTATGCACAATTTCCACAAGCTTTTCATCATCAGCACCAGGATATATCTGACTCATTTCTTCCATCACAAATGGAGTTGGAATGGCAAAAGGCGATATGCAGTTTATCCGAATCCCATGCTTGCATAGCTCTGCTGCGAGAGACTTGACGATGCCTACAACTGTAAACTTGGACACAGTGTAGGTGTGCTGTGCTAGCCCACCCATGAGACCTGTGACACTAGCTGTGCAAAGAATGGAGCCTCTTCTTCGGGGGATCATCACACGCGATGCATGTTTAACCCCAGCCATTACTCCTCGTACATTGATATTCATGATTCTATCGAACACGGCTAGATCAAGGTCTACAATACTGTTAGGACTCTTGCAGGCTATCCCTGCATTGTTGTACATAATATCCAGTTGGTTGTACTTAGAGATGGCAAAATCAACAGCATCGGAAACATCAGATTCTTTAGTTACGTCACAGTAAATGAAAGTGGCGTCTGGCCCAAGTTCTTCTGCAGTTTCTTGTCCTAGTTGGTTTTGGACATCAGCAATAACAACTTTGGCACCATGGTTTGTGAATTTGGCTGCAGTTGCCTTTCCAATGCCACTTGCTGCTCCAGTGATCAATGCTACCTTACCTTCTAGTTTTCTATCATGACATAGCATATACATCATTAGAATCTGATTAGCATCAAAAGATTAATTATTCAATCATCTCCAAAAATTTGCCATTTTGCTTGAAATATTGGTTTTCCGATGACAACGGAGTTCAAACTTAGTATGATATTTATTAATGCTGAGTCATAGATGACTGTTCATTTGCAATATCCTCTCATAGAGGTATAGTCATTGGAAATAACAGCTATACAGTTTAGGCACTAGGAATCACATTAAGGAAAAAAATTTGGAGCATTTTTTTCCTTGGTACTGTCCATATGATCATAATAACCCAATTAAATCAGTGTGTGTGTGTGTGTGAGCTCTTCAGCTGAAAATTCTACAAATCAATATAGACAAGTAACCGCAATTGGTTATAAATTAAGGAGATTGAAATTGATACCACAAAAGCAAACTAATCAAATGCTAAACGACAGTTTATCTAGGTAGAACCATGGTAGGTAGGAAGAGTTCTGGCAGTAAGTAGCATTTCCAGACAATCAATTACTAATAGATATGTGTGTGTCTATTAGGCAATAGAAAAAAATGAACTCAAGAAACTTTCGGTTTAGTATTATATATAAATCTTTTTTATTTAACAATTTATTAAATCATCGAAGTTTGTAATTAGTTTGTCATTTTCATTACTCTCTGCTACGATCGATATATGCAAAAGGATGATGCGAAAATAAGTAATTAATTTCCTTGAAAAGTGATAAGTAGAACTAAAAAAAACTTTTTGCAGCATGGGAGGATCTTGTATAAGCATATGATAAAGTCATCATGATATCTACAGACAAGGTAATTTGCAACAGTAGAAAGAGATGGATAATTAGTTAGGTTCACAAACCTTCCATGCTGGGAAGAGAATCCCTTATTGAAGACCTTAGCAAGAGAAACGGATCTTGAAATGGAAGCACTCTTGCTGTTTTAATAAATAAACAGCAACAGACCATGAGCTGTATCATCAGCAAAGCCATACAAGATAAAAATGCCAGAAACAGTGCATTTACTTCACCCCCTTTCCATCTTATCCTATGCATATATATACAACCAGTCATTTGACTAGACGTTGGGCCATAAATTGCTGTTCAATGGTCAGTCCTAGCTAGCTAGCTAGATGCTAGCCGCATCATCAAAAAGAACTAAATATACAAAATTTAAAATCAAGAAAAAGACGATGATATCAAAACACCAGAATTTGCTACTTAGTTATTGTTTTAGAGCAAGAAATAGTAGCTGAAGCAGAATAAGACTTCAAATTCTTTTGACAATTTCTGTTCACATGATACTTTTTAACTTCAAAGAAAAACACACGAGTACATATGTAAGAAAAGACGTTAACGAACCCTATTAAAGATCCAGATAGGTAGTCTGAAAGTACAAAAAGAAAACAGAAAGGAAGGAAGAAATACCTGAATCCAATCTTGAGCATGCTGCAGTTGGTGGAGGTGAGAGTTTGAACCACAGACAGGTGTTATATGTGCGAAAGCTTTTGCTCAAGCGCGAGCGAGAGAGAGAGAGAGGGAGGGAGGGAGGGAGATAGAAAGAGATTTGGAAGTTGACACATATATGACAGTATGGTCATGGCCCATTTGCAGGAGAGTACACGTGACGACGAATTATGCCTCGCAAGTTGCTCCAAAGGCAAAGAAACGCAAGACATTACTTGATTCGGTTCTTTTCTAACCCTCTGTCTCTCTCTCTCTATCTTTTTTGTTTTTTTTTTTTTAATGGTTTTACAGGGATTTTTCTTTTCTTTTAGATTCTTCAATTCGATGATTTTAAGAAAATTACAGGTTAGTTTTGTGCATAGTCGATTATTTGAATTTGGTTATTTTAGGTTTTTTTTCTCTTCTTTTAATTATTTTTTGTAGAATTACTTAAAAATTTAAGTGAATTGGATCCATCACATGATTTCTAAACATATTCTACCGCTTCTGAAACCGTTATACATATGCAAATTGATTGGTTAAAATATATAATGAATTATTGAATTATCAAATATATATATATATATTTAAATACATGACCTATTAAGTGTTTGAATTAGAACTCTTTTTATCATTATTTGCTATGGAAACTTCACCATTTAATTATCAAATTATTCTAAAAAACCATCAAAACAATTTTTTTTTTTTTTTTGACCTCACAAGTCACAGACAACATTCTAAAATAAAAAGTCTTTTAAAACTCAAATAGAACAAAAAATATTTGGATTTAGTTTTCAGATTCAAAATTTTCAAGTCTTATAATATCCAAATCTAATAATGATTATATCCAAGATTTGTATGAATGGACCTGCAGCAATAAAAAAAATTATTTGGTGATAATCTCGTTACTAATAGTGGGTCTTAATTCAAATATCTAATAATTTGAATATTAAAACGAAAAGAAAAAAATATAAATAAAAACGAAAAATAATTCAGAAAGTCTTTGTAAGTTGTTTCACGGAATTCATCTATGCTTAGCTTATGTAAAACCCTTTTTTAAAATAGGCGGTGGACAAGGTGTAAGTGAAAAAACTACTAAAGTGAGGCCCAAAAAATTATGACCAGGTGGTAGAGATGATCATAATTCATTAGATTTATTCAGCCTTAGTGATTCCCCGATAATTTCTTAGTGAGACAATTTACGTCTCCTGAAATTTTGTAAATGAGTAATAAATACGAACGGCCGACAAACGGCAAAGTGGGCATTTGGTCTAGTGGTATGATTCTCGCTTTGGGTGCGAGAGGTCCCGAGTTCGATTCTCGGAATGCCCCCTCTTATTTTTACGTTTTATACTTGTATTCGGACGATGTCTACAGCGAAGACGACGTGTCGGGATGGCAATCACAATTATCTTTTTCTCTGCTGCATCCGACAAATATTCACTGTTTTTGACCCTCAAATGTCGCTATTTTCCAACCCTGCAAGGGTAAAACTGATAAAAAGAAACAAGAAGACAAATAGATAAAAAGGTGTGAAAAATAATGATACGACGACGTGTCGGGATGACAATCACAATCATCTTTTTTTCTGCTGCATCCTGCAGATATTCACCGTTTTTAACCCTCGAATGTCGCTATAAATTTTCCAACTCTGCAAGGGTAAAACTGACAAAAAGAAACAAGAATACGAATGGATAAAAGGTATGAAAAAAGAATTAGGGGCATTCCGAGAATTGAACTCGGGACCTCTCGCACCCTAAGCGAGAATCATACCACTAGACCAAATGCCCTGTTTGGTCGAGAGTTTATTATTATTATTACTACTACTACTTATAAATAATTAAAAAAGGAAAATAAATTTCCCCCCACTCACCGCTCTACTGGCGAAATAAATAAACATTCCCTCCTGATTGGTCTCTTCATTTTCCCTCCTCCCTAGCCTTTGCTTGCTTGATCACTGATCATCATCAACCAGAATGTCTTATCAATGCTCATGACTCATCACCTCATGAATTGAACACAGAGATCATAGCCTTTCACTCTCACTTTTCTTACTCACTACGTGGTAACACTCCTCGTCTCAACCTCTAATATTTTGCATTTCTTTCCATATTTTACTTTTTAATCTAGCAACTATTAATTCATTTCTCTGGATTTTGATCTTCACTTGTATAACAGCAGAAATTTGTATTAATTGCGTAACTTGAATTGTTTCATGTGTAATAATAATGGGTATTGGTTAATTTATGAAAATATTCTTATATTCTTCAAATTTAGGCAGTGAACAAATGGACGCGATTCAAGATCAGCATCAACAGCTTCAAGATACTGTACCTTTTGATGATGGTGATACAGTTGTGCTTGATAGTCCCTTGGCAGAAACCCAGGTGGAGAAACTTGATTTTGATTTTCAAGTGCTTGATGATTCTATCGAGATTGCGAAACATGAGCTAGTAAGCGAGGTAGTCCTTGACAGTGAGGATGAAGAAATCCATGGAGAACAATTAGACAATATTGCTGATGGGGTATCTGCTGTTGAAATTGGTTCAAGAATTAAAGCAAATGGAGCAGCAGGCTTACAAATGAGGCAGCACAGTCCACGTTTTCAGCGGGTCAAGGATTTTGCAGAAGATTTTGTTTCTGATGGCTCTACTGGTCAAGACAACAGTGCAGGTCTGCATTCCATGAATCTATCCAGTAAAAGTTTTTTATTTGTTTGTTTGCTTACCTTTGCTTTTTTTTTTTTTTTGGTCGACTTCTGATGATATATGTTTTGATTCTATAAATGAATTTAAACCTATATGTATTGCTGAGGTAGAGTGACTAATGTTGATGAATGTTCTCTTGTGGTCTCTCTTGATGGACTAAAGAGGCTTTAACTAATGGTGAAGACACTGATGGGAAAATTGATTGTCCTCGATTGCTTACATGCGATCAAGAGTTTGCAAGTCTAAATTATGTTGGCTCTGAGGAACCTGGAGAGTCATCCCAAGCCAGTGCACTTGACTTTGTGGATCACTTCCTATCATGTAATGATGGGAACGTTTCTCCTAGGACCGAGCTCAGAAACACTGTCAGGAAGAAATTTTCTCCTGTTCTGAGTGCAAGCGGCTGTCAACTTTTGGCCAAACGTATCAAAACCAGAACCCCAATCGGTAAAACTAAGACCTTTGAATGGGTTGATAATGATCAGCATGGAGGGGTTGATTTCTTCAGCAAGAGGATGAATGAGTCTTTTGATTCTGGAGGCTGCCAGCAGAGATATGTGACAAGGCATCAGAAGGCAGAGTGTATTGACGGTAAAGGAGGTTCCAGCTCAGATAATGACAATGAAGAGAAGTCTGAAGATCTTCATAAGAAAGTAACAAGTTCACCTTACACAGGTTCCAGGGTTACAGTCCACAGCGTGAAAAAGGCATACAGGAAAGGACAGGAATCTGAATTTATTTCCAAAAATGACTCTGTCAATAAGCCAAGGGATCAATTTTGTGCCATTGCGTCAGGGCACGGGTTGGACATTTGTAGTAATGAAAAAAATACATCAGACACGTTTGATGTTGGTTTTAACACCCAAATAGCAGCCGAAGCCATGGAAGCTTTGTTTTATGGTCCCCCAGCTGATAGCAGTGCTGGTGAGGCTTTTCAAGATCCTAACGACTCTCTTGTTGATCCTTCAAAAGGTGTAACAAATAGTAAACTTCATTTAAATGAACCTTTCAATGAAAAAAGTGCTCTCTGCAATCTAGAGGACATTACAAGAGTGCCAAAGCAAGGAAAGCTTTATGCTAGAAAAGGAGCATCTTCATCTTGGAAACAGTCTAGTCGTCAGGAGTTACCCAAGGACTTGGCAGAAACAACAAAAAGGAAAAGAAGCAAACCCTTGGTTGGAGAGTTAACTGATAGGACTTCTATTATCTGTGCAAAAAACGAAAGTTCAGCCACAACATCTCGAAAGACTATTGACCAAAGAAAGGAAGAGGAAACTGTGAAGAGAAACAAAATTAAGGAATGTGACAATTATGGAAGTTTGTCAACATCAGTTTCACTTGGCAAACAACAGATACTACAGGAGCCTGTTGCCCCCCAAGATCCGCATCCGAAAGTAGGAGCCAAACTCAAAAGCGCTAATGGTGGGTCAGATAATCCACGGGAAAGGACAGATGATTGCATTGAGGGTAGTATAATTACATACAGAAGAAAGAGGAGTATTTTGGCTGTGAAGCCATCCAAAGTCTTGAGCGCTGCAGGAAGACGCCCCAAATTTTGTTTCAACACATCTGGAGGAGGTAGAATCAACGAACCGAGCCAACAAAAGCTAGCTAGCATGGAGGTATCTGCCTCACAAAGTACGTTAAAGTTGAATGCGTGGAGCCATCCCAAAGGGAAAAGAACACGACGTAGACTGCCAAGTCATTTAAATAGATCTAGTAGCCAATGTACCCCATTCACAATAGTTGATGGCAAAGACCACCACAGAAAACCACTAAACATAAACCTTCCCAAATCGTCTCTTACGAAAGAGCTTATTAGATTAGGCACTCCCAAGTCAATGCCTGATTCCAGATGGAAAGATTTGAGAAAACGGAGATATGGCATATGTAGGACAGTAAGAGTTCTCTTTAGCCAACATTTGGATGATGACATCATCAACCAGCAGAAAAAGGTAGTTTCTGTATCCTTTCCAACCAATAGCATGATCATGTACAACTTACCCATCTGTTCTCTTTATTATAACAGATCCTGGTAAGGCTTGGCATTTCCATGGCGTCATCTTTAATGGAAGCTACTCACTTTGTAGTGGACAGATTTGTGCGTACAAGGAATATGCTGGAAGCTATTGCTCTTGGTAAATCAGTGGTGACTCATTTATGGCTTGAGAGCTGTGGGCAAGCAAGCTTTCTTATTGATGACAAAAACTATATCTTAAGAGATGCCAAGAAGGAAAAGGAGATTGGCTTTAGCCTGCCTGTTTCATTGGCTCGTGCAAACCAGCAACCACTTCTAAAGGTGTTTTTCTAAGCTTGTGATGATTTTGCTCAAACCAGACATGCATTTTTGGTTGCTTTCAAATATCCTTGTTGTCTCATGTTGTTGGGATGCTCATGGGTGCAGGGTCAAAGAGTCTTCGTAACACCAAATATAAAACCTGATAAAGAAATGATTACTAGCTTGGTCAAGGTTCTTCATGGCCAGGTATGAATATTATGCAATTCCATAGCTAGTGGTCTTAGTGGTTGCATTTTATGCCCCTTGTGTCTGTAGGGGTTTGTTTTCCTTCTTCTTCTCTTGTATCTCTTATGTACCATTAACTTTTATGGCTTTGCACCTCCTTAAATGAGTAAGTTTCTGAGCAATGCTACGCAGATCATGGAGAAAAGTCAGATATTTGCTTTAATTCCAGATGATCTATTGATTCTTTCGTGTGAAGAAGATCATGCAATTTGTGTGCCACTACTTGATAAAGGTTGTCATCAACAATTCCATTTTCTCCTCCATTAAAGTGTATCTCAGTTTTGCAATAATCATTTTGATCTACCCTGGTTGCAGGAGCAGAAGTTTACAGCTCAGAGCTTCTATTGAATGGGATTGTTATCCAGAAATTAGAATATGAGAGGTCAGAACTTGTCCTTTGTCTGGCAAGAATATCAAATTATATAGTGTGCACACACACACAAGTACACAAATAAGATGCAAGCTTTTTGCACCTTTGGAAATGGGCTGATTTGATCACCCAACCGGGTGAAATTCTGTACATTATTGACAAATGACAATAGCTCGCATGTATCAATAATACTGTCTGCTGGCATTTGAAACTTTAGTTGTTAGCTTATGAATTCGAGAGGACATGAACAAAGGGCTCCAAAAGCAAGTAAAAATGATTTAAAATGCTGAGCTTTTAAATCTAATTTCTGCATCTTCACATAATGATATATCAGGTACTTCCAAACATACCAAAGGCGTTTGTTGCCTCATATGGGAGTAAGTTAGAGCCACTTTGTTCATCCAGCTCAGCTGATTGAGTCATTTCGGTCTCAGTGCTTTAGGAGATTTACTTGAAGTACACTTAAACTTCTGTTTACCGGCTGGATGAAGGATTGCGATAGATTTGCTCATCTGGGGCTGAGTGTGCCTCCTTAATAAGGCAATACGATGAGAAGGGCCACTATATAAGACCCACAGTTGCATGGTTCAATTATAAACATTAGGGTATTACTCTCATTGACATGTTTACCCACTTGCTTTGCTGCTGATGCTTGTTTTGTTTATCTAAATGACAGGCATCGACTCTTTGTGAATCAAGTTGAGAGAAATCGCGTGAGCAAAAGGTGTCGAGTGAGCAAAAGGTGAAGGAAGATGTTGAATTTGTCTTTTCCCAAACAGAATCAGTTGATGCTCTTTTTGTAAAGAAATGCAAGTTGTAAATGTGGCAACGAAAGTAAGCTCAACAAGTAGTGAAAACCCTTCTTGTAAATCAGGTCACGAGGGTAAACAAACCCTTTTCTTCTTGTAAATCAGGTCGTGGGGGAAAACGAATACTAGTACTTTTGTTGAACGAACTTCGGCATTTTCGCATAGTTCTTGTTCGGATTTAGCATCTCTAACAAGGCTTCCGAAGTTCTTACAGAATTGTACCCTTTGCCTTATAGTAATGTGCTCATACTAGCAAACTGTTTGTTAAACCTTATTTTGATCAATTCATGTTGCTTGATAATCATTAATGCACCAAAAATTTCAAGAGACAAAAATTTACTCTTTCTTTTTTTCCGCTCCCTTGATGAGTAGTGGCATGGACAGGACAGTGTTTCTTATTTATTAAACTCATTTAACATTCAAGTCATGAGTCGTTTGGGATAAAAGTAAATAATAATAATAATAATGGAATTTCCGAAGTGTATTTTATCTCTTTATCCTTTTCTTTTCCTTGATTAAAATTTATTTTTTTTAATTTCTTTATTTGTTAAAAGAATTATATTTTTTATAAGCATTTAAATATAACTTAATCTCACCCTAAAAAATGCACAAGCCTATATATAACATATTGTAATTTTAAATTGAAATAAAAAGAACAAAAAGCAGTTTGACTTTTTCTATTTCTTAAGATTTGTAATTATACTAAATTTGTATAATTCTGTAAGAAAAAATTTGTATCCATTTTTTTATTTTTTATTTTTAGTTACTAAAGTTTAAATTTCCACTCCAAGACAGGGGACGCTCGTTTCTGTCTTTTTTTTAAAATAAATAAATAAATCCCTGTCATGCACACCAATTCCTCTTTCCGCAGGGAGAAAAGGAATAAAAGTGGAGGACAAGGAAAGAAAAGAGAATGGATGGCGGCCATTCGCATTCGGGTTCCAGGAATTCAGGTTTCTTTCTTCTTATTTCTGTTGTTGTTAGATATTTCATGACTGGCTTTCTGTTTCTTAAATCAATTTCGATGCTTTAGGTTCTTCTGTAGTTAAAGTGGGAGAGGAGAAGCAGAAGTGGGCAGCATCATCTTCTCAAATAGTATCTCACTTCGCTACTAGTGGACTCTCCGTTGCTGTTGCCACCGCCATCACGCATCCCTTAGGTTCTTCTTCTTTTCCTCATTTTTCTTGGATTTAATTTAATAATAATTTGTATCATTTGTGATCTCATTACATTTGGTTTTATGCTTCCTAGGTTTCAGACATTTCAAGATATTTAATGACGTGTTGCCTGTAAATTTATTTCACTTTTTTTGAATCATATGATCAAATATGGGAATAATGAATGAACTCTTCCTGCTGTTGGTCGTACAATCTTGGTTTATGTATAATTCCCTGTAAAAATTAATTCTTAGGAAAAGGAATTAGATTCTTCCCTCTGTTGGTCGTGCAATCTTGGTTTATGTATAGCATTAATTCTTAGGAAAAGGAATTAGATTCTTATTTAATTTGTTATTTTCTGCTTGGCATCGTGTTGTGATTGGAGAGGTTGAGATTTTGGTTTGCAACCCGTTAGCACATTGGAACTGGTGGTTAGATTCGAGCTTCAGCTCGAATGCTGTGATTTTGCTTCTCGAAGTACATTAACCAAGACATGTATCGGAAATGGCATTTTAAAATCTCAGAGTTGTTTGCAGTGAATTTAGTGATGTTTATTACATGCTCAATGGATAGTCTGCACAGAACTTCGTTTTCTTGTTTTGTTCTCTTCATTGGAGGTAAAGAAAAGGAAAGGAAAAGTGCAATTAACAAAAGTTTCTATATGGATAGAAAAGGTGCCAATTGCCATCTTATCTGCTTCCACAGCTATATGAAAATATTCACTCTTCCAATTTATGTATGTTCTTTTCTGCAAATGGGATGCTTTAGCCTTAGGGCCTAGTAAGCCAACTGAGTTTTTGAACATGAACTGCGGACTTCTTACCATGCAAGCTGAAAATTTTACTCACTATGCCCTTGGATGACGACAATCTATGTGAAAGCGACAAAGCAGATAGAATGGTACTCTGCTACTTTTGAATTTGGTTCTTATTGATTATCTGAATAGGAGTATGGCTGTTAACAAGTATTTTAGCTATTAGTTACTGATAGGTGCTGTAGAATCTATCCTCTGAGATGTTTTATAAAAATTGTACAATTGGTAACTTAGAAGAAATATGTTTGGAAGTTGTATTCTCGCTATTAAATACATAGCTATCTAATACTTCAACTTGAAAAACAGATGTGCTCAAGGTTCGACTACAAATGCAACTTGTTGGTCAGAAAGGTCCCTTGACTGGAATGGTATGCCAATCATTTAGTGTAATTACAATTGTTTGGTTTATTAGCCTATGTTGATGTTGGGTTTCCTTATAAATATACAGGGACAAGTGGCTGTTCGAGTATTGAAAAAGGAAGGACCAGAGGCTTTGTATCTGGGATTGATGCCTGCATTGATTAGGTCAGTTCTTTATGGAGGTCTACGTTTAGGCCTGTATGAACCCTCGAAGTATGCCTGTAATTTGGCTTTTGGGTCCACCAATATCTTACTTAAGATTGCATCAGGAGCATTTGCTGGTGCACTTGCAACTGCACTAACTAATCCAGTTGAAGTTCTGAAGGTATGCAATCATATTAGGCATTCTGAAACTTTTCTTCTGAAATCTGATCTAGGGTGCTAACTTTGTTTTCATCAGGTTCGGTTGCAGATGAATGCGAATCGGAGACAAGGAGGACAAATGGCAGAAATGCGTAGAATTGTTTCTGAAGAGGGAGTAATAGCTCTTTGGAAGGGGGTTGGCCCTGCAATGGCTAGAGCTGGTGCTTTGACTGCATCACAACTGGCAACATATGATGAAACCAAGCAGGTTAAGTTCTAAACTGATTCTTTCTTTATATTCCTTTTCATTCTTAAATACCAAAGTTTCTTCAGTGTTCCATTTATGCAGGTTCTGATTAGGTGGACACCTTTGGAAGAAGGATTTCATTTACATCTACTGTATGGCACCTTTTGAGCTTTTCTTTTCCTATCTCTCTCTCAATGGATAAATGAATTTATTATAATTATGGGAAGTTGGGAAATAGTAGTTGACAGAATCAGATCATCCAGTTTCTGTAGAAAGAGTCAAAACTGAAGCATCATCAAAATATATGTATTTTAAACAAATATCTCATGGTATGTTATGTGTAAATAAACACACCCATAAACTGGTAAAGCTTTGCCTTCCTGATGCTTTTTTCCAAGGTGACCTGTGGAATGAACTTTGTTCTGCTGCTACCTTTCAAGCACACCTCATTTCTAGTTAATACATGACAAGCATCCCTTTATTAATTTATTAATGTGGGTGCTAGCTAAACATATTTCTTATCCTGTGAAGCCCAAGTACAGTTGCTGGAACAGTGAGTACTCTTGTAACTGCACCTATGGACATGGTTAAAACCCGGCTCATGCTGCAACGAGAATCTAAAACAGTTGGAAACTATAAAAATGGATTTCATTGTGCATATCAGGTATCAGCTTTGTTCATTTTTCCTCTAGCTTATCTCACTTCAATTTATGATCCTTAATTTTTCTCTATCAGTGCTATTTATTTCTTGGATCATCCTGCGCCATTCCTGTTTGGATTTCCACTGAATTTATTCCTAGGAATTTTTGGATTGGAAGAGGTTTGCATACATCTTGTGATAACTAAAGTAGTTTGTGAAGGAAAGAGGAAGAAATTGCAGCTAACATTAATGTACAACTGGAATTGGTTAGCTTTATGTGCGCTTTTTGCAACTTGTAAGCTGAACTTGTAGGTTTTCAAATGATAGTAATTTGGATTTTTTTGTGTGGGAACTGGGCGCTGTCTTCTTTTCCTTCCTGCTGGTGTTGTGGGCATATTGGCGTGAATCCACCATCACTACTAAGCACAAAACCATATGTGTCCCAGAGATTGTGGCTTCCTTACACACAGGATGCTGAAATTGTGTGATTACTTGTTTAGTTGTCGCTTGACTATGTATCATTGTCCAAATTGATGATCCATGACACAATAGTTTTATGAGTTTCTACTAGAAAAATAGAGGAGATTGCTGAAAACTATTGTTCATTTTGCTTTCGTTCTCCCCTTTTATGGAGTTTGTCTAATGTTTCTGTGATATGTGGTTTAAGCTCTGCATGTGTTAATGAGTTTGTGTAAGGGAAAACTGGTTTTCATGTCTGATACCTTTGTGTTTTGAGTTTTCAGGTTATTCTTACTGAAGGCCCTAGGGCGCTTTACAAGGGGTGAGATGCTTATCATATTACTTCGAGACACGTTTGGTTCTATGCAATCTCCTAAGTACTTTGGTTCATTGCTATTATAGTAATTGTTAGGCTTCTTAATAATTTTCAGATGTATTTCCTCTAGGTTCTAGTTTGGGCTCTTTAACTTTACAAGTAGATCATAATTAGATGATACATAGTAACTTTCGTACTCATTTTGGGAGTAATTAAAGAACTTCTTTATTTTGTGTCTCTGCACGTGCTTTTAGGGTGTTAACATTTAAAATTTTGTAGGGGCTTTGCAATTTTTGCAAGATTGGGTCCGCAAACCACAATTACATTCATACTATGCGAGGAGCTGCGCAAGCTTGCCGGATTGGATGCCATCTAGGGGTAGGGAATGTCCATTTACAGTTATGCCCCAATGCCTGACTTCCGTGGCTGTATGCAAGTGCAGAAAAGCTGCCCTCCCAGCAAGTTCAGAAGGAAGAATTGTGTTACATAATTCTGACAGCATCATAATTTTTTGGCCATTTGAATTGGGAACCAAAATTTATTTGGGTCCTAATGGGAGTGGTCTAGACACCCCCATCGTCGGTAAGGGGACTTGCATTTATTTGACTGAATTGTATAATTCTTTTGACCAATGCCCATGTTTTTTTTTTTTTTTTTCTGTTTCTGGGGTCGGACTGTATCATCAGGTATAAATGTGAAATGTGTTCATATTCATGCCTTTCTGAATTGTTGTAATCAGAGTAGGAAAGTAGAGGATGACTATTTTATATGGTTTTTCTACAACAAAAGTGTAGCATCTATGACTTCTCCTTTTGCTCTTTCCTGAAGATTAATTTACGGTTGAGAAATAATTGGAAAAGTTTATGAGGTTGACCTGGGCCAGTTGGAGGTAAAATTAATGGAGCAATTAGTGGCCAATCCAGACTTGTTGGTATGTGTTTGACCGAAACTCACTATGATTTGCTTTAGGTGCAACTAACTGTCTCTTTTTTTTTTTTTTTTTTTGGGAGTTTCTTAAAGCAAGCTCCAGCTCTCGCGAAAGTTTCCGTAATGCAGCATTTTAATCATAATTACTATCATATTAGCTAGTGGCCTTTAACCTAGGTACCAAGGTTAAACCAATATTGGTGTTTTTCTTGTGTTGTTTTCCTTCTAGAGGGTAAGATATGTAGCTGCTACTGTAGTACTGTATAATAGACCTTTCCCTGTATCCAACTGGACCAACTCCATACAGATCCCCATTTGACCTAGCTCTGCTGTAGATAAAGTCTTAACAAATGATGGTGGCCTAACCCCTTGAATCTATTTTAAAATTACATCCCTATTGACTCTACTAACCATATTATTGGATTTTGACGAGGTAATACGAAATTGACAAGACCAGTTTTCAGAAGGGGGGAAAAAAAACAAAACAAGAGTGAGGATTATGGATTTATGTGCGACCTAATAGAAGCCTTTGAATTAGGATTTTTGCTCGTAATGTAGTGCTCAAGTGTGGCCGAAAAAATCTAGACAGAGGGCGACAAACAATGGTTTGCTATGTGGCCAATTTGTTTGCTGGGTCAGGCAACCAGTGGTCAAGTACATATGATCAAATAGCTAGTTCTGAAACAGAAAACTGAGGTCGCCATCATACCTTACTTGACCCGGGAAAGATTTTCCACCGTGGGAGACAAACTTTTAACGGTCCCATTTGCTGCCAGTGTTATTAGTATTACTGGCTAGCTGCCAATCAACACAACCTTTCATCTATCCATGCATGGGTTGGGATGACGAGGCATCAAAGTAGGGACAAATGGTTTGAACATAAAAGTACAAATTAAAAAAAAAACTATATTTTCATCCATAAATCATAAAATCATAGAATAAAATATATACTTCACTTTCATACATAAAAAAAAAAAAAAAAAAAAAAAAAAAAACTCAATGAATTATAAAACAAAAGGGCATGCATTATGCTGAAAAATTAAATTATAACTTCAAAAAAAATAATAAATTCCAACCAAGACGACTCCTAGCGGTGTTCATTCGATTATTCGAGTTTGATTTCGAAATATTTTGAACGGTTTTCGGTTAACTGAATTTTTTAAAAAATAACCAAAACAGAACCGAAATGTTATTTGGTTTTTTGATTCGGTTTCGATGTTCAATAAATTGAGTTTTACCAGTTTTATTTTATTTTATTTTTCTACAAATGACTAATTTTATTAAAGTTTCTGAAATATGTGTTTAGAGCGGGCTTCTTTATGCTTTGTGGACTATTAGCTAGGAAACTAAGTTGCTTCCAAAAAAATAATAAATGCATTGGTAGATAAACAAATAATAAATTATCTACTAAAAAAATTCGAATTGAAGACGATAGAAAATTTATCAACGTTTTTGCTATTTTGCTACTTTGTATACATCGAGACTTACTTGTTGTAGAGATAAAAAAAGCACGTACAAAGCTGTGGGAGGAAGTGCATCTAAGGGAGAAATATATATATTAAAAAAAAATCGATTTTTCAGTTAACCGAGTCTAAAAAAAACGAACTTGAGCTAGAAATTGAAATTATTTCAGTTCATTTTTTTCTTAAATTTCTAAAAAAAATAAATTAAAATATTTCAGTACGATTCGATTCAATTATTCGATTTTTACTAAATAATGAACATCCTTAATGACACCACTAGAACCCAATGTAACGAGTAAAATTAGCATTTCTGTGCAAAGTTGAATAAACCGTTTTAAACCCTTTCCCCATTTTGGTACTTCAATTGCTAGAATTTTACCTTTTTGATCAGAATATATAGAAAGATTTGATTGCCCATGCTTGGATAGAGAATATGCTTTTAGTGCTTGCTTTTTCACTTTTTAACCTTGGTAGACATGAGCAAGTAAAAACATTAAGGGGAGATAAGTTGAATTGAGTTGAGCTGCACAGACGGAGAACATAACACAATGAATTCGCGTTGGCGGGACAGTCTGGCGTTCTTATCTTTACGGCTTGTTTTTCATGCTAAACTACCATTATATCCTTGTCTTTCTACTTCCAAAAATACCCCCTTTTTTTTTTTTTTTTGGCTCAAACGGGTTTCGTACGCTTTCTGCTGAAAATGACCCTCCCAATTGCCAGTTTTTGGTCAACAACTTTGCTTTTGCGTACACTTCGGAAAAAAAGAAAAAAAAAGAAGGAATTTCCTTAGCTTGCCACTCGTTTGTTCCGCACGGTTTTGGCATGCCAAATAATCCCCACCAAGATTAACCCACATTGTTCCTCGTGATCAATTGACAAATTCTGGATTGTCCTGCTTGATTTGATTGGTTGGAAAAATACAAGCGAAACTCTGTTTGACTTATCGATTAGCTTCTAGTTCAAGTAATTGGTTAATAGGTCCGGAGATTTCTCCGTTCTTTCTTTTGTTTTAATTGTGTTTTTTTTTATGTTTTCTATGTTAAGCTCATATTTTATCTTTTGAAATACGTCTTAAGTTAATTATTCTATTTAACTATCAACAAATTCCAGTGATTTTAGGTGGGATGGAGATTGTAATTCTTTCACCTTCTTAGGGTATAATGAAAAATCAAGAGACTTGACTAGAAAAAATTAGAATAAAACTTCTTTTCGAAAATAACTAACATACTTAATATATAAACAGGACCTTACCGAACCTTTCTTTTCAAATCTTGTGTTATGTATGACAATTTTTCCGATATCCAAATTGCATCTAGACTTTCTTTATTTGTGAAATTTTTTTTTCTAATTATATTAATTGATATTTCAAGAAACTTTCAGATAAAAGACAAAAAAATAAAAAATAGAAGGACACTTGCAACAATTAATCCTTTAAATAATAATGGTATCTTTCTATCTTGATAGTTACTATTTACTAAGAGATCAAGGGTTCAATTTTTTAAAGGATAAATGGATTAAATCTCCTATGAATTTCAAGATAATTAAAAATCACTGTTTGCGCTTTTAATTTGATCTTTCTTAGACTTTAGTTTTTTAGAGATTTAGTTCATCATTTAGTATTTTAATAAAAAAAAATCACATGAATAGCCTTACAATGGAAACTATTTAATAAGATTTATTTAGGACTCTCTAAAAAAATTGAGAACATTTTGAATTATTTTTATTTTTAACGTTTTTAATGCTAAGAAAAAAAATATATTTCTCAATCTTTAAAAATTCTACGATTTTTTCAAAAAAAAAAAGGATTGAATTTTTTCAAAAATTTCTACTCAAAATAGAAAGAATTGAATTTTTTAGAGAGGAGAGTGATAAGTGAAAATTATAAAATAGACTAAATCTCAAAAAAAAAAAAAATCAAACCTAAAATCAAAATTTCAGATATTATTTTTCAAACAAACTAAAGTTCATCATAAATTTGATCCATCTAATTTAAAAAAAAAAACACTAGATTTGTTTACACCTTATGCAATATAATAATAAAATTATCTTTTCATCTATATGATAGTCATATTAATTTTGTCTGAGCATGTATTAAGTTTGATTCGTAATCCTTTTTAACTCTAACAACTAACCACTAATCATATTTGTATTAAAAAAGATAACAATAATGTTCAGTATTTGTTGTGATTAAAAGAAATACTAATCGAACCTATTACGTGTCGTTTAATTATTAAAAAGATTCTTATAGCACATAAAGCTGCTATAAAAATGAAAGAGCCTAAAGTCACTTTCCTGGTACATATTGCTCTTTAAGTCCAAGCTCTCCACCCGAGAAAACCGAAAAATCACCGACAATAGCAGAAGATGCCTAAGAGGGAACGGGAACGCGGAGATCTGACTTGTAATTTTGTTTTTCAACGTGGGGTTTCAATATCGTATTCTAACATATAACCTTTTTGAGATGTAACTTTTTTTAACAGGATAAATTTCATTTTATTTCATAAGGTATATGAGTTTTATCAAAATTCTCTCAAAAGTTTGTTTTCTATTAATTATCTACATGACTTTTAATTCATTTATTAATAAGATTTTTCAATTGCTTCCGTTAAAAAAATTTTAAAAACATTTTTTATTTTGTAAATTTCAATTTCTCCACAATATATATATATATATAAAACTTATCAATTAACTTCTTGAATAAAATTTTCATCTTAACACAAACTTTTTGAAACATTTTTTTAAAGAACTTATCTACTTCAAGGGGTGAAATGAAATTTACCATCTGTTATTGCTGCTCCTAGTTGAAAGAAACGGTGGTTAATAATTGTCTAAAAGAAAGTGCAGAAAAAGAAATGAATGCATGCATGCAACTTGTAGCACACACATGGGCATGTCAGGGACGTTTGTCTTGCTGAAAAAAAGAACTGCATGTAACAAGGCACAATCACATGTTGATGGTATTAAATTAAACCTTCATCCATTCAGATAACTTTAAAAACTTGGCTCGACAAGCGTTTGCCCGATCTAAACAGGAATCAGCATTCCTTTTGTTTGTGAATCACTCACTTGGAAAAGAAAGACTACTCCTTTTTCGCAATTTTTGCTCCTTCCTTTCACATGCTTCAAAATGGAACTGCCGCCAAACATGGATTTAATGTTTCTTTGTTTATTCTGCGTGAAAGGAAAAAGGCTTTGCTTTTTTTTGTCCAAAACTTAGATAAAACCCTGACGACGTGTCATTGTAGGTTTGCAAAAATTCAAAAGGGAGGAGGGAAAATGTTGTCTTGACATTACAGGCCTACGCAAGGCAAGACAATTTGAGGGGAGGCTTGAGACTTGTCTTTTTCAGTAGAGTGAACTCTATCACACATTGGCCTGTTGTTGCAACAAACACAAGCAGGCACCCTGGGGACAAGATGCATGGTGGTCACTACAGTGGTTGATTTGCTTAGAGCCTTAGGCCTTTGTCGCAATGAAGATAGAGAGCAGTAAAATTCTTATCACTACCCTGACCATCTCGTTACATCTCTGAGATTCAAATGGATAAAGAGTTTTCCATTAATTTCTTTATCTAATAGCGAGCAATTAATTCATTTTCGAACATAAAAAGCCAAACCTGATTGTAGATGGCGTAGTTTCTGTTAGTTGGAGCTAATTATAAGCATTCAAAGAAGGCTATGCTTAGAGCTTCGGACCTTTATGGGTCAAATAGCTGATCAATAGATGCCCAATTACATGCAACACTAAAAAAAAAAAAAAAAAAACAAAGTTGCAATCAATCCGATTAATTCTTTATCACCTTATTGTTAGCTCCAACTCCAAGTTATGAATAATTTCTGTACCTCCTCCGACAGATATATTTACAGGAACATGCTCTAAAATTAATCATAGGGGCTTGATTTTGATCAAAACTAGCCAAGAAATTCAATTTCAAAATAAATTATTGACTATATATGCAGAAGGAATTTCAGTGTGTATGTTACCAAAAATAAATAAAAAATAGCACTATCCATCTTTTTTGTCAATCGTCAGGCTTTTACCTTTTTGGAAGTAGGGAGGGAGGGGGACAAGAGAGATGAAGAAAGAAGATCACACTAATTAGTAATTTTTCTAGTTGCCAATTGATGGCCATGCAAAAGAAAAGAAAAATGAGGAAGGGTGTTATGGTAATTTAAAGCGAGAAAGAGTTAAATGGGCATGTCTAATAACTGCACAAGCACCCCCATGTCCAGGCCTAAAACTGAAACAGCTGTGATGTCAAAGTCGTAAATCATTCCAAAGTCTAAGCCCAAATAGAAACTCTTTAATTATAATTTATCCATCGAAGATCCAACTTTGCCATCCAGAAATCCCCCAATTTCCATGCGACGACGAAATCACCAAAAATTTCAAGAAGAAAGAAGAAATCTAGAGAGAGAGAAAAAGCTGGGAATTCTAGAGGGAGAGAGAAACAAAAGAACACCAACACGAACACACTGAGAGAGACGGAGAGAGGGAAGGAGTGAGGTTTTTTTTTTTTTTTTTTTTTCTTCTTTTTGGGTAATGGCGGAGGTTAAAAAGGAGGAGAAATCAAGCAGCACCACCAGCAGCACCAACAGTAATGAAGAGAGCGTAAAACTATTTGTAGGTCAAGTGCCAAAGCATGTGACAGAAGCTCAGCTTCTGACAATGTTCAAAGAGTTCGCTTTGGTAGACGAAGTCAACATCATTAAAGACAAGACTACTCGCGCTTCCAGAGGTTACTTGCTTGCTCCCTGCTTTAATTTCTTCACATTCTCCTGATTTCTTCCATTTCAATTCAAGATTCGTAATGTGTAATCATTCTTACAACCCTAATTTCCTTTTTTTTTTTTTTTCAGGTTGTTGTTTTCTAATATGTCCTTCCAGACAAGAAGCTGATAAGGCAGTTAATGCTTGTCATAATAAGAAAACATTGCCCGGGGTTAGTTCTTCCACTAATTTGACCTCTCTATGTATAGTCTACTACTTGCTGATTTCTTGTTTTCCATCGCATTATATTGTAGATGAAATCTGAATGATTAAATTTCCGATCTCGGAGGCGTAATTGAGTGGTTTTGTTAGTTTCTGCAATTACTTACTGTGGTTGACTTTGGGTCAATGGGATCATGGAATCGTTTCTATTGTGTTTCATACATGGCAAGCGATTCTTAATTTTGAAAAAGAAGAAAAATTTGAAACCAAAGTTCCTATTGAAAATAATTTTTAAGATACAGGGATTGAACTGAATTGTTTGAAAATAGACAGAGTTAAATGTATATATCAGTTCAAAAAGACAAAAATCGAATCTGCCATTGCTCTTAAACACACAAGTCTCAGTGATTTACAGTAGTTGAATATGTTTGCAGCACAAGTAAATTATACTGTTTCGGATTTGAGGCTTTGTTACAATGAGGATCGATTTTGTTAATGAGAGTATGGTAATGTTGCTAATTGATATTGGAAAGGGGTTGGTGTTTTAGGAGAGATGAAAAGAAGTTGATTTTGACAAAATGGTTATCATGATTGGCAGATAACAATGCACTTATATTGAATAGTGGTGTTGAGAGGGTAAATTTTGATAACTGTGAATAGAGATGGTAGTGGAAAGATAAATGAGTGAGTTGCTTTATACAAAATAAAATTTGGATGTGACTGTAGATGACAGAAGATGCTGAGAGATTCTAAATCAAAATCGAAATTGTTTCGAACCATTTAAGGATGTTATGACAGAACAACTACTTTATACAAGAATAAGTTGTGATGGAATGTTAGAATCCTTTGAATGGTATAAATTTCATCGTAAAGTGAATCATTATGAAAAAACACTGATCTGTTAGTAAATTACTGCATTATTTTAAAATTTCCAACATATGTTGCCAATTGATCTTTGATGAGATGGTTATTTATATCATTTCTCAATCACAGTTATAATAGATGAATGGTCTTGCAATCTGGGATTTTGCTGGCCTAGGTATTTCAGTTAATAAGGATTTCTGTTTAGGTCTAGCCTTTTTCTGTTTCTGTGTAATCTGTTTCGTTTAAGGTTTTAATTCTCAGTGCCTTCTTTTTATTAAATATCTCTGTGGAAGTGTAGAGCTGCTTTTTTTCTTTTGGATAATCTAGTAGCTTGTAATGTGGCCCTTGATCAGTGCTAGTTTTTTATGAGCTGTGCTCTTATTTTTTTTACTCTCTGATGCATTTATCTCATTGTCTCTCTAATTCAAATGCACCCTTTCTTTCTGTCCGATTCAGGCATCTAGTCCATTGCAAGTGAAGTATGCAGATGGCGAGTTGGAAAGGCTAGGTGTAATATAATATCATTGACTGTTGATTTGGTTGCCATTGAGATCATTACTGTGAATTGTTGCAGCAAGATTTCTTATTGTTGTATCTGATTACTGTTGTTTTATTCGTTCTCTTAGTTAATTTACCATGTCACATTATGATTCTTTTTTGTTGTCCTTGCAATCCAGAACACAAACTCTTTGTCGGTATGCTTCCGAAAAATGTTTCTGAAGCTGAAGTATCTGATTTATTCTCTAAATATGGAACTATAAAGGACTTACAAATACTAAGAGGTTCTCAACAAACAAGCAAAGGTGCTTCTTTAACCTTTAATAATCCCAATTTCTTATCTGGTTGTTGTTGTGAAGCACTGAACTGTACTGTTCTTGCTGATCTCAATTAATTAATTGGTAGGCTGTGCTTTTTTGAAGTATGAGACAAAAGAACAAGCCCTTGCTGCCCTGGAGGACATCAATGGAAAGCATAAAATGGAGGTGAGCTTTATTGGCCAACTGGACTGATGGTTCTGAAGCTCAAGCAATAATTCTTCTTTCTAGTCAGAGCCCAACTTTAATTCTATGCTGGTTGATAATGTGATGGAAAAAGTCACCTTTTGTTGTCCCTGTTTTTTTAATAAATGTTAGATATCAAATTGAATTCACACATTGGATACAGTTCTGTTACATAATGTAACATCATGGACCTGCCTGGTAAAATTGGTCATTCATTCACTTCGGTTGGGGTATGCTAACTATTTGGTGAGACAAGTGATGAGCTTTTGGCAGAATAGAATAACTAGTTAGTGTCTCAAAATAAATTTTGTAGCTTTCTCCGAACTTGAATAACCAAAATTTGTATTTTGTGACTAGGCTGTTCAAGATGAAGGTATAGAACTGTTCATAAATTTGTATCAATATATTTTTCCCTCAAAACAAATGGTAAATCCAAAATCATAACGTATCTTCCATTTGATGTTGTTACTTTAGTAACAGATTCTGTAGGAATGAGATCAAGAGTTTTAACTGGCAGTTGTTTTTTTTTTTTTCTTCCTGAGTTTAGGTTTTAATATTGACTTATATATATATATATAAGTTATGAAGAATTGAGAGGAGGGGTCCAGTTTCTCTAAACCCTTTTAACATCTGAGAGCTCAGCATTGATATGGATGCACGAATCAGTGATAGGCAGTCTGATCGCTATCTCTTGCTTTGTTAGGGTTCAAGTGTTCCTTTGGTTGTCAAATGGGCGGATACAGAAAAGGAAAGGCAGGCACGGAGGGCTCAGAAAGCACAATCTCAAGCTATGCCCAATACTGATTCACAACATCCGTCATTATTTGGTGCCTTGCCAATGGGATATGCTCCCCCTTATAATGGATATGGATACCAGGTCTGTTTGTTACTACCAATTTGTCAGGAAATATCTCAGATTCTGCAGTTCTAAAACCTTTTGGAACTTGTCAGGACCTTTCTGTACTCCCTAACTTATGATTATCTTGCCCGCCTTTCTTCATTTAATTCACACTTTTTTCACTAACTTTTTCAAAATCAAAATGGTAGTAAGAGTGGATCAATCTGTTTGTTCCCCTTGTAGGCTCCTGGAGCTTATGGACTTATGCCCTACCGCCTGCCACCTATGCAGAATCAGCCTGCATTTCATAGTATGGTTCCTCCAGTAAATCAAGGAAATGTATTGCGTGGTGGAATCAGACCTGACCTTTCACCCAATATTTCACCCAGAACTTATGCTCCTGCTAGCTACATGGGCTCTGCTTATCCTACGTTGCCAGGTCTTCAGTATCCAATGACATATCCTGGAGCAATGATGAGTCATCGGCCTTTGAGTAGTTCACCTGGTACATTATCACCCACAGTTGCGAGCGGGAATTCTGCAACATCTTCGGGTGTCAGTGGAAGTTCCGGGGGTCAAGTAGAAGGTTTATTGTCTATATTATCATTCCATGTTTTGTTTATTGTCTTTTACAGTCTTGGTGTTGCTTACCTGCTAACTGCCTGTGTTCTTTGTCTTAGGTCCTCCTGGTGCTAATTTATTTATATATCACATACCTCAAGAATTCGGCGATCAAGAGCTTGCCAATGCTTTTCAAGCATTTGGCAAGGTCTTAAGTGCCAAGGTCTTTGTTGATAAAGCAACTGGTGTTAGCAAATGTTTTGGTATGCGCTTTTTATAGTTACTTGTGAGTCTGACATTTGCAATTTGGAGATCTATCTCTCTCTAATAGGCCTTTATTTGCAGGATTTGTTAGTTATGACTCACCGGCAGCTGCTCAAAATGCTATTACCATGATGAATGGATGCCAATTAGGTGGTAAGAAATTGAAGGTTCAGCTTAAGAGAGACAATAAACAGGGCAAACCTTATTGATCAGCAGGTGAGTCAAGGAAGCAAGCAGAATTCTCTGTGATATGCGGTCGCATGCAACCTGGATATATGGGAATGACTGCAGTATCAGCATATTGGGGTGGATTGATAATCTGTGTTCATTTGCATTTCTCCATCCTTGTAATTGCTTCATGGGATTGAAATTCCCAAAACTTGTAATTCATGGTGCATTGTGCGCCAATTCAATTTGTAATTTGTGTACCATGGAAGTTCATTTAGAGATTAATTATCAATTTATTGATTTTTCCATTCAGAGCTTCTGTCAGTAATGTTGTAGAATCATCCATGACAAAATCTTCTCTGATATTCTGCTATTTATTCTTAGATATTGTGCCATTCATTAAATGACCGTTTTTTTTTTTATCCTTTGTTTCCTTTTGTTGTCGGTTAAATGAATCATGGGCAAGTAATTCATGATGTGTCTAAGGACAATTAGATAGTATCAGACATGGCTCTCCTATGCTTAGTAAAGTGTGCAATTGTCCTGTTATTTGTTCTGTTTTCTATGTATCACAGAATTGAAACTGGGCGACATAACTGTGAAATTGTAGGATATCGAGTACCAACCACAGGGCTTCTGCCTGTTTCATGACAAGTGCATAGGCTGCGTCAAACCCAAGTATGTAGTGCTGCCCTGTTCATTTTAAGTACATGTATGCAAGTCCAGAACTATTCAGGTATTGTGCTAATGGTATCATGCCTGTGGATTTTGTGCTTTCGTTCTGCATCGGTTGCATGGTGCTAGTGGTGACATGTGCTGCATCCATTTAGGTCAGTTTGTGATTGATCACATATGCTTGTTTCCCCTTATCAATTGAGTTTTTGATAAAACTAACTAGATCACAAGGATTTAAGATGCTTCTTTTCTTTAACAGTTTTTGTTCTGATCTCTTGCAGATCCTCATTCCAAAACATTGAAGATACTGGTGATCCACATCACGGCATTCAGGTGCCTCTGATTTTGAAGCTTTTCCTGCATTTGAGTTTAGACCATAGGTTCTGATCATCTCTTTCAGTTCTTCATTCTGTTGGTGCTACAGTGATTCATTTTACATGATTAGGGTACCTTTTATTTTGAAGCATTTGCATGCATTTAAGTTTAAACTTTTTTCCTTGATCAACTTTATGAAGATTGCTCTTCTTGAAGGCTAAACGAATTTCAGGAAAATCAAAAAACATGTATATCTCATTTTTAATTCCTTGAGAAGACTATTACATAGAGATGTCTCATTAGGGAAAGAATGAGAAACATTATTGCAACAATAAAGTTCTGGATGGAAAAGGTATTTTATCACCGGCCTTTGAATTCTCCATAAATTTCATTTGCTTTCATTGATGAGCCTTTCTTTTACCATGGATGGAAAAGGTATTTTTCTCTTCTATCCTATATGTCTTGGAATATAGTTGACTACATTCTAATCTTTCATAAGCCAAGCTATTGAATTTTCTTATTCTGAGCATCTGCTCAATGTGAACGCTGACTTTATTGATGGTTAGTAATGTAACTAGATCACTCTTCATAGGAAACCTCTGTAATACTATATCGCTCTAAGGTATCAGGACAACAATAAAAAGAAAACAAGATAGTGTCTGCAAAATTTATTGAGCTGGGTATTCATACTCATACATGTGTTTCTGCTTTGCTGCTTTAGAGAGTGTTCTGGTCAGTAACAAATCAAGTGGCTTCCATGAAGTACTCAAATTCCCAAGTTATTCTTGTGTCTTTTGTGGACCAACTCCTCCAGATAGGCCATTCTTAATTTACAGATAAATGTGTTGTTAAGATTGGTCACTTCATTATATCCTACAAGTTTCTGCATGTTGAGTACAGTTTCCTTGTTTTGCTTTTGCTAATAAAATGTTTTTTTCTCTTTCCTTTTGGTTTTGCTGCGAAGTAAACTGTGGGCATGGGTGAGTTGGATGAAATTGGATTATGTTGTGTAACTTGTTTTAGTTTCTTCCAATTTGTCCTGCTCTTGTTTCATATTCAAATGCTCTTGAACACTTTGTAATCTGTGGTTGTTCCATTCCAATGGGATCAGTTAAAACCAGTTCAGTTAGCTTAAATCAACTCTCCCGCCAGTCGCCAGTCAACTACCACCATCGTTCCAAAACTACTCTTTGTTATCTGTATTTTTCTCCTGTCATGTCACAGTTTTTGTCTTTCATTTTCCCTGAAGAAGTTAAAATAGCTCATGAAGAGGATAATTCTAGTTATGGAATACATTGCCAGTGCATTTACACCCCCAGGCCCCAGCACTATGAATTTTGTAGAACTATCTATTTTTGAGTTGTTGAGAGTTTGTTCTTTGTGCATTGAGCTTGGAAAATTGGGCAACATCGGAACTTGTTATATTCCCATTTCTTATTGGAATCATTTCTCCTATTTTTATGTGTGTGATTGTATGCATGTATGCATCTGCTACTTTTTTAAGAAGGTAATTTTCTTTTATTGGCTGATAGTGTTCTTGGATGCTTGATCTAGACACTATGACTTTCTGGTATAAATTGCTGTTACAAGTTCATTTTCATGGGTGAAGCCATGAAGGGTCTACATTCCAAAAGTTCTGTTTCCTCGTAGAGTTAATGTGACACGTCAATAGAATTGCATTAATTGTGGACGTGATGTCAGATTATTATTGCTAATTATTTGAAGGTTCCAAGCAGTCACACATATTTCTGAATGAATAGTGTCTCGCACATCAACCCTATCACTTACGGAAAAAGATGATGCTGAACTAGAGGTGAATTGCTCACTTATACCATAAACGAAAGAGCATCATTCTCTTTGCTGCAGTCAGCTTATCTAGCCTGCATAAAGGAAGAAGCCCTATGTTGAAGTATTGTTGTTTTTGGCGTGAATGATCCTGTTTTTGTGCTCCTCTCATTCTAGCATTAATCCTTGTTGTTCCTTATATTTTGAGTACTAATTTCACGACTAACAGTTGTAAAATAGGGAGGATTACAGAGCTTATAGAAGCTTTCAACCTTCCAGAGATATTGAGGATTATACAGAGCCGGGAGTAAGCTTCATAGTTTATTTGGGTGGCATCTCATCTCCCCCCAGCTGATGAGCTGATTACAAAACGAAAGGCATAATTTATATGTTAGGTCTTTCCCAGATGATGCATGATAAATGCTCATGAATACCACTTTGAAGGATGAAAAGGAACTCTTAATAGAAATCTAGGCTGACATCTTCACAAGTTTCACCAGCTATTCTTAATTTGTTATTTCCTGTATGGTCACTTTGTTGGATATTTCTACGTAATGTCAAGACCTCAGAAATCATGAATGTACCAGTGGTTTTCTTCATCTTCCTTTGGAATACTGTATTCTACCAATATGATGGGTTTGGTGTTGCCTTTAATAATTTAGTCAGTTTCGCGTTCAGCTGTGATTTGTTGATCTATGATATTCTTTGAGGAAAAAAAAACATTCGTGACATTCTTCAAACATAATATTGAGCAGGCTGTTCTGTTGGATTACACAAATGGGAAGAACAAGTTTTGATGCTTGTGGAGAATTTAACTATTCTGTAAGCATTTTAACTGTTGTAGTCTTTTGCTTGATAACCATAATCCAATTTCTTTTTCATTTTTTTTAATCTTCAGCAAAGACGGCCGTGATTATAAATGTAAAAACTAGATACTCCAGTAGGGATCTCAGCCAGTTTTTTTGTTGGGCTTATCCAAGTTGGGCGCCCACAATTATTTCAGATCAAGCTACCTTCATCGTCAACTAAAGATTTTGTCTTTGCTTTCTCAGTTCCATACTTTTCATCTGATTTTCATTTTGAAGGATTTGTCTGCATTGCCTCGCGAATGCTATAATTTACCGACATACAGTAAAAACAAAGCATCCTTAGGTTTGGTGCCTTCTTCTAGGTGGGTTTTCTTTTTTAAAAGAAAAATAAAAAAACACTGTTGTTTACTTTTGATTTACTGTATATTTAGAGAAATCCAATTACGGTTTTCTCTGTCGTAAAACAGACGTTTATGTAAAGATCGTAGGAAACAGTTGTAGAACCAACAAGCAAATGCCTTAGCAATTGCCGGCTCAAATATGGTGGTTTAGACTGTAGATGAAGGGATGGTTCGAGTAGGTGGCTTGATTATCATCACAGCATATACCCATACTGCTTTATATGATTGCGTGATAAATAATGAGTCCTATGGTAGACAGACGTAGTAAACAATTTGGGTAGTCCTATAAAGCAGTCAAAACAGTGCTGCTTTACTCAGTCATGGATTAGACCGTAGTCACTTGTCTATCTAATTCTATATTTATATAATATAGTAAAGCAAATGCATTTTAATTGGTAATCAATATGTAATGCTGATAAAGATAGACTCATCAATGTCATTGCTCCAATCGGATTGAATAGAAATTAAAAAGGAGAAAATCTCCCTATATTGACTGCTACTCAATTCCAATGAAAAAATAAATAAATAGTACACATTTGCCTAGACATTTCATTTAAAGCGTAAAAAGTCAAAAGCATTTTCAAATTAATAACAATTAAAAAAACCCATGTTTATGGAAAGACGAAATCTTTTTTTTTAGAAAAAAAAATTATTAAATTATTAAATTGCGTGACATTTGGCAGCAATATACTCCCATCGATAAATACAATAAATACTACCAAGTTATCTTTCCGATAAAATATAACGCATGACCTAAAATTTCGTTTATATTCATGAACCGAATTTCAAGGGCAATTATATATATATATATATAACACAAACTTTCCAATTTTCAAATAAAATCTAATTTTTCACCAATTAAATAAAAATTAAAACCTTCGGACAAATACATTGTAATTTTTAACTTCTAAAACAACTTTTATGACGTAATAAATATTTTGCAAGGACCAGTTCAAAGATTCAATGAAAAACAAAATGCTATTTTCAAAATGATACAAAATGCACATTCAAAGTCAATGAGCTATAAACCTATGGATACAAAAAGCTGTACTGCCGCGAGTCATTCGCTTGTTGATTAGTTTTTTTGAAACAAAATATGATCATATATGTTACTCAACTTAGGGCCAAAAAGTAAAGATGACCCTTAAATTATTATTTTCATCATTTATAGTTTTTTTTTTTCCTTTTGATTTTACTATATGAATTTATTAGATGTTTGAATCAGAGTCTCTTTGACCACTATTTCCCATCGGTACTTCTCCCTTGCGAACCACCAAATTAGACTATCAAAACAATTATTTCAACCTTACAAATGATATTTCAATATCAAAAATCATTTTAAAACTCGAAGAAACACAAATTCTTGAGTTTTGATCTTTGAATTCAAAATTTGCAATCATTAAAACACCAAGTCTAGTGGTAGTTGGATCCTAAATTTGTATGGTTAAGCTCACAAGGATAAAATCTTTCATTTGATGGTCATGTCGTCACCAATAATGAGTGGATCGTAATGGAAAATATCTCCAATTCTCCATCAACACTACATGGTTCAAATGTTAAAAGCGAAAAAAAAAATGTAAAGGATGCCAACCAAAATATTCAGTAGTTAATTTCTATAGTTTATGTTTAATAAACCGCGAAGTTAGAGTTATTATATTGACTCTTTTGTTGATGAAGAAAAATTATTACAAGAATAATATGATCTACCACTTAAAATTATGGCCGAAACTAATAAAATTATTATAAATAATTAAATTTGTTCAAATCATATATTTAATAAATCATGTTTAGAATTTGTGAGTTTTTTCACGTTTAATAACATATCAGCTATTATGAAATGTTTGAGACAAATTTAATTACATGTAAAAATACTTTTAGTTTAGTGCATGATTTTAAGTGATAGAAAAGATCCATATAATATATATTTTTTTTAATTGATGAGAAGGGTAAGCGGGACTGGAGGAATAAGGCAAGGCAAGGGTTGTCGTCTCGTTCTAGGTAATTTCTTGCGGGAGTAGTTCTACACGTGTTTGATTGTAATAACTTTCGCAAGTTAGAGGACTAATAAAGAGTGGAGCCCATGTGATTGCCGTGCACAATTACTCCAAGTAATGCTCTTCTCGAACCAAATGCTAATCATGGCATTCATGATTCAACCACGAAGTAAGGTGCTAGATGTGGAGGAGGAAGAAGCACTGCTTGATGTGGGTGGCTGAGCCACAAAGTCAGGCTTCTACTCGTAGACTTTGGTTTTGCCCATTTTGTGCGCTAGCCGACCCTTTTAGGCTTTTTCATTCTTTTGCGTTGGACGAACATTTGTTCTGCCGTTTGAATTCTCAAGTGGAAGTGAGACCGCCATTCATTTTCTTCCACGTTTTAAATATTGCAAAACGATACTATCTTGATTTTCCTGGTCCCTTCAATTTGCACAAGACGAAGCATAATCAGAGAGAGTCATGGTTTTCTTCTTTTTTTTTTTTTTTTTTTTTATTGAGAAGCTTTACCACATCATCATGGTTGAAATAGTTGCTGACATAAAGAAAAATATTCCAATCCCTTATTTTGACTTTGTTAATCTAAAAATATTTAGAGTTGCCACTTATTCTTTTTTATTTTTTTGCATTCAATTTGCTCTAGAAGATCTTGACAATGACAATTATCAACTCATGAGTCTGCTAATTAGAGGCTTAATTCAAAGTTTGAAGTTGATTGTTTAAACCCAAAAAGGCCTATTTATCAACTCTCTGAAAGGACAAGGGATAAATTATTACCGGATTCAAACCATTTGATAATTAATATAATTTATAATTTATCTTTTTTTGCTCTTTTTACATTTAATTTTATAAAGAAAATTAATCAAAATAAAAATATAGTACTCCGCTAATTAACAAAAAATAAAAAAGGCGTCGGACACTGGAAAGACAAGGGGCCGATGACACCGAATTCCAGATCATTTTTGTTTGTTCGTTCAGAAGACCAAAATATTATTTTTATCTTGTTTCTAGAAGCCATACTTGATTATACTGCATTCCCTGCCAAGCTGCCATATTTTATATACCTTCTAGAAGATTGGTCACATGCTTGTCATTTCATTTCCTTTCTCTTTCATCAATAGGGCGCCTTTCCCTTTTGCTAATTTATTCCAATTTTGATGATGCTGAGTTGCTGACTTATACAAGAAAACTCAGTTCTCCTCGATTCAAACTCTGCAAATTACAATACAACCCTATATTATTTCATGTATCCGTTAGTACTATAAATACTTAGCTATGTCCTAGTACAGAAAATCTTCCATAAAAAGTCACAAATTATCAAAACATTAATTGAGAAAGGTATTTTCTTTCTTTTTTTACTTCTCATTGGAAATAAAGAAATGAACAGAGTGAGGAAATCTGTTGATGTGTCTTCTTTCTTGCTAGTGGAAGCTACGGGTGATTCTGAGGTTGATTCTGATGCCAACATGGCCAGTATAGATCTTGTTGATGACGCTGATGATGATGATGCAGAGTCATGTTGCTGTGATTCATCAGACCATTCTTGTGCTAGTGACTTCATTAATGGTGCCCGCAGTGAGGTTGAAGCATATAATGTCAATTGTCATGTGGTTGATGATGCTGATGACGACGACGACGACGACGAGGAGGAGGAGGAAGAGCAGGAGAAGGGAGTTCATGTTTATCAATCATGGGTTGAGCATGGACATGTTGGGTTACCAATGAAGCAAAAATCGTGTGTTTCAGCGGATTCAGCCAAAGAATCATTGAATGAGCAGGAGAAGAATAGGCTGTTTTGGGAGGCTTGTTTGGCTTCCTAATTAATCGAAGTCTGCAGGATTAGTAATATTTTTCTTTCTAACTCATGTTTCAAACCATTTTGATCTTCATTTTTGTGTCGGTGTTTTTTTTTTCAGTTGGGAAAGAGAGGGGAGAGGCGGAACACAGTATATTTGTGTTATAGATATCAATTGTACATATGATTTGGCAACTTGTTTGCTTTTCTTCGGGAGTTCTACTTCTTAATGATATCTGTATGTGTATATATAAGAGTTCTTGATGATGCTATGGGCTGTATAATCTTCCAAGCTTTTTCATATACTGGATTATTAGCTGGGAGCTTTGAGCAAATTTTTTGATCCTATGTTATATGGATATATACATTTGAGTGAGGTTGAAAACTATGCCTAATTGAGTTCGATTGAAGTCACTAATTATCTTGTTGAGGACAGCGTACAGTTGCTAAAATGAGATTTTTCGAAAATTTTAAATTTCATAGCACAAAAGAGTCCTCAGCTAGAGCTCCAACTTCATCATAAATTAACTTCAGAGATCTTTTTTGCTTATCTGTTTGTTGGCCCGAGGACATGGAATTAGACAAGCGGAACATATTACATAAGAGCCTAAAACTGCTGAGGTTAGAAATACATTCCGATGAAACATAAATAGAAAGTTTTCAGCTCTGTGCTGAAACTTAACAGAATGAGCACAAATTCAGCCCAAAGCTGAACCATGACTCTTAACAATCAATCCATCACAACTGGACACTCCCTAGCCTAGTTCAAGCAAAGCACACAGAATTAATGCAGCAGTAATTTACAGAAGCAACCGTGACGGGAGAGAGCAAACCAAAATCTGCAAACAAAGCATTTTCCTAAGCATGTTGAAGGGGAAACTTCAGTCAAACAGATTCACTAGACCCAAATGACTGCTTGATCAAAACGGACTCTGCTAATTTGTCGATCACCTGCTCATCATCATCAGTGTCTTCGCATCCTTTTGATTGGCTTCTTATGTCAATCTTTTGTCCTACAGTTATCACACTTGCCCTTGAGTCTTCTCCATCGCTTGAAGCGGAACTGGAATTTTCATTTTTGCTATCAGTGAATGATAATCCAGACTCCATTTTAGACTCAGAAAAACTGCTGGCACCTGCAAAGTCTCTTGGTAGACCAATTGCAGATTGCTCCACAAACATATAGGTGGATTTTTTATCCTCATCCAACTGCCTCAAGAAGCATTCTTCTACCTCACTTGATGACTCAGCGTCGTCATCGTCGTCATCTTCTCCTTCGCTGCCAGGGCCGTAATGGACATGATCATCATAGTCTGATGGCGCCTGTCTCAGTTCACAGCTAGTATCCATCTCGTGCTGACTGTCAAATTCCTCATCGGTTTGCTGACCAGATGAATGAGATGACATGGGTGAATATCCTCCAGTTGCAGTCTCTTCACGCTCTCGCAGCATTTTCGTAATTAGGGTTTTGAGGAAGTTCATTACTTGTACAGCATGCATCAATGCTGTCAATGGATCAGACATCTGACAAGGGGGAAAAGCCTTCAATTACATCGAACAAATTTGGAAACACAGTGGCCAAACAAGAACCTACTGAGATTTAAAGGTACCATCAAGTGAACATGCAAGGCTACAATAATGTTTCTTGATTTTAAAAGCAAAAGTTACTTCATTTCATTGTATTGTTCCTCCTTTTGCTAGAAAATAGACTTCTATATGCTAAGAAATAATGGAAATATACCTGAGTCATGTTTGGAGCAAAGACCATAGCAATATTTCTAGCATTCATTTTATTGGAATCTTCTTCCTCAACAACATCAGCCATGAGACCAACAGCCCAGTTGAGCAATGCAGACTCAGTCGGCTTTAGCTGCTTCACAAGCTCAACAGATTCTTCCTCTGTGTTGCATTGCAGAACTTGTTCAGGAGAAAGCCCATCCAGCACCCCAGAAGGAAGCTCTCTAAACCAGGCTTTTATAAGGCCTGCTAAACAATGGACATCAATATCATCAGGCACAATGCCCCTGTTCAGCTGGTCCCTCACATGCTCCTCCTGGCTATTTTCTGGGTTTATGCGGAAAATCCCTTCCGCCTAGAAAATCACCCGAAATCACATGTTAGACAATTCACTCGATACTGAAATGTGAGTATAAAATTCCAACTATTTGAATGTTAAATGGTATTATAATTGATACCTTTAGACCTCCTTGCGAGTATAATCTATCCTGCATCAGCAACAGAATTGTGGGAACGCTGTTTCCTCTCGAATCATAAGAACATTGCATTGAAGCTGCTGAGACACCAAACACACTGGCACTGCAAATTGTGATGCTTAAATTAAAGTCACGTAGAAACCACAAAATAAACCGAGAAAATAAGAATTTGTACAAATTGATAGGTGACAACAAGAAGCAAACTATTCGAGAAATTGAACAGAAGAGAACAGAAAAGCAATTACATTTTCAAATTGAAACCATCCTCTGAAAGAGTCCCCATTTTTGGACACTAAGAAAAAATTGAATAGCTCATACAAATTTTCAAAATTTTTAAGGAATTTCATGAGTAGCTGGAGATAAGTAAATTGAATTTCATTCCATTCCATTTCCGTAAAGTTAGGAAATATTTCATTGGGGTTTAACCATCTATCTCCTCAGAAGCTGTAAGAAGGTTAACCATGGTAAAAACCCAACTCGGGAGCTGAAAGGAGAAAGTTTAGACCAAATGCAGCTAAAAATCTGAGCTCATTTTCAAATTTCTCCTTTTTAACTTTGAAGAGCCAAAGCAAACACAAGTTTGCATCTTTCTCACTCCCAGATCTAGTCTATCTCACCCCCAACAAGAATGATACCCGGTTCAAATTTCACCAATTTAAAATCACCTAAAAAAAAAAAAAAAGGACAGACAAGAAGAAGAAAACTGGGTACCTAGCACTTGGAACTCGACAAGGGATCTCAACCTCAAACTCAACAGGAAGACCCAGAAAGCCATTGAAGCGATCAAAAGTGACATGAGTTATATGTTGAACGTTAGTGGGCCAGCTAATGTCCATGTTATGGAGGGTGCTGCAGCTGCTTGTTGGGATGACATCATCTGCTCCATCTTCAATGCGGCAAGCCACAAGAGATTTCCTTATAGCTGTCAACAGAAATGTCGTCATAGACAGCTGCTGGCTCTGCACTTGCTCTTGATGATCTTGTAATTCACTCCCCTTGGTTCCTTTTGATCCTTTACCACCAACAACACCACCACATCCACCTCCCTTTGTCACCATTACAATCCCTGTCATTTCAGCTATAGGAAAAGATGTAAAGAAAAGAATAGAAGAGAAGAAGAAGTTTGTTTTTTTGAAGTTTGAAGCTCTGCTATTAGCTCTTTCGTTCTTTCTTTCTTTCAAAGTTGGACTTCAAACGGCCACTCGTTTCAAATTTTAGAAGGACTTTAACCTTTTTGTTTCCTATTTAATTTAACTTTATCTGTATTCATTCTTTTGACGTTTTTGACTTTACTGTTTTCTGATATTACCGTCGATGCCACTCAACAAATTTCATTGAATTTCATTAATTCTCTAATCTAACTAACTCCTTCGATTGTTCATTAAATTCTGCTTTCCACTTCTTTAATTGTTCATAGCTACACATACAATTAACTTTTATTTGCCTCCTGAACTTCGACTTTTAACACTACTGGTAGCTTGGACTTGGAGCCTACACATTTTGGTAAAGCTAGCTTGTGCATTAATTTCTTTGCTTCCATTAGATCCAAAAACTTAATATGGAATACCTGCATTTTGATTCCTTCATGAAAACATTTTGCTTGTGTACAAGATGACAGAGTAGCTTAGCTCCTTTTCCATGTGCCCAAAGCTAGGAGTTGAAAAAAAAAACAAACAAACAAAGTACAGAGAATAATGTCTCAATCTTTGTTTTTTTTTTTAAGAATATCTTAAATTTAAAAATTTAGATTAATTTTTCATTATTTTATCAGACTCACAAAATAAGAATAATTATTCAAAAAAAATTATATATATAAATATTTGAATTCAAAACTATCTATTTAAATAATTTACTTAAGTTAATTTTTTTTAATTACAATCTTCGCTAAAACTAGCAAATTAAGAGAAGCAGTAATTTCGTCTAAGCCCGTGACACAAACTTCTGCTCAATTGTCCACCAAATCACTCGCGTTACAAGTCTCCACAAGTAATAATTACAGATGACCTACGTACTTAAGACATTGCCCAGTTAAGAAGAGAGAACGTGTAAGATAACTGACAACCCTTGATAATGATTAGTTCTCTTATATTTAAGAGATAATGTAGATGAAGTTGAGTCAGTTGCTGAGCTATCTTAATTAGCTACTGTCTCCTGATGGAATTGGAACGCCAGCCGCCTATATGTCCTTTTATCTGATATAAGTATTAAGAGACAATTTCCAATTCCAATAGAAAATTAGTGCTCCTTGGAGCCCTAGGGGAGAGGGGAGGGGAGGACCCCTTGAATTGATGATGAATATATATTCATCGACGTGCACTGTTCTCATGTTCGTATTAGGGTGTATTTTTAACCGACGTCACATTTTTTATATTAATTTTAATTATGAAATGTATTTATTTATAGGAAGATAATATTTAATATAAGAATTTTTAACAAGTGATTTATAGAAAAATCAATTATGATAAATTTTTTTACTTTATATTTTAAAAATATCACAACGTTGAATGCTAAAACTCATTTTATGATTTATGTAAAACTATGAGAGATAAAAATACATTTGTTGATGATATATATGAAAATTATTCATTTAAAGAAAGAAAGACTTAATTTTTGTTTGAGAAAAAGAAAGATTTAATTAATTAAACAATTTAAAGTAATTTTTTTTGTAAATAATCCTTACTCTTCATATAAAATGTCAAGGTAAGTTTTTTTTTTTATTAGACGATAATAATATTTTTAAATCAATTTATATATTAACTGAAATTAAATTTGTTTTCTGAAGAAGATGCAATCCAATTTGTCTCTTGATGTATTAAAAAAATAATAATAATTTTTTTAAATAATGATTCTAATAATTAAATCTATAAATTAAATTACCGAATCAACTTCTTAGAATTGGTAGCTTAAAATTTTAGTTAATAGGAAGATTATATAATGCTAGAAGAAAAACTTTAAAAGAATCACATCCGAAAACAAAACTGTTCAAACAAGAAAAGATTTTCAAGTTCCCGCTTCAGATTATAACAATAATAGTAAATAAATGAAGTAGGACTACGAAGCGATATCATGTCACTTTCCGTTTCAAGTTCTCTTATTTTGACGGGAAGGCCTTTCCTTCCTTCCTTCCTTCAAGCGATATCATGTCACTTTCCGCGTTGAGCTAAATATTAATACGAGTTTATTACTTAACAGTTCGAACTTTTATTTCTTTACTTAGTAGTTAGTACTCCCAATCAAACCCAAAAAAAAAAAAAAATAGGATTGGAAAAAGCAAAAAATATTGCAAAACGACCGTTGCTGTGTTCGTGTCTTGGATGGCCTATCAAACTTTTACATTTCCAATAACGATGGAGTCCTTTATGGGTCATTCGCGTGATTAAAGGTGAGAGAGAATGAATTAAGAGTATATTACTACTATTTATGTACTTTTGTTTTCCTTTCTAAATGTGTTCTCCTTTATCTAGAACCCTGCATAGATTATTTCCACAATTCTCTTGGCTTTGCTGCCCAGTCTACCGGCAATAGAATAGAGTAAATTCTAAAGTACTTTATTTTAGTTTTAACAAATAAATTAGTTAGTTCTCCTATTTCAAAAAAACTAATTATTTTTTTTTGTTTGCTTTATTTTTTAAAAAAATAAAAAGATATTATAAAAAATTGATGAGCAACAAAATTCATTTTTTTATAAAATAATATTAAATTAAACGTGATCGATACTAATCAAAATATTGTTATACTATATTGTTTTAGGGTATTGTGTTATGTTGTGCGCTACATCATTATATTTGTTGTTATATTATGATATAAAAATAGTATTTATTAATTGTTTAGTCTATTATGTTTATAAATATTTGAAACAACTAAATTATATTTGGTTAAATTATATTATTGAACTTTTAAAATATAAAATAACCAATAAAGACCATAATATATTAATTTTGTTTAACGATTATATTTTATTTATATTGAATGAATTAACTTTTTATGATATAAATTTTTAAATTTAAAAAACTAAAATAAAAAAGGTCAAATAGATGGATAATATATACATGAACATCGTTTCGATAAAGTTAATTATGCAAAATATTTTAACCGTTAGATGGAAGGGTGACATTATCTAATGTTGGCTATATATGTTTGGGGAAAAATGATAAAATCATTTCTTGGACATAATTGATCTTAAGGCAATATGGTAAGGACCAAATTGAGGTTCTCTCAAAATATATTTACTCTATTTGAAATCGTTACATTCAAGTTGATGTTGAAATTTCGAAATTAAAAAATTATTCCTCTAGCTGTATTATGGCATACGAAATTAATCCGTAGTCTATATTTATTTTTTTCAATACTGATGGAATCATTAATTGGATTTTGACATGACTCATTTGGAAGTTATTTATTACATGAATGCTATTTTTTTATTTATCATTATTTGAAAAATCATAAATTTAACGGCATTTTCAAAAAGGCATAAAAAACATGTCTTAAGCCCGTTTTAAGGCTAATAATGTGTGCTAAGGAGAAGAAGTTTTGTGTAGAGGTGTAAAAACATTTTTGATCTAAAATTCTTGTGCCAGCTTTAAACAAGGTTTATCAACAGAGCACAATATTACGTGTCAAAAGCGTTTTGATCATTGATAGTAAGTTTACACAATAAGGAATGCCATTTATTAAAAAAGTCCTCGACTCATCAAATTTTAAGAACAGAGGCCTTCGAATAGAAAAAAAATCTAAATATGAACCCTAAAATAGAAAAATAAGTTACAATAAGAGATAAAAAGATCACAAGAAGAGGCCCTCAGGTAAAAGCGTGGTTCTCTCTGCCTTTCTCCATGTATAGACAATTTTAATTATGAAAATGTTGGGTTGCATAAGAACATCACGGTAACTTCAACTCGGAAAGGGACATTTTCTCCATAAAGTTATTTACGTTCTTGCTAATACTAAAAAGAAAAGGGAGCAAGCCAAGCTTCTAAGCTCGAGGAGGAGCGTAACCGGACCAGATTAATCTTTTTTTGTCCCCTAATGCATTAATTTTTGGTCACGTAACACTTGCTGCATGGAAATTGGGAAATAATAATTGGATCGAGACAAATGGTCACATGGGTCCCACGACACGGGACCTTGTCCCCATTTCTGCCCAATCAGATTCAGGTGTATAAAATCTCTCTCCATTGTTGGTAGCAGTATTTGAAATTCAAAAACACTGCGCAGGAACAGGATGTCCAAAAGTATTTGATCGTTACGCTGCTCTTTTCTCTGTCTCCTCCATTTGAAGTACTACGGAGCTGTTTTTTTAGTTACTTTCTTTGAAACATCATTATCTTTGTATTTTCAAAGAGGATTTGCAGACAAATTTATTTTTGCTGCTCCATGACAAAAAAAAACCGTGTAATGTAATAAGAAGCTTTTCTCAAACAATTTATTAAATAAATAATTGTTCAATTAGCAGGAAGATGAAGGAAAAAAAAAAACGGATAATTATACTGAGAGCTAGCTTCTTCTATGTGGATCAGTAACTCTGTGGACGCCCATCATTTTGAACAATTAATAAATACCAGAAAAAGATAAATGAGCCCAGCCCAAATCTGATCCCTATGGATCCAGCTCATGGTTATGAAATTCTTTTGAATACATGATATGTACGTTGATGCAAAAACGTTCTTATAAAATGAACAATCCAACGTGGAGAAGGGAGAAGGAGACTGTCCTTTTATGGATGCAAATAAGGATGTTTTGCTCGTATTCAAGCGTTTAGGTAAAAATGATATTCGCAGTAAGACCCAAAAATGAACTACAATCATGTAATTGTTGGGTTTCCTCCTAGTTGGAGGATGGCCTAAACATTTACCTACATGAGCTTAATTTTGAAGCTTACGTAGAAGAGGATTTTTTAATCACTTAAAAGGTAATTTTGGTATTTTCAAATAAATTTTATCTTCTCTTTTATTTTGAAATCAGATTAGGGAAGAATCAAGAGAGAAAAAAAAGAGAAAATGAATGAGAGCTGCAACTTTTAAGAGAAAGAGGGAAAAGAGTTTCAACACGGATCGACTCATATTAAAATTGAGTTTTTGTGTTCATTAACTGTTGGATCGAGCTCACATTTGGTGGGCACGTTCGGGAGAGGCAGGCGCATATTCCGGACGGTGGAGATCTGGTTTTGAGTCCTGGAGAGGGAGATATTGTGCTCGTAATAGTGTTGTTTTCCGGTGAAATCGAACTTGGTTTCTTCTACTTTTTTTGCGTATCATCTTTTGATGTGGTTTGCCAAAAGTGTGTTAACATTTGATTTTTGTGACTGATTATTCATCTAGTTTAATCTAGAGAGACTACTTGTACCAAATATTGTTGATAGTGGAAGTTATAGTGGACTCCGGTCTCGTGGTTTTTTCTTTCTCAAATTGATGAAGTTTTCAACATAAAAATTTATATGTGCTTTATGTAATTGTGATTGGTTGTTTATTTTCAGATTATTAGTTACTTGTTTGGCTTTGGTATTTTGTTGTAGCCTATGGTTAATTGTTCAAGCAAAGACAAAGGAGTTTCATCTGTGTTATTTGTTGTTTTGCATCCCTAATAACAAAAACGAAGATATTCTCAATATTTGGGATGGACATTCATGAATATTCACATCTACCCACGGATCACTATCAATATCACTGAAGAAAATTTAATGAAATACATCTATCCAATATATATATATATAATGGATAGATGTATATCATTAAAATCACAAATTTATAGTAACGGCAGCGTGAGGTTTCCAGTAAAAAACCCTTAAATTTGTGATTTTGATTTATAATAATAATATATCCAGATATATAACCGCTGACATGCAACTTAAGATTTTAAATAATATATAATAGCTGACTTGCAAACTCAGGCAACTACAAAATCAAAGAATATTTGACTTTGGAAGCTAATTAAACTTTTGAAATAGACGGGGTCAATATTGCCATGTTCTTAATTTTTTTCTTTCTTAAGCCTAAGCTGCTTTATATGCTGGCTCCTGAATTTCAAAAACTGTCAACTAGTAATTAAAATCTACATGATAATCTATGCGTACACAACTAACAAATAAATCAGTAAATAGTTAACGAAATCAATCAAATAAAAAAAGATTGTAAATAAATTAGATCACTCGAATAGAAAAAAATACACATTTAAATAGAAAAAATTAATAAGTTTAAACACCTAAAATGTAATTAATTCAAATTAATGTTTTTGATGGACAACTAATTATTAATTAGTATAGTAATTGCAAAGTTCCTTCTAATTTATCTAATTAAAAGCGTGAAGAACATATTTCAGATCTTTATTTTTGTTATTTACACAGTTAATTTTGGTTGGACATATATCAATCGGAAAACCTACGGTGATCAGACCAGCACATTTCCATTTCCAAGTTTCAATGACAAGTATCACGGCACGGGAGACGGAAGTTGTCATTATTTAATAGACTGTGGATCGACCTGTAAAACATAGCACAAGCTTGTAGCTGATTTTTACTTATCCCTTGCTATTGGTATTATACCTCAATTGTTGTAAGCTAAGCTTTAGTCCCCAACTTGCAAACCTTGGATTAAGCCATTAACAAACATAATTAATACAATCCATGAACCCCGGTATCTAATTATACATGCTTCAAAAATATTGAACCAATACTATGCATCAATATGGAAGCAATGTTGACCTTTTTTATCGTCTTCTCCTTTGACCTTGTCTGTTTTCTTTTATGATATCACGATTGGCTAGCAAATATTCGAAAGCACCAGTAACTGGATATACTCATTGGGTTATCATCTAGGATAAATCGATTTTCATATATGTATACAGAAGAGGACATAAGAGAGTAATTTTTTTTGGAATTAATGAACTAATCCAAAAATGGATAAATTTCTTAAACTTGATTAGGAAGTGACTTACTTTAGTTACATGGAAGTTGATATGTATCAGCTCGTATATTGTTAAAAAGAAAAAAAGAAGGAAAAAAAAAGAATGCACAATGTATAATAATAGATTAAGTTAATCTGTCAATACTCTTAATTAATTGTTACTAATGGTTTTCTATTTAAAACCATATGCCTCATTCATTTTCCTAGTATTCGGAAAAATGAGATATGTAGTGTCAAGCAGAGGAATCAACTCCTCTCCAAATCAAATAAAAGTCAAGGGATTTGAGATTAATGTTAAATCTGAAAAATAAATAAATAAAAGATCCAACGACACCGTTTATTCAATGTTTGGGAAAAATAACTTGCGCCTCCTTTGTAGCGTCTTCTCCGTCAAGCAAACATCACATATAAATTCCTAAAAAGCTCTCTCACTCCCTTACACTAGAAAGCAAAAGCAAAGCACCCAATTCTCTTCGTCTCAAGCTCAGAATTCTCAGCTCTCTCAATCCCCGGCAAGTAATCAACCAATCAATCAAGATGATGCTTCGAATCCGCAGCAGAGACGGACTCGAACGCGTCTCCATCGACAATCCAAACACCACAATTTCCCAACTCAAAACTCTAATCCAAAACCAACTCCAAATCCCTATCCAAAACCAAACCCTCTCTACTAACCAAAACCTCCTATTAGCCAAATCCCCTTCCGATCTCCTCCAATTCTCCGACATGTCAAACCCTAGTACCCCTCTCTCTTCCCTCAATATCTCTCACGGCTCCATTATTTTCTTAGCCTACGAAGGCGAGAGAAATATTGCGGGCCCCGCTGTTCACCCTGCTGGTTCTTTCGGCCGTAAGATGACAATGGACGATCTAATTGCCAAACAGATGAGAGTTACTCGCCAAGAAAATCCGCACTGCGATTCGGTGTCGTTTGATCGCGATTGCGCTAATGCGTTCCAGCATTATGTTAATGAAACCCTGGCGTTTGCGGTTAAAAGAGGTGGGTTTATGTATGGAACGGTGTCGGAAGAGGGGAAGGTTGAAGTCAATTTCATATACGAGCCGCCGCAGCAGGGGACTGAAGAGGTTTTGATGCTTTTGAGAGATTCTGATGAAGAAAAGTTAGTGGAGGCTATTGCGGCGGGTTTGGGGATGAGGAGAGTGGGGTTTATTTTTACGCAGACTATAATGCAAGACAAAAAGGATTATACTTTGTCCAACAGGGAGATTCTTCAGGCGGCGGAGCTGCATGCTGAGAGTGAGTTGAAGGAGTGGGTTACTGCGGTGGTGAAGTTGGAGGTGAATGAGGATGGGGGAGCTGATGTGCATTTCGAGGCGTTTCAGATGAGTGATATGTGTATTAGGTTGTTTAAAGAAGGATGGTTCGAGACAGAGATTGGGGAGGATGAGGATCCTAAGTTATCTAAATTGAAGAAGGATGTAGTTGTTGGTAGCAAGGATGTTAAGGAGGTTGATAATGATTTCTTCTTGGTCGTTGTCAAGATTTTGGATCACATGGTATGTTTTACATGTCACTCTTTTGCCTTATTTTGATTATTGCGTTTCTTTTTTCCTGTATTTATTTTCTGATATTGTTTTTTTTTTTTTTTTTTTTTTTTTTTTTTTTTTTGTGCTTGATTGGCTCTAGGATTGCACTTCATCGATTGATATTAGATAGTTGATTGGAAAAATGTACTAAATGGTCCATGATTGGTTGCCCTAGGATTGCACTTTATTGATTGATATTTGATAGTTGATTGGAAAAATGTACTAAATTGCCCATGAAAGCTGAATTTAATGAACCTTTTGATTTGTAGCTTTGGATTATGGACTTGTTAGATAGGAGATTTCCTATCTCAGTATTAAGCTACTTCTTGACTGAAACTATCCAGTTTTTCTGTGAAGGGAAGGTTTATAACATTGCAGACAATGTAAAAAGTAAACAACATGAGGAAAAAAAGAATTGAGTTTGATAGCCAAATGATTAACATTTTATCATATGCATTAGAGTGCACTTCACAGTGAGTTGGGATATTTTTTGCCCATTATTCTCTTGCCCATGCTTACACATAGTATAACTTAGGAAGTGCCAGTTTTCACTATTTTCTTGTTATGTTGATTACTGCAGTACTTCTAATTTTTGAACATCAACTTGCAGTCTAAGTTGAAGTTCCATTCTCTATGTAGGTGGGGTGAGATTGCTAGCTATCTTGCTATAGGGTTTATGTATATAAACTTCTAAGTGCCGAGAAGGATATATCTGTTTTTGTGGGGGAAAAAATTTGTTTTTTGTTTAGAATTTCTGCAACTAAATATGTGTTAATGGCAAAGCTAGAGTCATTGGAACTTGATATAAAGTTTTTACTTAAATCATTCCACTGCCAAGTTTACTTGTGCAGATTGCTAGAGTTGAACTTTTTTATTTTGCTGTGTGGTCTTCCTTCTTTTTACTGGGTCTTGGATCACTATGTTTTTTGTTTGTGATCAAAAGCGAGGCTGTGCCGAACCTAACTGGTGTGCACACATTATTTGTGTGTGCACGTGTGTGTGTGTGTGTGTGTGAGAGAGAGAGAGAGAGAGAGAGAGAGCAGATGTATGTTTCAAGGGTCTCATATTGGTAGTTTGCTCAACAAATATCATGGAATAATGAGTCACCCATATTTGATAACTACAAATAGTGGACATGGAGACAAGCTATAAATATGCCAGGCAGAAAAGATGGCAATGTCGTGTATCCAACAAATCATTATATTTCCTGGATGGGGTTTATGGTTATTTTATGTGCTGGCTTTATACAATTACAGTTAGTTTATAGTTTATGCAAAAACAAGATGGAATATTTGCTGTTGAGGTGTATTTTGTTTGTCTTGTGTACACGAAAGCAATAATTATTTGGAGGAGCATTTGAGCTTCTTATTGTGAGAAAGCCAAAAAAAATTCATTGTGTAGCATAATTCTTTTAGGGTAGTCTGAGCATGATTCTCGCTTCAAAACGAAGAGAGGCATTTGAATTGGGTGGTTTAGAGACATAACTGGTGCAAAATGAGGGATTCTGTCTAGCTGTGCAGTCACGCAAGCCTTGGAGAAAGGTTGGGTTAGAGTGTGAAGCAATCTCCTTTTATTCTTCAAAAAGTAGTTTTCAAAAATCTTTCCAATCCTTGCAAATATTTATCGGATTCAAAGTCATCTGGCAGTTGTATAAAACAAGCAATACACCTTTCATGGTATTTAATCGTATTAAAGAATATGAACACGGATGGTTTTTTTACATTACAGTAATGATGAAAAGGGCAGCACAGCATGAATTACTCTGGGACCAAACATTTAACTACCTAGCAATATGGCATTCATAGGATGAGAGGGCTATATACTACAAGTTGCTAGGCCCCTGACGTGTGTGATATAAATATTGGTGTCTTATGCAGGAAGTTTATTTGATGCCATAGATTCAATTTCCATTGTGGAAATTTGAGCCTACAAATGACACAGATCCATTAAGAAAGCAAAGGGGTCGATAATCAGTGTGCAATTTGTCAATTCACTGCCCTGTTACTTGAAACCAGGGGATGGAACCTGTATTTCAAATTCATGCAACAGTTAAAAAGTTTGAATGGTTTAGCATTTTCTGTTTTGAGTGAGTTCACTGTTGATGCTAGATCATGCTTGTTGGTTACATAATAATAGTACTTGAGATTGCTAGAACTTTTATGTTTAGAAAATCACACTTGCAGAACTGCTTGTTCCTTTTTCTAGGCCGAGACCTGAAAATGATCCAATTCCTCTTATTAACGTATCAGCTGATATTTAATCTAGAATATATTTGTTCATGGAAGCAAACTGTGGTTTTGACACAGAAAGAAGCAGGCATAATTAGGGGAAAATGAAAAATTGAACGGTTCTAGACATCTCCTTTGTGACTTGGTCGCTTAATATACAGTGGTAGTTTTGCCTGGGAGCTATTCATTCATTTGATTCTTCTTTATCATGCCATAATGAATTTCCAAGATTCTAATGGTACAATCCTGGATAATATATCCTTTTTCTGCTGCATGTTGTGGCAAAGTTCAATGACCTTTCTCATGGATTGTTTAATGCAGGGCCCTCTGTCATCAACCTTTCCAGTTGAGAACAGGATCACCCAAGTGACAATGAGAGCATTGAGGAGTCATCTGGACCGCACAAAGAATCTTCCATTCGTGAAGAGAATTTCTGATTTTCATCTCTTGCTATTTCTGGCCAAGTTTCTAGACCTCAATTCTGATGTTCCGGCATTGGCAGAGTGTGTGCTTACACAGACAGCAGTACCAGAAGGTTATCTGCTCCTAATTGAGTCCATGGCTAGTACTTCTTGATGTTGTTTGAATGCCCGATTCTTGGATCCATCCATCTTGTCCCCCGTGACAATTTCTGTGTATGAAGCCCTGGAGCTATTTATGTTAATTGGTGTATCGTATGGGGCAAAGGGGAGTTTTGTGCCCCCGTAATTTAAGTTACACATTGTCTATAAGTTCAGCTATTAATCTTTATAAATTTAAAGTGTCTTTTCATCTGCTGGTTTGATAATTTATGTTGGGTGAAATGAGGCAGTGATTGTAATTTGATTTCTTTTAGTAATTGAACATGCTGATGTTAGGACTTTTTTTTTTTTTTTTTGTGTTTTAATAAATAAATAGAAAAGAAAAAAGTACAAATATGGAGAGATTGAGAAGAAAAGAAAATTTTTATACTAACAAAGCCATATTAAATTAATCATAATCAATACCGATTCAGGGATTAATTAATTAGTTTCCGAAACCAGATGTATTATTTAATTTGTTTTGCAAAACTAGAGGGAGTAATTTATAGTTTACTCTATGGTAGGCTTGCTGTGTAATGTCTTCTTTTTCCTCCTCTCTCAAAGCCTACCGAACACATCGTTGGCAAAGAAGGACCTGCTGAGTAGTCAGGAATTGAAAAGGAAAACGGGATCGTAATGTAAACAAAATATGGTGATTCCTTTAGCATAAATGAATAGGATTGAACAAGAAATTATACGAATTAATTAGTTACAGAGGTGGTGGTGGCTTGAAATGGCGGACCATGAATCAGACTAAAGCCATGGAATAGGAGGATAGCAGCAGGTAAGAAACAGGTAAGGTTGTGTTTTTCAACAAAGCTGCTAAGGTGCAAATCATTGATGGTCACTCTAGTCATGTAGTCCAGCAGGGTGAACCATCAACGATTTGTCACGACAGAAGATGCACAAAGACGCGTCAAGCAGTCACAACAGAAGATACACAAAGACGCATCAACTTGACAGGGGTCATCAGTAAAGCACGCATCCAACAGGAAGACCAGCAGCAGTGTCAATAACAGCGAAAACGCCAGCAACAGCTTCAGATACCAATAGACGAGAATGATAATCTCACATTCTTATGGTTTAATGGTTATAAAAAGATGTTAAATTTCACTCTCATTTAATTTTTCGTCTCTTTTCCCCTTTTAACCATTAGCACCTGAAAAAGGTCGAAAAGACCAGGAGGCATGCAGTGTCATGAATTTCTTGACAGCAAGGCTGCGCCGAAGTATAAACCATCAAACTGGAACTTAGCGAGCAAAAGACCAGCAACCTCAATATCAGACAGAATCGATCATCAAGTGCAATTAAAGCCAAGGACAAGCAACATAGAATATGTGACCAAAGAAGCTCAAACAAAGCAAATCCGGGAGGACATGTCAACTTGATGGGGATTATCAGCAATGGACCCATTAACAAGTAGTAATACCAGCAGCAATATCAATAGCAGAGCTAGAAGACAGCAACATTATAAGATAGCAATAAATGAAAATAACCACCAACTCGCATAATAATAAGCCATAGCAAATCAGTAACCATGTTGAGGAACATACACCTGTTGATTCTTGTGCAGTATCACAACAAACACAAACACCTGAATGTCAGGCATTTTTTCTTTTTCTTTTTTTCTTTGCGGAATTCATTTAGTTGCAAGGGATATGACGAAATCATGTCTTGCCAGCCAAAATATATTAAACAAAAAAAATATCTCATTACTAAAATGCAAAGCAAGGTATGCAGAAACAACAGAGGTTCATAACTAAACAAATAGCTGTGAGCACCAAGGCATGGAATGATGTAGTTATAAAGCACATCCAATATTAAATTAATAAGAATGAAACACAGTTTTCCCCATCTCTCCTGCAGATATTTGATGGGAAAGAGATTTCAATACAAAATGGGTAAACACCATCTTGCGTAACCACAGTTACAACCCGAGCAAGAACATAATTGGTTACTAAAACAACAATATTAATCTGAAAAATTTAGAAGAATCCAAATAAAAACATAAATGCCACGAAATTGCAAAACTTCACTGATGACAACCTAAGCCAAGGTAGGTAACAGCATTTCTCAACACTAGAGCACCTTACAACATACTATAACCCGTCTAAGTTTTATCTTCTCCCAGCAATTCTCAATAAAGGAGAAATTATACCCTGTATCTCTTGAAGTGAATGTTGAATTCTGATCTCCTCTTCAACCGACCTTTTAAGGTTTCTAATATGACCTTTCAAAGCATCAGAAGCTCTAATGTCTTCAGCCCGCATTTCAAGTACCTTTCTAGTCAACCCCATCAATAAACCAGAATGTCTTGGCGCAGTTGAGTGTTTATGCAAGAAACCCAACAACAACCCAAGCTCCTCCTCGTCCAAATTCACAACACATTTCAATAACTTCCTCCTTGCCACTAATTCCTCCATCACAGCCACCACATTCTCTGGGTTCTTCCCACCCAAAACTGAAACTAATGCTTCTCTATGCCTAAACTTCTTCAACAACTTATCATGCTCCGCCAATTTCACCTTCTTTTGCCTCATTATCAAATGATCCCCCTCATTTGGCTTCTCCCCTTGACTCCTATGAAAATACCTAAAATAAGTTGGCCTCAAACCCCGCCTCTGTGGATCCTCTACACTGCCAAGAGCCCAAAAATTCCCCAATTTACTCTCTCCCACATCCTCCTTTGCCTTCCTCCTCCCAGCAAATATAATCCCATTGGAAGATCCAATAACCCTAGTCATACAATCTGGCGAAAACCCGATTGACATTAGTGGGGCAGGAAACCTCATGGAATGAGTAACCTTCATTTTTGCATAATCAAAAACCTTCATATAGCCATCTAAAGCCACACTTAAAATCCTATACTGCAAAGCCTCCTCTCCACTCTCTTTCCCTACTTTCCCTACACAAATAGAAGTAACAGTCTTGTTATGACTCTCCATCGAATAAACCATCTTCCCTCCTCCAATCAAATCCCATATCTTCACACTATTCCCTCCTGCAGTCGCAATCATTCCACCTGAAGGCAAAAAAATCACATCCTCAACAGGCTTTCCATGATTTACTTCAATAACTGATTCTTTACTATCAACCCTGGCATCCCACAGCTTCACAGTGTGATCATAAGACCCAGTAACGAACATCTCTCCATTAACTGGAGAGCAATCACCACACCTCACATAGTCCCTGTGACCATACAAGTCCAAAACCACACTCTCCCCAGCAACATCCCAGTATTTAACAACAGAATCATCACCGCCAGACACCAAATGGAGCTTATCGAGTAATGGGTACTTGACAAAACGAACAGGGCGGGCATGGGACCGCAGGCGACGAAGTGGGGTTCGTGTCTTGACATCGAATACCCGAATAAGACCGGAGAGATCGGAGGCGGCGATGAGGGAGCCGTCGCAGCGGAAGGAGCAGGAGGTGACAACATCGGAAAAGGAGGATATGGTGGAGGTGGGAGAGAGTGTTTGGGAGGAAAAGAGAGTGACGGAGGCGGAATTGGCGGCGGCAAAGTGATGAGGGGATGTAGGTGAGAAATCGATGGAAGGGATGGAAGATATGAGGTTTGAAATTTGGTGGGATTTGAAGGAAGACCAGTATTTGGATTCAGGGGTTTTTGATGGGGCTTTAGGTTTGGGTTTTAGATTTGGTCTAGTTGGGAAAGTTTTGGAGATGGTGATTTCTTGAGTTTGTTCTACAACAAGATCTGCCATTGAAGTTGGCTTTGCTTTTCTTTTAGGGTTTATCAGCGGTTTATAGGGTTATACAGTTTACAGCTGGTCATGCCTTTGAATTTCTAATACCTAAAACGCCAGAACTACGATTCTGACCCACAAATGACCAAGAGCCCACAGTTCCGTACCAGAGCCCATGCCCACGCGATGCCCATGGTCAAGACCTTCGATTCTGGATTCATTTTGGGCTAAATTACTTATTTAGTCCTACGTTTTGAACGCAATTATAACATGCTTATTTATGTTTGAAAACCTATAATTTAGTCTCTCGATACTTGTTCTCCTGGCCATCGTTTGTTTTAGCATTTGTCCTTTTTTTTTTTTTTTTTTTTTTTTTTTTCAAGGTTCAGTGGTGTTTTCGAATAATTTATGCATCAATTAAGATTAATTTTTTTTCGAACATCTAAAAAATATATTTTTAACATCACTTCGGTACATTTAAATGAATAAATTTTATTAAGTATTAATTCTAATATTTGAACTCAAAAAGTTAATAAAAATAACTATCTTAACTGATAATTAAAATTAAAATTTATTTCTTAAATTTATTTATAGTTTTTCTTAATTATAGATGTGTCCACTTCACAATTTATTTATTTTTAAAAAAAAAACTTATACAGCGATAGTTTAGAGAAAAACCAATCCAAGTTTTTAAGAATATAAAAATTTATATAGATGCTGTTTGGTAATCAAGAATAGAGTAGTGGAAATGAGAATGAACGTTTTATTATCATGTTAGTAAGTTGTTTGATTAAAAAAAATGAAGTGAGAATGAGAATGAAAATTTATACATAATTTTATTCACACATAAGATACGGGAATAAAAATTAAGGAAGAGGAATGAATTTTTTTCAAAATAATAATATTATTTATTTATTGTCTATTAACTATTTTTATCACCGTCACGACCACCATCACAATCACTACTACCACCACCACCGCAACCGCAACCACTACAACCACCGCAACTAGCACTAGCACCATCATCGTCGTCGTAACCATTACCGGCACTACTCGTCATAATCACCACCACTATCGGCACTTTTATTATTTTTACAATTATTATGGTTTGATAAAATTATTTTTTTAATCATTATTTTTTTTTGTATAAAAAATCAGATATTAAAAAATTTAAATTGCATTTTGATTCCTCGTTAGCATTCTAAACACAATATAGAAATACTAATATCATTTCGATTTCTTAATTTTCATTTCGAAATGGGAATTCCCATTTCGGACTTTTCATTTTTTATAACCAAACAACACCTTAAAGTCAAACAAACCAATTTATAGATTTTTAAATATATAGGACTAAGTTATAACTGAGTTCAAAGCTCGGAAACTAAATAATAATTTAGTCGGTTCTATTTAGCCAAACGCACGAACCACCTGCTTCAGCCAAAAAAAAAAAAAAAAGTTAAAGTCACTTTCCTATGGCTATCCTTTGTATTTTGTTTCCCCAACAAGAAAAGGCCTATGGTTTTTTTATTAACGTAGTCTAGTTTCCTTCAATCATATAAACACACAGCAGACTCAAAAATTTTCCAACTTGGACGTTTCTATCGACTCTCCCAACCCAAACAAGAAACCTGCAAATCAATTTATTTTTTGGGTTCTTTTTGGCGCTTAGCTCGTTGGTTCGGTTCAAAAGGTTAGCTCTTTAATTCACTGTTGTTGTTAGAATTTTATTTTTTGTTCGCCATTTCCCTTCTTTCTGCTTGTAATTCTGCCCTATTTGTTTCCGTAGCATTTTAGGGTTTTCAACGTTCAGTTCACTTTAAAATTGAAATCTAGGTTTTTTTCCCCCTTAAAGCATGTTCAGCTCCCCTAATCATGAGTTCATGTCTTCAAATTTTCCATTTTTCAATTCGAAGATACCATTTGGAGGAGTCAATTGATTCTATTTTTCTTTGATCATCGTATAGTTTCTTGACAGTAACAAATGACTCCTAATTGAGTTCAGGGAGTGATTAGGGTCTATATGGTTTCTCTGTTTTGCATCTTGTCTAAAATAAACAAACCCTGTTTCCATTTGAATGGACATTTCCTTTTAATAGTGCTTGCAATTCTGGATTTACATTTTCGGGCCTTTGTTATTCGTGGAGTTACTTGCACATATAGTATGTGAGAGATTGCTTGTTGTATTGATAGTTGACCTTTAACAGAGAGCTTCCCAATACATTATTAAATCCTTATTAAATCCTAAATAATTAGGGACTCCTACAAGTTGATATTGCTATTGCAAAAAAGTTCAGGAGTTAGGATTTCTAAGCTCTATAAATAAGATTGCATGGCTTTTTATAATAAGTATAGTATGAAAATTACTTGAGAAGAGGTGCTTCTTGTGGTGGTTACTTGAAAACACTATAATTGTAGTGACTTCATCTTTAAGAAGTAATAAGATAAGGTTTATGATGCATTACTAGTTTGTGATCATTTACGTTGGTTTTGCATGAAGTAAATAGTACCTTTTTCTTCTGTAACGTGACCTAGGTACTTTTTTTTTTTTTTATTGTCAGAACTATACTTAAATCATTTACAACCATCACATTTATGGAGCAGTTAGTTAAATAATAAAATGACAAGATAATTTTTTTAGCTCGGTTACTTGACAATTTGTAACACTTACATGAATAGAACTTTTATAAAAATGGCAATGTACTTTTTGAGCTGTAATTCTACTCTATTATTTATAAGTAGTACAATTACTGTGTAATTAGTTAAGTTACAGAATGATTAGATAGCCATAGAATAAGTTAAGTTTTCGTTTTTAGATTAGATCCTGAATATATAATTAAAATAAATACTAGATCCTAAATATCAGTGATTCCATTGCCAATAATTAGGAGTTAGGGTTTCCTACACTCTATATATATATATATATGCTTTATGGTTTCTAATCCCATCGTTGATAGGTGAAAATGTTCCTTCTTTAAATTACCTGTCCTGGACTCTGCCTCCGATTAACCGATCCATGAGTCAGTTGGGTCCTCATAGGTCCAGGACATTTGCCTATGGTGGTGTTGCTTGAATTAAAAAAGAAAAAAGAAAAAAAGGGGTTTCCTATGACACATCAGAATTTGGGGTGGTTTTCCTGCCTCAGTAACCTTTTTTTCTAAAACATCATTAATTTCCGTTATTAAACTGGAATTTGAAATAAGAGTTCAAGAGTGTTGATTGATTTTGGAATATCAAGTGCAAGTTTACAAACTCTACATTACTTGCTCTATCCAGGGTGCTTCTTAGTTCTTAACTTTTTTGAGCAGCTATTCTATCTGCTGACAATAGTAGTTGGTGTTATATTATTTGTTGGAAACTTTGGGAAAATTACTCTTATAAGCTCCTTTTTCCTTATCCTTGAAGAATTGGCTTGTATTTAGTTCATATATCTGCCCTCACCCTCACCCTTTTTCCCCCTTTAGCTGCTTTTAGCCTTGAGCACATTATATTATTGTCAGCATTCATGATCTATCTCTTGTTCTGGTCACAGCAGATCATTGTTTTATCTGGTTAGCTTTCTTGTCTTGGCTCTAGCATGAGGCTCGCTAAGGAAGAACCATCTATGACTGAGCAAGTAAGCATTGTTACCTCAGCTAAAAGTTCTTTTTGTGATTTTTATTTCTATTTACTTTGGGATGGATTTTGGAAAAATCATCTCTGCTTCATTGTATCTGGTCATTTGACTTGGTTCATCATTTCATTTTCCAATCATCCAACTTGCTCCTGTCTCTCTCTCTCTTCCTTCTTTTGAGTTTCTTGAATGTCTGCTTAATCCAAATGACTATTTGATCAATTTCATTGTTTAATTATTAAACACTGTTTTGTGTTCATTTTTGCTACTCTTCAGCCACCCCCTCTTTCTAACACAGATAAGTATCTACTTGTATGAACAGGTCATTGATTTAATTTCAGCAGTGAAAGAGTTACATGGTCTTAGCTCTCAGGAGCTTAACAAATTGTTAAGGGACTCTGAAAATTTTACAATTCACTTTCATTCTGAAAAAGGATCAACGATTAAGGTCAGGAAACAAGCTTCTCATCATCACACTTATGCTTTCTTGTCTTACCACCGTCTTGCATCTTAAATCACATTACTTTTCAGATTGACGTGGAAAAACTGGCAGGCTTTCTTCCTTTACACCTTATTGCAGTACTTATGTCATCTGATAGAGATGAATCGCTGTTGAGATATTTGTTGTGCGGAATTCGGCTTGTGCATTCCTTGTGTGATCTAGCACCCAGGAACAGTAAACTTGAGCAGGTTGCTTTTACCAATCTTTGCCTAGTCTTTATTACTATTTTTTTTTTTTTGTTTAGCATCAGTTTTGGTGTCTATTTTGCTTAGCAATTGGACTTTGACACATTACTCAAAATCCATGGATGTGTATTTAAAGTCAGGTATGTGTTTGTGAACCTTGACAAATTGTAGGGATGGTCCCTATATTAGTTTTAACTCAAAATAAGTTCCCCCTTCCCCCTAGTACTTTAAGTTCTTGAATCCATGGTTTGAATATTGCAGTCTTTTGTGCATCTGTCTTGGTTTTTCTTTATAATTTTTTTTTCTTTTGTAATGTTGAAGCTATTCTAAGTGCTTGCATTTGGAAGTTGTTTTAATCTAGTTATGGCATTGGGTTCTTTATCATCAGTATCTGCAATTATTTATCGTTAAAGGGACTTGTATTTGGATGCTACCCTTTGTTGTTCTGTAAACTATCACCCTTTCTTTATTCTTGTGCAACTGTGATGTGTTCTTTTGACCTCCAGATATTTATGTTTGTAAAAATTTGGGAGTGATATCTGGAAGCAAATGTATTTCTCTTCAAATGTTCTTTTGTCTATCTATACAGATTTTGCTCGATGATGTTAAAGTATCAGAGCAGCTGCTGGATCTGGTGTTTTATTTAGTAATTGTTCTTAGTGGTTATAGACAGGTATTTATTAATACTTTCCTCTAAGGATTTCCTTCCCAAACTCTCAGCGTTTACCAGGGTTGTTTTGTCATGTAGGAATGTGTCAATTCATGTTCTTCGTTACTTGTGCATTCAGCACTTGTAGCATCCAGTCTACATTTATTGTCAGGATGTATATCTTCACAATGGCAAGATCTTGTTCAAGTATTGCTTGCTCACCCGAAGGTACAATTTTTCCACATGATTTGTTTAGCGGATGTTTAAGTGAAATGGGTTGACTATGTTCATGGGATCATTGCAAAGCTTTTTGTTTTTCCGAATGAGATATTTAGTGCCTGCACTTTACTAGTTTTAACAATCAAGTGCATCATCTTTATTTTGGTTTTAATAGATTTTTCAATTTCTAAATTTCACATAATCAAGTCAAATGTGGATGTCTGTTCGTGTCCTATCTGTCCAATAAGAACTGTCATGGAATCAGCAAATCACCAGTTAGGCCTGAATGCCCAAGTTACATGCGGGTTCAATGTTTTGGGAGTAATTTCCCCTCCTATTGACCCAAATAACCTCTTTTCATTTTTTTTTCACTAGCACCTGCACTACGCCACTCCTGCTCCTATACTTTCACCACTACCACCATCATAATTTTAGCCACAATTATACCCATTACTAACACATTTCGATTGCCAAGTACCATAAAACCCATAAGCTCACAGCCATCTAAATCCAGTTTGCTGTCACAGCAACTATTCTATATTTTAGAGGTTTTCAAGATGCTGGAAATGCTGCCGTCGCACCTGCAACAGTGCAGAGGTGACTGTGGTTGCTGTGGCAGCAGCAGGGAGATTGAGGAGCCAGAGGAGATGGAACCACCAGCAGTGATCTCTTGAGGCTCTTCGCAAGCATAGATGTATGGTGAAGGCAGGGGTGGTTTTTTTTTTTTTAATTTTATTTTATGAATCTGAGGTGATATATGGGTTTTTTAATGTAAAAAACCCAAAGGTGGTTCATCAAAGTAATATTGGAATACAAATATTCAAATGGAATGGGGCAGCCCATATACTTTGATAAAAATGCAGGGAATTTGGAGCATCATAGCATTTGGTTGGAGGAAGTTCTTTGTTTCTTGGCTCACTAGACGCGCAACAATAATGGGCTTTCTTGATTAACTTGGTGATTCCACGGAAGAGTTATAGAATCATGTGTGATCATTTTTTGTGTTTAGAGCCTCGGTTATGACAAAATCTGGCTTACTTGTTCTTGATGAAATCATAATGTTTTCTGATAAAAAGAAAATACCTTAGTCTTGATTTTGTGGGTTCTAAGAATTGTGTTTTGGTAATCTGTAGATTTTATTAAAAAAAAAAATGTAATTGGGTTGATTGGAGGGATGTTTCCCTCCTCAAAAAGATCTCCTTGGCAACAACATGGCATGTGTGCCATGTTAGCCCTAATTGGGGTGATTTATTTGATTCCAGATCACTTGTTAATGGTCATGCAAGACATATACTAACAGGCATCAACATTTGAACTTGATCTTACAAAATTCAAAGTTGAAAAATCTATTTGAACAAACATTTGAACTTGATCTGACAAACTTCAAAGTTGAAAAATCTACTTGAACAAAATTAAAGATGATTGCACTTTATTGCTAAAATCAGTAAAGATCAGGCACTTAATATTGCATATTCTCTTGACTCCAGATCACTTTTTAATGGACACGCAAGACATATACTAACAGGCATCACCATATTATCATTTTATTTTGACCTTTTAAGGTCTGCAGGCAGAGACATTTATGGACTTTCTGATCATGAATTTTCTCTTATAGGTTGACATATTTATGGATGCAGCTTTTGGAGCTGTTCATGTAGCCATTGGGTTTCTTCAGGTCCAGCTGTCAGATGAACATACTAGCCTTCACGCAAAAAGTCCAACAGCTGAACAGATAGTTAACTATATCTGCCAACAATGTGAGGCTTCTTTACAGATTCTTCAGTCATTGTGCCAGCAAAAGATGTTTCGCGAGCGCCTTCTTAAGAACAAGGTTTCTAAAATAGAACCATCTTATTCTATGTGTTTGGGTTGAAGTTGTATGCCAGGAGATGCCAGCTTCGAATTTTTTCTGTGTTTGATATAAGATGGAGAAATATTTCTTGCTGGACCAAATCGGAAGTAGAAGTATCTAGTTAATGTGATTGTATGTGGTGAAAAAGCAGGAAAGTCAGTGGGAGAAACATGGAGATTTTCAGTGCTAATGTTTTGATTTTGAAACATTGTGTGAGGGTATTATAATTTATAACTTGTATTTGCATCAATGATCTTGATGATGGTATTCATACAAGATATTAAGCCCTTTTATTTTCTACATGGACATCTTGCTTTGAGTATTCACATTTCTTATTCATCATTTTTCATTATTTTGGTAAACTATCTGTTTATAATACTATTCCAGGAACTATGTGGAAGGGGAGGTGTTCTTTTCCTGGCCCGGGCCATCTTGAAGTTAAACATTACGCCTCCTTTTGTAGATTCTTTTACAGTTGTAGCTGCAGTATCTAGACTGAAGGCTAAAGTGTTATCGATTGTAAGTTTTAATGTAGTGGCGAGGCTTAAGCGACATCAAAATCTAGTACAAGTTCTTATTTCCTTGCTCGTGTGAATATCCCTGATGTCTTATTCTGTTGTTCATATGTTTTTATGCAGCTATTGCATCTGTGTGAAGCAGAAAGCATTTCTTACCTTGATGAGGTTGCAAGCTCTCCAGGGAGCCTTGATTTGGCAAAGTCTGTAGTATTAGAGGTTAGTTTAATAAATGTGCTAGCACATGTAGTGGGCTTTGATGCAGAGAGGTGACTGATGCAAACCACAAATTTTATTTGTTTTACCTGGCACATCTGCTAAACCAAAGCCTTTTGAGAAGTTGATAATCTCCTCCCACTCACAGTAATTCTAAAAAACAATCTATTTTGTGGAAGAGATATTGGCCAGTGTCATTTATTGGTGATCCACAAACCAAATTTGTCTCACCCTTGTTTCCTATATTCTTTATTCCATTTTGAAGCCTCGTTTTACGATGCTTACTATTAATACACTTTTTGATGTAGATTCTTGAATTATTGAAGGCTGCACTTAGCAAAGATCCCAATCATCCTAGTCCATGTTCAGACAGAACTTTTCCCATGGGACTTTTGCGACTCAATGCAATGCGTCTCGCTGATATCTTCTCAGATGATTCAAATTTTAGATCTTATATCACAACATGCTTTGTAAGTTAATCATTTGGATTCTTAGGCATGATACTCACTCAGTTCCGCCATGCTATTTATAGTAAATTGTTTTGAGTGACTTTCTGACACAATGTTGCCCATATACTCTGGAAGACATGAAGTTTTAGATATATATTCACAATGTACAAAAAATTTCATTTTTGCACTCTGTTAAAATTTTCCAAGTTGCCAAGTCACTGCAACATGCATGTAATTTTGATATGCTAGTATATTTTCAACTCATTATGCTTCAAAGCATCCATCATGCAGAGAGATTCGTGACTTCACTTTTTTTTATTTTCAAATGTCAATATGCTCTACAGACCAAAGTTCTGACCGCTATATTTTCGCTTCCTCACGGAGATTTTTTATCAATTTGGTGCTCTTCTGAATTTCCACCAAGAGAAGAAGATGCTACTCTGGAGTATGACACATTTGCAGCAGCTGGGTGGTTTCTGGACACATTTGCAGCAGTGAACCTATCGAATGCAGTAAATTTAGAAATTACTTTAATTCCTAGTAACATGCCCCAAGCTATGTATGCACATCAGAGAACTTCATTGTTTGTGAAACTAATTGCCAACCTCCACTGTTTTGTTCCGAACATATGTGAAGGTGAATTTTCTCTCAGTCTCTTTAAATATTCATCATGATTGATCTGCTTGCTGCTGTATGGATTATGTAATTCAATGTTTCGTTCTAATCCACAGAGCAGGAAAGAAACTTGTTCCTTCACAAGTTTCTGGAGTGCATGCGGATGGACCCATCTAAATCATTGCCTGGGTTTTCTTTTACTTCTGGTGCTCTAAGAGCTACAACAGTTTGCAGGAACCTTCGTAAGTATCACTCCCCTATGATTTTCTTGATAGACATGATGTATAAAAGTTAATGGGGTTTCTTATTAGTAACTTGCATGTGTAGGTTCATTGTTAAGTCATGCAGAATCTCTAATTCCTAACTTTTTGAATGAGGAGGATGTACAGCTGTTAAGGTGAGTTAAACATCAACCACGCTACTTTCTTCATAACTTTTTGTTTTTGTGTTTTTTTTGGTTGTTTCAGTGCAAGTGGTGTTTTTTTTCCTTAATTTTAAAGAATAGCATCGTCCTCAAATATTTCTGGACAACTCTTTGTATAATCAGCACTATATTGTTAGTTGGTAGAGGTTCTTAGATGTTAGATAGGTTTCCCCTCAAGACACCATGACTGTTGATCATTGGCAATAGCATGTGCTCTGCATCACATAAATTTTGTTAAGCACCTATACCAATTAATATAAGGAAGAAGTCAAATTATGGGAAAAGGGCCTGGAACCCTGAAATCAACAAAGGGTGTTTCTTGAATTTACAAGAAACTAGGTTTCTTGAAATCCACAAATGGAAAGAAAATCCACAACATACTTTCTATTTATCCCTCTTCCCTAAATACATAGTATATGTGCTTATGTGGGTGCACCAAAAGTCCTAACATCTAATATGAAATTGCAAACAAAACAAAATATTTATAATAGAGCTCTTAATTGATACTGACTATTGAAAAGGACATCGACTAAGTTCCTGAATAACATAAGAATTCTGAACAATGACAATCCAAAAGTTAACCAAACATATTGATGCAAACTTTCTTCTTGCACTGCATCATCACAAGATCCTCGAATTGAAAAGAGAAATCTGTTAACCCTGCAGGAATGTCTAGCAACCGCAGTACAACTTGTAGGCACATGGTGTAATGCCAATCATGGCAAGGATTGCGTGTTTATTAGCTAGTTTTGGATGGTTGTTGTATGTTACTTTAAATGTCTTTTTGGTGTTGGAATGTCATGTGGGTTTATATATATATATATATATATATATATATATATATTCAGTTTACATATGGGGCGGTGTATATATTATGCACATATATATGTTGCCTGCAATATACCATCTATTTGAATTCAAGCTGGTTGTTCAAATAACTTATTTTTGTCATTTAAATTCTTATTGCAGGGTATTCTTTAACCAGTTACAATCACTGATTAATCCTGCTGATTTTGAAGAAAACCAAGTTCAAGTAAGGTTTTGTTTTTCAATGATTAAAGGTGTTTTTGTTTTCTCTATCTGCTCCAACTTTGGCAACTTCTTTTATCTTGTCCCTTACAATTTAAATGTGCTGACATTTTTCTGCTGAAAATTTTCAGGAAATCAAATCTGAGAGGTCAATATCTTTGGATAAGTTCTCTAGACTCACTATTGATGAGCATCTTCAGGTCTATATCTTTTGTTTTCTAAAATACAAGTTATCCATTACATTAGTATGATGATGTGGCATTTGATATTAAAGCTCAGTTTTTAAAAAAATTGATTTGTGATTCTGTTACTGGCTGTAATATATGTGAAGGGTCATCAAGGTGACAAACATGGGAGAGCGAAGAAAACGATAATGGGTCAATTGACCCTGCTGAAATAAATAAATAATGAAGATATAGGTATTACAGTACTTGGCTTATTTATTTTTTTCTAAATAGAACCCAATACATGAACTAAAAGGAAAAGAAGAATACATGAAGTGGATTCAATTTTATATTTTTATTTAAGAAGTTAGGAGATTGTCGGGTTTAAGCTTTGTGAATTACCTGCAAGCACCTAAAAAAAATGAAATGCTATTAAAACAAACAAAAAAGTAGTCTGTTCGTTTGTATGATTTTCCACTAATGATCTCTTTGCATTACAATTGATGCGACTCAACTTCTCTCATTACTCGTCTTTTCTCTCATTTACTACATTCTCTATTACACATTGCATCTATCCCCTTTTCTCCCATTTAGCTTTAATATTAATTGTTTTGCTTCTGCTCTTGACCTCTCCATGCTTTTCATGAGAGTTTACCGAGATTTTGTATATCAAAGTATATTTTATTGTGGCATAAGTTATCAATTGACCTGCCAAAAGAATTTTCTGGCTTTGCTATTAGTGGCAAAGGGATAGCTTGACAAAAGTCCAAATTAAAGTTTAGAACTGAGCAATAACATGTTTTTGAATAGAGTAATATTGTATAATTATTGAAACTTTAGAAGTTATAGCATATTTTATTGAGGGTCAAACTTTTAAGATCAATGGTTTCTGAGGAAGGCATTTTAAGTCTTATTGATGTTGCGTTTCTTTTCAAATCCTACACTGTTTCTCACAAACAAGTTTCATTTCTGGTAGGAAGCTCAAAGCATTGGGGCATACTCATCACCTATGATGAGGAAGGAACCTTCAAGTCTTAGCAACAGGCCGGATACTCAAAAAGAGGAAATGTCAGAGAATTCAGCTATCCAAGAAGAGGAGAAGCACAATTTCAGAAATGAGCATATGAATCAAGCTGAAGGTATAATGAGGGAAGACAAAGCTAAATCTGGTGCATGTGCATCTGATGTTTTAAGGGAGATTGATAGAGATGCCCATAATGTTGAGACAAGTGGTTCAGATACAAGTTCCACTAGAGGGAAGACTTTTGTAGGTCAAGTGGTGAATGGTGACTTCCCAAAATCAAGTGATCATATAAAAGGAAGTGGTTTTCAGGGAGTTCATGATGGTGAAAAAGTTGAAAGTCTTCATTTTGAAGAAAAGCAGCCAAGAAAAAGGAAGCGAACTATTATGAATGATTATCAAATCACACTAATGGAGAAAGCCCTGCTAGGGGAACCTGAGATGCAGCGAAATGCAGCAGCGTTACAGTCATGGGCTGATAAATTAAGTCTTCACGTATGTAAAATGCACCTTTAAATTATTCATGATGCGAGTTGATTCTATTCATGTATCCCCAGCTCTGCTTAATTAGTTTATTGTGTTTTCCAGGGATCAGAAGTTACATCTTCACAGCTGAAAAATTGGTAAGGAAGCCTCACCTCTCAAATAATTTGCACTATGTGGTTTAAGAATGCTTCCCCCCACCTCCCTTCTTGAGGTTATACTATCTTGATAATTAATATGGTGTAGGGAAGGATAAAAAGTTTAGGTTTTCAAGTTCTTGTTCAGGTTGGGGCTTTCAAATTTTCTTGTTCTATGACTTCTTGGCAATGAAATGTGGTATACAAGGATAAATTGGAATCATCTGTAGGTCAACTGCACTTGTCAATCGATGCCTAATATAGTCACTGCCCAGAAAAGATATTTATGTGAACACTTATGTTACCCTTCATTTAATTGTTAACGTTGCATAACAGGATATAATTGCACAATTCAGTTATTACTGAAATGTCTCTCGAATTAGGTTTGAAATGTTGATTCTCTTTGTAGTTACTTCGCAATGTTTCTCGTGGCAAGCTTCTTATACAGGATAGGAGCAAACCACAGGCGTCCAAGAATACTTGGTATAAGGACATTTTATTTTTCATATATGGGGTTACCGGATTTATTGGACGCGAACTCTGAAAAGATTGAGGTGTATTAAATGTTAATTGTAGGAATCTTGCAAAATCTTCCATTTCTGCTACTCATGCAGTTACCATTTTTGTTGTTTCTACTGGCTTTCTAGGTTTCAAACCCTTTTGCTTTTTTCTTTTTCAAGATACTTCTGACATCTCAGTTCTATACTTGTACTGATCTGAGAATTTTCCTTTTGGCCATTATACTAATTTGATTTTTCAATCAGTATATTGTTATACATGCCACTGATTTCCTAAATACATCCATGTCTAGATGGCAGGTAAAAACTGGAAATAGGTGTTTCTTTACTGCAATACAGAAGTTGTGTCAGATAGATCTGGACAGACCTTTGTATGCTTCTAATGAATTTCCAATTTTTGTGCTATCACAGGCTCAACAATCGTAAAGCAAGGTTAGCTCGTGCAGGTAAGGATGCCCGTGCACCAATGGAGGTTGATAATGCATTTCAAGAAAAGCAAGTTGGACAAACACGGCGGCATGGCTCTCCTGAGAGCCCCAGTGAAGATAACGTCACATCAAGTGCAAGAGGCCTTCAAAACACATCAGAAATTGGCATGTATGAAGATCCTGAGGCTGGTATAGGATTAGCAGACTTTGTTGACATTGGTGCCTCAGAATTTGTTCAGTGCAAGCCGGGGCAGTTTGTTGTGCTTGTAGATGGACAAGGAGAAGAGATTGGTAAGGGAAAGGTATATCAGGTGCAAGGCAAATGGCATGAAAGGATATTGGAGGAATCAGAGATGTGTGTCGTGGATGTTACAGAGCTCAAGAAAGAGAGATGGGCGAGGCTTCCATACCCATCCGAAACTACAGGCATGTCATTTGATGAAGCTGAACAGAAGATTGGGGTAATGAGAGTGTTGTGGGATTCGAACAAAATATACTTGTCACGACCTCAATGATAGAATTTCAATGCTAGGTTTCCTTTGCTAGAATGTAGTGCTAGTGGTTGGTTACCAGCCATATCCGGTTTTTTTTTTATCAAGTTCCAAATCGTAAGCAGATTCGGGTTCTGAAAGTTGGCTCATTCGTTTTAAATAGAAAGTTAAAATTAAATCACAAAAAAATATGACGCAACAGCAGCATCCCCCCACACTTAACCTGTATCCTAAAAATCAATGGGGAAGAGTTGCTATGTTAGCTCGGGAGCCCTTTTCAGGTAGAAATTGGAACAAAGAAAATAAAAAGGGAAGAGGAAACGCATCCCCATGTACGGTACGAGTAATTTCTGTGAATATAGCAAGTTGATAATTGCAGACGCAGACACGCTGTTAATAGTCATCTACGACAATTATAAAAATTTTGAATTTTGATGATGGTTTGGTAGACAGCATGGTTAAGTATTGACTGATGAATGTAAAAATATGTAGAGGCAAGTTTAGGATATCTGGGCTAAGAAATGCTAGTGCTCCAATTTTGTTTGAAGATGAAAAGGTTTGGATTAGTAGTTTGTAAAGCATTTCAGGTCTGTCACAACAGAGAACTGGGTGGTTGTTTCCATTGAGTATGGTGTTGAATTCGGGAAGTTGTATGGCATAATGGCACAATTATTCATATAAGACGAGGGATATTTTATGGAGTCAATTATAACAAGGTAGTTTTAGTTTATTGAAAATTTTAGGAATTATATATTTAATCTCTATATTTTTAAATCAGTTTATAATTTAATTCTTCCATCAATTTCGTATTATTTTTTTATTCATGCTGTTTTCTGGATCCTAGGTCTTTTAAACACTTTTTAAGCTTCGTTTTATCCTTCTTTCTTATACTACCTCACGTTTTCTGACAATTTTTTTTTTTTTTTTATCAAACAATTAAAGAAAACGTCTTTTTTCAGAAAAAGGTTATAACTTAAACTAATTGGATACCGCGCTACGGCTGCAGGCGTACAACCGTTACATACCTAGGGTTAATGATTCATATGGTGTAATGCAAATAGAAAGTTTTATTTTTTGTAATTAATATAAATCGAATCTATATATAGTTAATTTCTAACAAAACTATATATATATATATATATATATATATATATATATATATATATATATAATAAATAGAAAAAACCACCTAAATTGTAGAAATATATTGAAGTCAATAGATTAAAATAAAAACTATATATATATATAAAAGCAAATAAAACTTGTGAATTTTTTGAACTCTTTATTATTTTTTAAAAAAACAATTTGAGCGAAACCATCTAAAACATATTTTTAACTCTCTCTCTCTCTCTCTCTCTCTCTCTTTCTCTATATATATATATATATATATATATATATATATATATATATATATAAAAGTAAAACGCTCATTTAAAAATAATTTATATAATAAATTATATATTATAATATATTTTTAAAAAATAAAAAATTGATGTTCTAAATTGTTTTTTCAAAATTCATATATTAAAAAACCAAATTTATTAAAAAATTAATTTAATGAGAAATTTAATAAGAAACAAATAATTGAAGAAAAAAATTTTAAACAATAAGAATAAAATAATCCGATATGTATGTTAACATCAATCTCAAAGATATAATTAATATTGGTTCAAGGACATTAAAGGGACCGATAATATATATGTTTTCCTTCTCGGTGAAGGGACCAATTGTATATGATTTCTTAACCTATACATCACTTGCTACGGATTCGAGTTATTGTTATATTCTTTTAAGGGTTTCCTTTTGCATCTTGATGACCCAATCCTAAAACACATCAAGATTTAAAATAATTAGCCAATTTTTTTTTTTTGTTCTATCATTAGATTGGTGGCCAAACTTTTAAAAATATAAAATAAATTATAGGAAGAAAAAAATAAAAGTAGGGTCACACTCGATTGATTGGTATATATATTAATTTTTTTTAAAAATGTGTCAAATTAATTTTTTAACCGATTATTATTTTTTAAAACAATTAAGTAAAATTATCTAAAACACATTTTTAGCTCTCTCCCTCTCATCAGAATTTATATATGCAATTACGCTACTCTCATTTAAAAATCATAAAAAAGATCAATCGTATAAATTATAATCATATATTTTAAAAAATAAAAAAAATTAAGTTCTAAATTTTTATTTCAAAATCCATGTATAAAAAATCAAATTTATTAACAAATAAAATTTTATAAAATTAAAAAATTAATTCAATGAGAATTTTAATAAGAAACAAACAATTCAATAAATAAATTTTAAACAATAAAAATAATATAATCAGATATATATATATGTTTAAACTAAAATTTTTAAAATTATTATATATATTCTATTACCATGAAACTGTATGTAAAACTAAAAAAATAACGATCTTTTTTATATTTTCACACCTAATTTCATGATAAAAAAATAAAAAAATAAATTATTAGAAGGAAAAAAAAAGAAAAAGCAAACACTCGGTTGGGACTCGCTTGTGTAGGCACTGCTTGAGACTCGTTTCTCAAGGCCTCTCTCAAAAAAAAAAAAGAAGAAGGAAATGCTTCTCCAAGCCAGCCCTAAAAAAAAAAAACTACGACAAAATGAGTCGGGCCGGCTACTAGAGCCTACTTCTCCAAGCCGAGCCCAAAAAAAAAAACTACGACAAAATGAGTCGAGCCGGCTACTAGAGCCTACTTCTCCGAGCCAGCACTAAAAAAAATTGAATAAATAAAACGCTATAGTAAATAAACATGAAAAAATCTAGTTCTTTTAGTTTTTTTTAGAATAATTATAATATCCGAAACACACTTCTAGCTTTCTCTTTCTCATCGGAATTTATATATGCAACAACGTCATTTTTATTGAAAAATCATAAAAATATTCAATCATATAAATTATAATAATATATTCTAAAAAAATAAAATAATTAGGTTCTAAAATTTTATTTCAACAGCCATATAAAAAAAATTAAATTTATTAACAAATAAAATCATATAAAATTTAAAAATTAATTCGATGAGAATTTTAATAAGAAACAAACGATTGAAGAAATAAATTTTAAATAATAAAAATAATATAATCAGATTTATATGTTCAAACTAAAATTTTAAAAAATATCATATATATTCTATTACTATCAAACTATACGTAAAATAAAATAAAAATATTTTTTTATATTTTCACACCTAATTTCATGATAAAAAATATAAAAATAAATTATTTATATAGAAGGAGGAACAACTCGTCATTTGATATTTAAATAAATCATTTATTAATAAATATTATATTATTATATCAATATATTTAAAATAATATTTAACTAATACAATGTTATATTAATTTAATTATATGGTATAATTATCAAATATATTATATTACTAAAATACTTATCAATTTTTATATATATTCAAGTTCGTAAAATAATATATCAATTTATTATTTATAACATAATATAAAATAACAACAAAATATTATATTGTATAATAAATATAATATTCACAATCAAAATACAAATAACTATTTTATAATAATTATTTGATATTTTTTTGTAAAATATAATGATAATATATTATAATTATTAACTATAAATAATTTTATTATTTTAAAAAAATATATTTCTAATAAATAACGAACTAAATAATATATTTGGTCATATAATAACAGTCCCACAAATATAGAAACTAAAAAAAAAAAAAAAAGGAGGCTATATGTTTTGAAGGAAAAAAAAACAAAAAAGCACGGAATAAATACAATATTCACAATCAAAATACAAATAACTATTTTATAATATTTATTTGATATTTTTTGTAAACTATAATGATAATGTATTATAATTATTAACTATAAATAATTTTATTATTTAAAAAATATATATTTCTAGTAAATAAGGACCTAAATAATATATTTGACCATATAATAATAGTCCTACAAATATAGAAACTGAAAAAAAGAGAAAAAAAAGGAGGCCGGACGTTAAAAAAAAAAAACAAAAGAAAAAAACACTGCTATTTTTTTTGTAAAATATAATGATAATATATTATAATTATTAACTATAATAATAGTCCTATAAATACTTCAATAGTTGAAAAAGAGGATAAATTAATCAACAAATTATATTACCTCCAAGGCAATGAAGGTTGCAAAGTCTATTCATTAGAGAATGGAGAACGATGCATGAGAGAAGATGTTAATATATATCATTGGATCCGAAAGAATGGATGGCGTTAAAAAAAAAAAAAAAAAAAAAGGGAGACTCGCTACGAGTAAACGAAAATGACAAAAAGGACAAAAAACTTAGTTTTCAAACCAAATGGACTAATTAATTTATTTCCCAAAGAATTATTTTTTTTATAATTTCTTAAAAGAAAAAATAAAAATAGTAAAATGATGAAAATGATTAAAAAAATTAGTTTTCAAACAAAAAGGATTAATTAATTTATCTCTTAAGAAACGAGGGACCAAGATGCGACAAAAACTCGAGGAACGGGAACTTTAAGTGTGTAGCTAACTAAATGAATAATATCACGTGCACTTCTTTTAGTTTTTTTTTTTATATAATCATATAATGGGTGCTTCGTATCCTTATTTATGATATCTGTAAGGGCAAAAAAAAAAAAAAAAAAGACAAATTTTAAGAAAGATCGTTCTTCTCGAAGCTATGAACTACTTGATGAATTCAATGACGCCGAACCACATCATTTATTGAAGATGGCTTGTAAACATTAGTTGTAGTGTGCCACGCGGCATTCTGCTTTCTAACGTGGTAAGGCAAACCAAAGGGGCCATGTAAACTTTCTCATTTCATTTTTTCCATCTCTGTGATTTCATCTTCTTCTGTCTTTACTAGCTCTTTCAAAAACGCATTTTGCGACAAGAAGATTTGAGCGTGGAGAAGTTCTTGAAGGAAGAGAAGACATCAATACGAATTGAATTACAATTCATTGGTAAGAATGGGAAACTTGAATGAGAAAAAAAAAAAAAAAGACGGACTAAATTGAGGATGGTCCATTTATACTATAAAACTAATGAGTTAATGCCAATAAACTACATAGATTAAATTTATAATCAACTCGCAACCAATTAGGAAAAAGGAGAGGAGAGGAGAGGAGAGCATTATCAGTTTAGTAGCATCTGTGCGTTTGCTTCTCCATTACTTGTGTGTGTGCTCCATCGACATTAATTAATTTAGCAGTGCTGGTACGGTAACACCATTCTTGCTCTCCAATGTTTCCTTCTGCTTTGATATTTATTTATTGTTCTATTGCTTTCTTTACAAGTTTCAAGTGTGATTTACAACAGTTGTTGTCTTCATAAATTTACTTGTGATCAGTTTGGAATTATTAATTTGATTTGGATGGCTCTAGTATTGTAGTCTAGGTGTTTGTGAAAATGATCGAAAGAAAAGAAAGATACTCTTATGACTTATCCTAAGACCTAGCTTATGTTTCTTCCTTTCTTTTCTTCTCTCTTTCTCTCTCTTTTAATTGCGCTTCCTGTTTAATTATATTAATTCAGGTTGAAGAGAGATTTAATAAGCAGATAGTTTCAGGAAAGCAGCAAGTCAGAATCGAGAAGGAAGGATGGTCTGTCTAAAAGACATAGTACCCGCAGCTGAAAACAACATTAACACACGGTTCATAGTATTGGACAAAGGCAGAACAAAATTGGAAGGCCAGAACAGGACTTGCCTGGCACTTGTGGCTGACGAGACTGCTTCAGTTCACTTCCAGTTCTGGGGTGACGAGTGTGATGCATTCGAGCCAGGTGACATAGTCCGTTTGACTAATGGCATCTTTTCGTACAACAGGAACAACAGCCTTGTTTTGAGGGCTGGCAAGAGGGGATCCGTAGAGAAGGTGGGAGAATTTACTATGGTATTTGTGGAGACGCCAAATATGAGTGAGATTACTTGGATTCCAGACCCTGATCGTTCCAACAAGTATGTGCAGGACTCTGTTGTTTCTCCGCATTCCCGTATCTTTCCTCCATTGCCTTAAAGACCGTCCATATAACATGCAATATAATTTAGGGCCTGTTTTGTTCATTCTATGCTTACAAGGAAAGCACCTCCATGATCTGTTTATAAGAGAAGCTTTTATATTCGGCTTTTACCTGCTTTTCTGAGATGATATCTGATTTTTCTTAACACAAGCTCTTTAATAAACACTTCTACTTATAAAAGACTGGACTAGAAAGTGTTTTAACTTGCAAGCATGGCAAGGCCAAACGGAGCCTTGGACAACCTTAAGGTTGGAATCCATGCATCAATGTCAAGTCCAACGGCTATGGAATATTTTCATTTTTAAGAATCCAAAGTCAAATTTTCATGCCGCCCCTACTCAGAATTAATTTTGTGGACCGATGCCCAGCTAGCAGTGAACCAGGTTAAAAGTTGAAGAGTATTAATAAATTAAGAAAAACTAACAAAATGACGTTTTCATGCTGCAACTGACATTCTCACATTTCGACAGTGGACAAGTCACTTATACATGCCTCAACACACCAACGATCAAAATCAAATGAATATATTGTAAATTAAATACCTCTATGATTGTCTATTTTACAAAAGCTGATCACCCTATAAACTATCGACAGTAGAAATACAATACCATCTTATCTGCATGCTAAATTGTACATATGTTAACACTCACTGGTCAACAGCTAAATCTCGTATCATCCTCAAAGTTGTGTAGTTTTATCTTCTGCAACTTGTATATCTGAAACTATAACACAAGCACCAAACTCGTGCCAAGTGGGAGACATGCTGACTAAAATTGGGCAACAAAATGGTCAAGCGTGCCAGCAAAGATGGGTGCTGCAATGCAACCCCATACATTAAGAAAACGGGTCTTGTAGCATCATATGTACGCAAGCGAGCTTCTGTCATGGTCAGGTTGAGGACGTCCCCGAGTTGGAGTTGGTGGTCTTTGGATGTTTAGCTCCTGAAAGACAACAGAAACATCGAAGAAACAATTATATGCCAGCCAAGGGACCAGATTTGTTGGATACCAAGCGGTTTTTCCAACATTGAAAATGCTAGAAGTCTTGCCTGCATCCATGTATCATCAACGACCCGTTCCGGAGACGTCTCTGGTGACTGAAGGGGAGGGGGCAAGGGATGAATCAATTTTGGAACCACAACCAAACCCCTGCCAACTACCAGTATAGCTCCAGCATTGTTCGCAGTCCCTGGATGGATACATCACATTAGGATTCAAATTTGAGTTTAGCAAGACAGAACTCTAGCTCTCAGCTTACCACAATAGTTGGTTGCAGAAAATAGCGTAATCAATTGCCCCTGGGCAAACCGTTCAAACCCATCCATAACACATTCATGTGCCCTGATAATTAGCTGTAACTTATTTTTCTTACAGAAGTCGGTTACACGGTCAGGCTGCAATGACATAAAAGACACAAGCAAAAGCTTTGTTACACATGCAACTTGAAAAGGCATCAAATTTAAATATTCAGTGCCAAAAATAAATATATGAAACTGATGGTATCATAGGAGAGCATAGATTCATTGGAACTTTGGTGCATCTGAAGCAGCAAAACTGAGAAGGTAGAAGCACATAGTGTAAATGCAAGCTGCCAATGAGTACAAATTTGTTGCCGTATGGCACTTAGTATTTCACAATTAACATAAAGATCATGGTGTATCCCTACTTAATATCTCCTGGTTAGTCCATATACATATCATATTACATCTTTGAGCTCATTCACGAAGTTTTTAGGCTAAAACATGCCAGCACTGCTGAACTTCTAGTCAAAGGTGAGTTAACCTCTTAACTTCAAATCTCTCTCTCTTTTTTTTTTTTGGTTCCCCAATAAGCATTTGTAGCAGTGAAGTCCTAAACTTTCTTCAAGTTTACATCTCACATTTAATGGTAGAAAGCTTTACATCCCACATTTAATGGTAGAAGGAGAACAACATAGTTTTTCTTCCAAATTTGAAACGAAGGATTTTGGCGGTTCACATCTAAATAAAAGAAAGGTGTTTGTTTTTCTGCTGTTAACTACAGTACGAACATATAAAGCAAACTACTGTTGGAATTCAATCTCTACAAAGATTTAGCTTCATGGACCAAAATAAGAAGTTTTGAGAGGCTACCTTGCTTTTCACCAAAGGTTGATGGGATGCCTATATATTAGTCAATTTTTAATTCTATTCACCATTACTGGGAATGCATGCAATCAACCACACCAAACACAATAACTAAAGATCATCCAACATAAAAGATGTGAACAATGACATGCATACCCCAAAAGTGACAAGACCAGGGCCCCTGGCATTTGGTCTCAAACCCTCTATGCTATCATTTTCTGTAGGATCCGACCTGAATGGAGAAATATCATAGCACAAATTAATGTTTTAATGTAAGCAATGACAGGTTGCAAGTAAAAATTAATGGAGTGAAGAATACCACAGAAGATCCATTAAAACTATAGATCCAGCATCCATCGTTATGGGTCTTTCAAGCTTCTCTATTTGCTCCACTGAATGAATGGATCTCCCTATGCCACCATGCATACAAATAATTTTCTTCTCGATAAGTGCAGCAAGTGGAAGATAGTTGAAAAGTTGATTGAAACGTGTCCATGCCCATATCCCATCACTCTCTCCCTGTAAATGCAAATGCTATGGTCACATTTGAATTTTCAAAAGATGTACTGGTCCTTCTGGATACTTATATCTAGCATGCTTATCCATACCATTCTTTCAATGCATTCAATACGAAAACCAAAGAGTGCATTTATATCAGCAGCTTCATGGTTTCCACGTATCAGGTGGACATTTTCGGGATTCTCGATCTGCAAAATCATAATAAAAGGCACAGCAGCATCAATAAAAGGGCAGTGCCAAACTATAATTCATGTGAAACTTTTGTTCACTGAAAGCACAAGTTTTACCTTAAGAGCAAGAAGCAAAGTTATGGTCTCCAAACTGTGCTGCCCTCGATCAACATAATCTCCCAGAAACAAATAGTCAATATACCTGAACCATAAAATTGGACAGCAAGGTTAAACAACTAAAGGGATAAATCACATGACCTGTTTTAAAATAGTCAATATATTGCTGTCGATTGCTAATGATAATGCCTTTCTTGAGGTATATTTAGAACATATATACAAAATGAAAATGAGTGGAACTTTGAAAAGACAGATTTTATGCCAGTAACTTGGGTATTTGAACACAATTCGTTAACCAACTGGCCTTTACTCAACTATTTAGATTGGCTAAAACCAACAACATTTCAGCTCATTATAGGTCATAGTGTCAGTCCATGTAAAGAATATTGATCTCTATCACATTGTTCACATCTTTCTAGCTTCTATTCCCAAGAAGCAAACTCCCATCTCCCCACTAATTTTGCCAGTTTGTGTAGGGCATGAAGGAATCATCTCAATCAAGCAGAGAGACTTTATTAGTTTTCGTAAACTCGACCACTCAACTTCTGCATCTGCCCTCGCATTAGATCACAACTCCCTGCTTCAACATGAATTACCCGCGACCACACCTCACTATGGGAAGAAACATAGTTTTTGGGTCTCTAACATCATGATTGAAAATGACAAACTAGCCAACAGTTGTCATCACTCTTGGCTTACACCCAGCCTCCACTAATGATTAAAAGATATTTTAAAAACCTATTCCAAAGTCCATATTGAAAACCCACAACTATAGAGCACCAATACGTGACCCCATCAACATAAATGGTGCAGTTTCCACACCAGTTTCCCTTGTTTCTTAGAATGCATGAAATTAAATGCCACTATTAATTAGCTCTCTGCATCATACTCGACATGTTCCTCACCAGCATAAGAGCTACTGTCTAATACTTACGTAATGTCTCCTGCTGTGGATGGAAATCCATATTCATCAAATAGACGCATTAAGTCACCAAACTGTCCATGAAGATCACCAAAGACTTTTACTGGGGCTTTCAATTGCAGAACCGTTGGCTCTTGCATAAAGATTTGTTCAGCAGCATAACAAAGTTCCCCAACTTCATAAGAATCCAGGAAAAATCTCCGATTAGCAGGAGCTTTCCAGTTCCGAGGCCTAAGCAATGTGGAAATAATCTGCAAGATAACAGCAAACATGAAGTAGTCCTTAAGAATTGGCAATACTCATAAATTTGTCCAGTCTTACCTTCTTATGCAGGCCCTGAGGAGACCTTTGCCTGGTGAACTTTTTGGCAGGATAAGATGCATCATTATTCATAGGAACCATCCTTCTGCTTTCATTTTCGAATTGATCTAATGACAATTGCCTCACCATCCCACCCAGGTTTCCTACAGCCTCTTTAGCAACCACCACCTATAAGAACAAGACGGTATGATTTAGCAGCATGGCAACCAAAGAACAACTGCACCACTCTTATAAACCACAGATAAAAGCGTACAGCTCTAGGATGCAGGCGAACATCAGCCTCACTGTCACTGCCATCTGAAGTTGCTTCTGCAGCTTGTGAGTTGTCATCAGATACAGATGTTTCTTCTGCAGAAGTCACAGATGCTGCCTGAGCAGCTTGCCAGACAGCATTAGCTGCCTCAGCTTCAGCGGCAGATGCCTCCCTTAATTTTTCCATAGAATTTCTGTCCATGCTGCTACAGAAGAAAATAAATTCATGAGTTTATGTAGGAGCAGGGCTGACATCACATGAGAGACAGAGAGATGATTTGAGACCTGACACCACCAGATGAAGAGATATCCGGTCCACCTTCTAGAGTAGAAGTTCCAAAAGAATTTAAATTAGAATGGTTTGATCTGGGACTTGTTATTGTCGAGGCTCTCTCAGATGTTAATATAGGAGAATTGATGTCTGACTGAAATGGGGAATTTTCAGCAACCAAAAAATCATCTAGCACTGTATCTGCAGAGAACAAAGTAATTAGAAATGAAATGTGGATCTCTTAAGTTTGTAGTCCACAATGCAATGAAATGAATTCCAATGATTAAGCCTTAATGCCAGGTTTATGCAGAAGAAAAGGAGCCAAAGATGGGCCCCTGAATAAGTATAACCTAAATAAACAAGAAGCTAATTAAATTCTCATACACAATAAATCCAATCTGATTGCTGTTATTACTTAATTAAAGACGCTCGTTTTCTCTAGGGTGCTTGAGAAAGACTTCAGTTAGATAATCGCTAACAAAGATCTAAAAGGTCACAAATGCATGTACTTCACTTGCATATTTGCGATCCCAGAACAACTCAAAGTTAACACTAGGGCAACCAATTAAAATTGGTGAATTACTGGCTCTGAACAAACATAGACATCCAAACTTAAAATAGTTACTTGGCAAGAAATAAGAATCATTAAACTGTAAACTGTCGGGACCAAGCGCCAAAAAAAAAAAAAAAAATCCACATATTGATATGTCTGGGGAAGGTGAAAGTGCTGATCAGTCAAGCAATCATCAAGGAACACAAGCACAACAGGTTGATTAAACATGCTACATGCAATGCTAACATTGTTGTGCAAAAGTTACATGAACTGACATTCTTTCATTTTTTTATTTATCTTATTGACTCCATAGAACCATCGTTACTGGGGAAAACTGGGATAAAACAGTAACTCAGTTCCATATCTTCTTATGCTTACCACAAAAAGAAAAGAGAACCCACAATAACAGTGAAATTTTTGTGAAAACAGAATGTGTGCCATAGGATAATTCGGAGCACAAAAAGTAAACTGTGGACAATAGTGCTAAACGACTGCATGCACTTGCTGATGGGAAACTAATGTCTCTTTTTACAGATCACATTGATAAAGGTTGTATTAAATGGCAAAGCTTCATGCATAAACCTCAAATTCTACAAAGGTTTGGTCAATGTTTGAATTTCGAATTCAATTTTACGAAGTGCAAAGCGTGCAACATGCTTATCTATGGGTGAAATCCACTTGAAGGGGTGAGATAATTGAAAATGGCAAGAAAGAATAAATCATGAAAAGTAATTCTAAAGGAAAATGTAAAATGTGGAAAATAGTGCTAAACGACCACATGCACTTGCTGATAGGAAATTAATGTCCTTTTTTAAATATCACATTGATAAGGGTTGTATTAAATGGCACAGCTTCATGCATATCCCTCAAATTCTTCAAAGGTTTTATCAATGTTTGAATTTTGAATTCAATTTAACAAAGCGCACAGCACGCAACACACATATTTATGGGTGAAAATCACTTGAAGGGCTGAGATAATTGAAAATGGCAAGAAAGAATAAATCATGAAAAGTAATTCTAAAGGAAAAAGAAAAAAAAAAAAGTAATTTTTTTTCCTTTTACACATTAAAACAGAATATGTAGCTGATTGCACAGGGAGCAATATCAACATCACGCACCCTTTGAATCATAAGCATAACCAAAACCTCAGGTAAAACAGAAATGTGGCATAACATGTCCATTGCAAAAGAAGAAAAAAGTGTTGCTGGTCAAGGGAAATTCATTCAGTGCTTTGTCAACAAACTTCAAAATTACTCACTAATGCAGTTCAATTATGACGATGAAAGTAGTTGAACTTTAAATAGAATAACACATGTTAATACTGCTTTTCAAGATAATAAATTGAGAGGCAAAACAAATATAAACTACAACAGCAACAAAACTAACTAGAAATAATAAGAAACAATCCACTCCACTATCCAAAAGCTTCTCTAATAATTACTAAAATGTGTCTACTGTCAACTAGGTAACTGAAGGATAGGAGAATATACTGCAAGGTGTAAAACTTGTGGCATTGATCTGTTTAGTTCAAGCATAAAACTGGCAATGCCACAGAAAAAATGGAAACCTATTAGAGTCTCTTCTTGTTATGCTTTCGCAGTATAACTTTCAGCCAAAGAGTTCCTACTCCTAAATACTGGTGTATCCCATTCTGAGTCATCCCCTCAATTTAAGTTTTACAATGTCGGTATTAGCTGAGCTTAATGTTAAACTCACTTGAAGTAAGATTAAAACATGCTCAAATGAGGATTGGAGAGATGGGGGGTGGGGGGGGGGTGTGGGTGGGTGGGTTGAGCGAAGGACAATTACTGCAGGACCAATAGGTCTCCCAGTGAACAAAAAGAAAACTTTACCTCCTTTCAGACCACCATAGACATATATACGAACACCGACAGATGCAGATGCATGGCGACAACGAAGCATTAGCTCCAAAGAAGGATCATATTCAACATGTCCTTTGCTGGTTTTAGATGAAGTCACTAGCCCATTTTTATCCAACCAAACGCCCGCAGCAGTATCCAGCACTGGCCACATAGAAAAAATGTTGAAGTTTACAATATAACCCCTCTTTCAAGATAAGAACAGCAAAGAACAAAAGCTTACCAGCAACAGCTGCTTCCCCTTCTACTAAACGTCCTCCCTTTAGGGCTCCTCCTGTAACATGCAAACGTGCACCAACAAAAACCTGATAGAAAGCAATGTCAAACTTTTTAATCATAAAGAAGAAACTTACAAAAGAAGTTCCATCTCAGTATACAGACAAACTAGACATATAGAAAGACAGTATCAAAACCTATAATCTAAATTTTCTAGATCCTCGTGTAATTGAGTTCCAACACACATTTTAAACTAGTATTTTACTTTAAAAGAAACAGTTCATGATCTACTCATAACCTAGAAGTTATAAAGTTTCTGACTTTTGTTGGTCACTTACCGCAGCATGCTCATACCTTGGTGATGGAGACACCCCAGGTGCAAGAGTCCACTCCCACTGACCGTTTCTATGCATTAGAAGCCCATAAGCATCTCCAAGTGGCTGTTTAAATGAACTTATGATCAATAACGAATTGAAATGCAAAACAGTAATGCCATTATTAATAAAAATTTATTTATCCAAAAAACAACATTGTTGATCAAGAAAGTAACTTCAATGAGAATGAAGCTGCAACACATCATCACTTAAACGTCAATAGAGAAAAATTCATAAAAATCAGAAGAAAGGCTACTGCTAGAAAAAAGTGACTGCAAATTTCAAAGAAAAATTAGGGAAATTATTCCTCAACACGAGGAGTGCTCTGATTCATCATCACTCTGACATGGAAAAGAAATGTACTGTACCATAGTTCGCCTCTTTTTATAATACTTTCAAAACATGTCAATAAATACAAACAAACACCAAAGGTTTCTTTCTTCAATTTTTCTAAGTCCAGTATTACTTTCGCACTTAACTTCTTTATTGCTTTCCATCCATATTACAAAAGTTTCAATCAAGTTTTGCCTCTTCAGTTTTCCAACAATTCTATGTATTTGATAGAGCATTATATCCACTTCCAGTTACCACCCTTGTAGAAAGAAAATTTTCACAATTGATCCAAATGGTTGAGGATAATAAAGGTCCCATTCATTTAGACTAGGTGTGGGAATGCATATTGTGGATTTGAATTAAACGCTAGTGCACTCTAGCGCTACCCGCATGAAGTCACGGCACATCAAATTGTCATTTGAACAAAGTTAAAATACTTTATTCACTTTGATTACCTTGATCTCCCATTGCTTTTCATATGCATGCACAAATTATTAGCACACCAGGACTAGGAATGCATATTCATAAATAATTAAATAAGCCAGGAGGACGGACAATAAGTTGACATACTAGCCCTAATTGATTGCTTTACAGCCCCTGAGAATGACAGATCATACCATGCCAGAGGAGTCTCTTCCACCACAAAGCAAAAACATTCCATCTGAACGGGCACTAGCTGTTGCATACCTACAAAATAATACTGTATCATGTCCAACATAAAGCTCAAATTGATGGGAAAATAACAAACCCAGGAGTTTTAACACTTCTGCCAATGTTGATGCACTAAACACACTTACATTCGAGCTTTAGGTCTGTCACCTTCAGGATTTAGCCTCTGCCATACATATGGTTTCTGGGCAGTGTCGAAAGCCCAGGCATCAGATAGAACTCTTTTACCTAGAGCATAATTGAAAAATCAACATTACATTGTTTACAAAGCATAGAAAAAGGCATAATCATTGGCACAAAGCATCAACACATATTCTTCGGGCTTGAAATAACATAAGAAGATTCAAAAGTACACATTTAAGAAGCCGTCCATCCATAGAGTAAGCTACTCCAAAGTCATGAAGCCTACAGCTTATCATGATAAGCTCACAGAAGTATAAAGAAACAAAAGAGGCCTACACCCATATCTATAAAACAAGTCCTACCAAGATGTTGAACCTTACAAATGGAAGCTAAGCATATTCAGTCCCAATAATCAAACAAAGAACATTCATGAAACACAAGTTTTTAGCACTGGACTTTTAATTAGGATTTGGTCCCTACACTAATGCATAATAGCACACTTCAATTGAAATTACTTTAGAGGAAAGGAACAAAAGGATCTTCAAGAGAAAAAACAGAACAGCAAAATTTGCTTACCATCATTCCCACTGACAGTAACAAGGTACCTTTGGGCAACCAAGTCCATTACATGGCCGTATCGAGGCCCAGGTCCTTGTCCTTGTACAACCACTCTACATGCACCAAAATATAGTAATGAGTTCCATGCCAATAACCCAAGTCAAGTCAGAAAAATTACAACATGATGAAGAAGATGATGAACTGTTGGCTAAATCTGATTAATGGAAACAGAAAACTGACCGGTGCCACTTGAATTTTTCATTGGTCAGGTCAAGCACATAAATATCATCCGTGGAATGCCCAGCAGGACCTATCCCACCCTAAGCCATACGCACAATTCATTCATCAATGTCAAAAAATCACATTAACTTAACAAATTAAAAAAGAGAAAGAAAGAATCCAAAATCCTAATTCACAGTGAACACCTGAAAAACAACCATAGTACCAACTGCAGCTGCGGCGTGTGCAGCCCTAGGAGACGGTGGCTCCCCAGCAGGTTGTAATCTGATTCATTAGACAACAAACACCACAGGTTAATCATCCAAAAAATTTTAGAATTTTTTGAGTGATAACAATAATATTAAAAAGATGAAGAAGAAACAAAGTGGTGTTAGCTACCTAGTCCATTTCCTAGTAAGAACGTCATAAGAATGAACTGAATTGGTCACTCCAGCCAATCCTACACCGAACAATTAATTAACATCAAGCAAAGTAGGAGCAGCAGCTTAAATTTCAATTCAATATATAAAAAACAGAGAGAGAGAGAGACAGAAATGGAAACTTAACTGATTCCAGGAGCGGAGGAAGCGCCGCCCTCGATGGCGGTGGCACCACCGAAGAGGATTAATCGAGGACCGTGAGACTTGGTAGCAGCAACGGCAGTCAAGGTATGAGCACATCGAGGACCAGGAGCATCATCATCGGAATTCCAGTAAGTTTCTAAGGTCCGATAGGTGGGAGCCGGGTGTAGCCATGGCTTGGATCCCATTTCCCACCCTCTCTACTCTAATAACAATAATACTTCAATAACCCTAAAGACCCTAAACTAAGAAGATCGGAAGTCGGTAGTGCTGGTGGTGGTGGTGATGAGGCCCGAGCAACAGCTTATAGGCTCCGGTCCATCTGTCCTTTTTCTTTTTTCCTAATTTTTAAGTCAAAAAGCATTACGAGTCCAAACTAGGTATAAAAAATTGAATATTGTGTAATAAAATATACCCTAACTACTATTAATTAACAGTCTATTTAGCTAATGTAAATACTAAATAGCAGCAATTCTAGGCTGGGCAGTTCCTTCCCGGAAGGAAGAGAGGGAAGAAAGGGAGGGTTTAGGCCTAATTGAGTTGATCTAGTAGTCCCGATTGAGTCAACCGTTACCCCATTAAAACGTTCTTCTCTTTAGCAGCAATGGTGTGGATTTAAAAAAAAAAAAAAGTTCAGGTGTTTGGATATTTTTATTAGTACAACTGTCAAAGCAGATGCATACGGCAGCTTTCCACCACCCACTCATTGCCCTATCCTTTTTGCTTTCTTTTTGTTAACTTTGCATTCATTTACAGGAGAAAAGAAAATTAAAAAGGTAAAATCCGTGGAATGGATCCTCAGTCCCATGTTGTCAAGAGACTAACAACAGCATCGGTATCCTAAGTTTTTCCAAAAAACATATCGATCTGATGTCTTCGCTATTACTCTATTTTATATCATTGCGTGTCAAAGACAACGACTATTAGTACTAATCTTTCAATTACATCTCTTTTTTTCAACAAAACGTGCAATCTTTTATTCCTCTCCCAAGGATAAAAAGGCTGTGATTTTCTCCACATCTCATCTCAACTTCGTAGATTTGATGAACAATGGAGCCGGTTAGCAATAGCATGGGTGAGAATTGGTTAACTCAACTTGTTGGTCCCTCTGCTATTTTGACTTGGTTATTCTGACTTTTCATCTATTTAATTTGTTATTGTGTTCCATCTACTTCATTGCTTTTATTAGTCAACCTTTCATCAATTTCATTCAACAACAACTATTTTTTATAACTTTAAATTTGACTGAAATTATCCTCGTACTATTTAACAACTCAAAATAAAGGTTAAGTTAAATGAATAAAAAAAATCGTGGTAAGAAATTTAACCTAGTTAAACTAATTTACCTAATTAAATTTAAAACAAAATTGTTTATATTTACAAAGCCTTAAACCATATAAATAGCTCAAGTTAGTTAATGTATGTTGTATCTGATTTTAGGTCAAACAGATTAAGTTAACCCTTTAAATTTTCAGCTCTTAATTCCCTTTAATCTTGTTTGGTAACATAATCAGGGAGAAAGGAAAACTTGAGAGTTAAGGGAGGGATTTAAACGTGAATCTAGTGGAGGATGGAAGAAAGTATTACTAAGGATAAAAAAAAATTTATAGCTTTGTGCATTTTTCTTTCTATTTCCCTCTTACACGCAATCATTAGAGCTCACCAATACACTTAATTACTATTTTTAAATCGTATTTAATTTAAATTTTGCTTTATTTATTTATTTTATCAAAGATGGATCATACACTCCAGTGTTAATGGGAGTTAAGCGATCGAGGGTTAATGATTAGTAAGGAGATGCTGGGTTTATCTATTGTCATTCGCCACGACACACGAGGACTTAATTGCCAGGACAACAAGAGCTGAGGAGCTATCGTGCTAGCTTTCAAATATGTGTGGCTATATAATTCGACACCCCTTGCAGAAAGCATCGATTGAACTTGCAAGTTGCAAGCTATTGCTCAAAAAACAAAATAGTTATCCGAAAGAGGAGCTTTAATTATTTCAATAAATAATTTCGTATTTGAGTTTTTATGTAAGTTAAAAAAAAAAACCTTTTTGAGTAAGTATATTTACTTTGTATATTCCACAGAATAGCAAAATATTAGTCTGTATTTTTTAATCTAGAATATCTTTAAGGCCAAAAAAAAAAAAAAAAACAATAAGCTGTAAGGGAATTGGTGACTCAAAATTAATAACTTACAATTTTCCATAACTAAACAGAACTTAAGTTCTAGCAATTAATAACTTGCAATTTAATTTACACAATATTTTTTACTCGTTATAAAAAATAAAGAAAAGGTTTAAAATAACAATTATAACATGTTATTGAGCAAAAATTGTTGAATCCTCCAGGGTCCCCAAGTCGCCTATGCCTAATTAGTTTAAGAAATATAATTTTAATATTTTTATATTACATGAGATGTTATTCAAGAGTCTCAATATGGATTCTTTTCTTCTTTTTTTATCGTGATCGATATAACAATTTAGCAATTGACAAATTATCAATTTAATCTGCACAATTTAGAAAAAAATGCCACATGCTCATAAACATTGATAATAGATTTCTCTTTAAAAAAAAAAGGAAAATTGAGGAGAGAAAGAAGAGAAAAATTAAATATAATTTTATTTAGATGCGGTATTGCCCAAAGTGTTTTATTTTCAGGTGCTGTGAAGCAATTTAGCCCAATAAATTCAAGGGATGTAATAAATAAATAAATAAAATAGTTCTTGTAAAATACATGTACAGGTTGAAAAAAAATAGTCTTGATAACATTCACATGGTAAATTATTAGGGATAATGATCAGAAAAGCCCTTTAAATAATCTTCTTTTTAAACAACCTATTAAATTATTTTTAAATCTTTCAGATTCAAAAAAATATTTTTCTTATCAAAACACTCAATAGCCAACTTTCAACTTAACAATAATTAATTATTGAGTGTTTTGATAAAATAATTTTTATTTTTATTTTTTGGTTTGAGAGATTTAAAAAATAAATTGATGAGTTTTTTAGATATAAAATTTTTTAAGATGATTTTTTTACATAATTATATAATAATAAACTTATTTCATAGTTTTTTAATGAGTATGATGCTAATTTTTTTTTTTTATCGTGATCAAGTTCAGCTTCCTTTTTATTTTTATTGCAATCAAAAGGGAAAAAAAAAAAAAGTTTTCTTAGCTTCTTTGACTGCCAACATGCTGACCTTCGGTTATTATTTGCTTGTTATACTAAAAAATTCTCTATATAGAAGTTTTATTTCTTTCTATTGGTCGTTTATTTTATCAACTACAAGATTACTTTTACTATTTAGTGGCTATAGCAATTAATGTAATTCAACTAATTATTAATATCAATGAAATGAAATTCATATCTCTTGTAATTTAATTCAAAAGTTATCATATAAATAAGAAAAGTAAGAATATATATGATTATGAACATCAATGATCTCCTAAATCCTAATATAATGATAGAAAAAAGAAATATCGTCAATAGTAATAGTTTTTAATTAATCAAAACTCAACATTTTTAATCGACTAATTAAATTAAATTAAATTACAACATAAATGTATTTCATATTTTGGTGCATTAATTAAATAGAACATGGTCATCCACAATGAAAATATATATCTAAAAATATAATGGTTTTTTTTTAAAACTAGGGATAATTAACAAAAAAATTATAAAAAAAAATCTTTTGTTTAAAAAATTCATCAATTTATTTTTAAAGCTTTCAAATACAAAAACATATTTTTCTTACCAAAAAATTTTTTAAAATGTCTTAAAACCCAAAACAATATTTTTCATACCAACACACTTAATAGTCAACACTTGGTTTTTTAGATAAAAGGGTTTTTTAGAAGATTTTCTTATATTTATCCCAATTTATTATTTGTCAACCCATGTATAGTCTATTTTATTGCATCGCTACAAATTTAATTTTAGTTAATTTCAACTTAAACCAAATTAATTAGAAAACTAAAACATGTCATGTAAGCAGATCCGTTGGGAGCTGTTTACTTGTTATGCCCTCCTCACCACAACCGTTGAGTAAAAACATTTAGAATTGCATCTACGAGAGAAAACCCCGTGAAGACTCCTACGATAGTTAATTGCATCTTACCATGGGATCATACAAAGCAAATACAATAATAATATAAACACTACGATATTGTTTGATAATTAAAAATAAAATTATGAGAATAAAAATAAAAATTTATTCTCATGTTATAACTGTTCGATTGAAAAGAATGAAATAAGAATAGAAATGAAAAGTGAAAATGAGAATAAAAATTACATATAACTTTATTCTCATTTAAAATGTGAATTTTTTTCTAAAATAATAATATATTTTATTTATTTATTGTCTATTAACTATCATTACTATCACCACCGGAACCACCGTCGCTACTATCATCACATTTATTATTTTTATCACTATTATAATTTGATAAAATTATTTTTAATCATTATTTTTATTTATATAAAAAATTAGATATTAAAAAATTTAAATTGTATTTTGATTTCTTATTAGTATGAAAATACAATATGAAAATAAAAATATCATCCAATTCTCTAATTTTTACATTCTCATTCCATATATTTTATTCCTGATGACCAAAACATACATAAGTTATTAATATAGATTCAGAGCTTTTGTTCTTTGGCATTATGACATGGAAATGCAAAGGGTACCCCATATATTATGATGGCAATTCAGATGTTTTTCTTCTTCTTTTATGATCCGGAGAAGGAGGTAATTGGGATGCTTCTTGCAAGATTAGTTTCAAGGCAATAACACGTGTAAACGTTGGATGCGGAAAACTGATAAATTTTAAAATACAAACAATTTTCATTTCATAAATTTATTTAGAGAAGAGATAGAAAATCACGTTCACATTCATAAAAAAATAACTGAAATTTACTTTTTTAATTCTCTTTTCTATTTATCTTTTATCTTTTACAAATAAATATTATTAATTATTTCCAAAGTAACATGAAAAAATACATAACTGCGAAACCAGTTCGAAATACACGCCTATACTTTCAAAACCCATCCACCAAAACAACTAGACCACAGATTGGAAATCCGAATGCTACTCTCAGCGAACCGGGATTTGACTAAATACATCGACCCTAGTTATTATTTAATGCCCGCAACTGAGTGAAAATACCTAGGAACGTTTCAAGCAGATCAACAAACAAGAAAAATGAAAACAGTACTAAACTTCATGCACTAGGCCACATCAATCATGATACATAATTAAAACTAAATGGGTTATTATTTCCTCGTAATTGAAAGAACGGCTTGGTTTACTTTCCAATTAATCATGGGATATCGTTCATAATACCCAGCAAAAAACCGGTAAAAGTATTTACATACTGCAAAAAAGAAAAGGAAAATCAACAAACAGATACCTCATTTTCACTTTTCTTATCCTCTTGACACGAAGGCATAACTAGAGAATGGTGATTCTTAAAGCCATCCATATTCAAAGGTACAACCCCCTTCAGACTTTTCACTTTAGCTCTAGCTCCATGAGCAATCAACAACAGAGCAACCTGCATATGCCCTGCATCGAGTGCACATTGAAGTGGTGTATACCCAGAATTGTCAACAGCCTCAACTTGAGCTCCATGATTAAGCAACACTTCGACACTCTCAATTCTGCCCTTAAAGGCAGCTCTATGCAAAGGAGTCCATCCATTCTGGTCACTTCTATTAACTTTTGCCCCTTCTGCAAGGCAACTTTTGATACCATTTACATCATCTAATTTCGCTGCTCTTTGCAATACATCTCCCATATGCAACAAATCATACAAATGCGAATGCCCATTATCAACCGCGACAGAGAAAGCAGTTTTTCCTTCTTTGTTCACTGCATGCTTGACGTAAAAATCAGAGCAATCCAATAAATACTCGATTGTCTCTAAATGCCCTTTCTCTGCTGCCAAATGAAGCGAACTCGACCCATCACAATCCAAAGCCTCAGTTTTTCCTCCAGCAGAAACGCAAAACCGAATCACTTCAACATGGCCCCTGCTCGCAGCGACATGAATTGGAGTTCTACCGCATAAATCAAATGAATTTACATCAATATTTTTTAAACTAGCACACAAAATCTCCAACAAATCCACTCTATTTACAGCTGCTGCATAGTGCAATACGTTATCTATCGAGCTATCAATTACACATCCAGAAGCGATCAAAACTTTAACAACATCAAGTTGTCCCGCCCGAACAGCTAGGGAGATCAAGGACCGTCCGTCTGAATCTTTACAATTGACATCACCACCGTGGTCAATCAAGCTTGTGATCATTTTTAGATCACCAGATGGCACAGCAGACTTAAGCAGTCCTGTGATCTGGGAGCCGGTACAGCCACAAATGGCCCTGTTGAAGCAACCAGAGACATCAGGAATTTGGGTGTGATTAGAGATGATATATTCAGCAACTTGGGGACCCACAAGGTAGATAGGTAGGGTGGCGTCTCTAAAAACATGGGGTCCAGGTCTTGAAAACAGTCGGTGGAGTTCATCCTGAGGAGCCTTGCCTGTCGGTAGCACGGATGATTTAACAGTGATAGCGTCACAAGGAGTAGAGAGGGGGGCTGATTAGATGACTGAGAGAGGACAATTGTGTAAGATGAGGAAGAAAGCGGTGGGATTATAGAGAAAGGCCGTGTGAAAGAGAAAACAGAAGGGTTTGTAGTGGATAAAGAAATTGCCACAGACATGGTATGCATGAGGTTGGTTAGCCTGAAAGTTGTGCTGCAGTTTTGACTTTTCTTATATGCTATCTCCACTTCTTTCACGTCTGCCTTTACTAGTCTGTCCATTGATACTTGAACTTCACTCTCTTTTGTTCCTTTTCTCTTTGCAGGAAATTGGAAATTTGGGTTTTGTTTTTGGTGGAGAGGAAAAGGAAGAAGATGAAGATTTTGAGGTGAGAATGGAGATGCTTTTTCTGACCCCCTTTTTTTTCAACTAGCAGGACTATATTTTAGTGGTTCTCATCTCAAGGTTTAAGATATATTAATGCGGATAATTTTATTCTAAGTTGATTGATAAGTCCATTTAATACTAGTTTATTACTTGGCTGTCGGTTTAAAGTTTGGGGTGTGTGAAGTTAGACAATGAAAGGGTGCAGAAGAAGTCATCGTGGCTTTTGCTTGAAAAGAGAGTGAGGACTTTTCGAGAGAAAAGGACAATGAGGTGCTGCATCTTCCATCCTGTAGGATGATTGACGAAAGATCAACTGCTTCAACTTCACTCTGGCTGCTCTTCTTGAAGCGCTTGTGGGGACAGTTTTGGTACAGGTTAGACCGCTTTGCCTAAGCATATCTTGTTGTTCTAAGGTTAGACTGTTTGGTATTTTGAACTGATAAGTATACTTATCTATCATTTGTAACTGCATAAACATTACTATATGCATGGATCATCTCCCAAGTCACCATGACGGCATTATTAATTTAGAATCTTTGGTAGAATAAGACCCTACACACACACAAAAAAAAAAAAAAATGCATGCCCGGTCTGAAAAGAAATTAAGCAGCTTAGCTTAGGCTTAACAAGTCTGAAGAATGACCAAGTAAATTAGTAGAATGAGTTGAGTAAAAGCAAAGACGCAATGTCCTAGCAAACGCTAAATGAGTCTCTCAGACACAACACTCTACGCGTATTTTACTGTGGCAAAGTATGTTTTGTAATTACTTCCTGTTTTAAAAACATGTCATTACTTGACTTGCTTTGTTTTGGTCAGAGTTATGACTCGCTCCTAAAGCGCGTATCTTCTGTGAATTAGTTGGATTGATTGTCTGGTCGCCTGGAAAGTTCTATTTTCTTGCGTATTTTTTATTTTTCTACAAAGCTTTTTAAAGGATTTTGTCTTGCACTCCCGGGCTAAATTGTATAAAGATTCCCTTACTTATCGACTGTTCAATTAGCACCCATTATATATATATATATATATATATATATATATATATATATATATATATATATATATATATATATATAATACCTAGACTATGAGTTGTTTGGATCGGATTACCCCCCTCCCCATTGGGTTCTATCAATTATTAGCGACTAGACCACCACCAAACCAAAGGTTTAATCTATATTGGTTCATCTATACCGATTTTAAATTCAATTATCATTGGATTCCAACGTTTCGTGACTTCAAAATTTCAATAAATAAATAAATAAAACTCAACAATTTGAATTTGAATTGGTTTAAAACTGGTTTTTATATTAAAATGTTATTTGCAAAGTTAAAAATTTTATTTTATTAGTCATTTGAGTTGATTTGGTGGTCAACATGGCAGAGTTTTAGTTTTTTGAATGGTGATAGAACCCGTAGAGGAATTATAATATATGAATTATGGTGTATGGTGTGTTTATATATATATATAACTACCAGCATAAACAATGAGGGCCAATGAGGTCATGCCGTGTCATGTACCGTTAAAAATCTGTTTGTTCCCCCAAAATTGTTCTTGGGTCATAGATGGTAGCTGAAATGGTTTCGTTAAAACTACCAGCATTATTCTTAATTTTTAAATTATTATTTTTTATTATAAAAATATTACTATTCACATCACACAATTATATTGAATATCAAATCTAACCTCCTTTTATTTTTTTAACATATTAAGTATTCATATAATCAATTTTTAATACAACATGATTGTAAAAATCAATGAATGTGATTTAATAGTAAGAGAGTTGTCTTTATTTAATCAAAACCAATGTTCAATTTTCTTACTATTTATGAATAATGAGCCATAATTATTCTTTAGTAGTATCGAATTTAAACTCATTTAATCTAAAAAGGAGTTCGGTGAACAACCAAAAATTAAGAGTGTTTTGGTGCTAGTTTAACCTAAAAAGTGACGAGACTTAATTTTGATTGATACAAAAACTAATTTGAAGATACTCCGCTATCCGAAAAAAAAAACGAAAAAAAGCTATGAGATTTTAATAGATGATATTTATACGGACTAATTCATTTGCCAAAAAATATTCCATGCATTCTCTTTTTGAATTTAAATTCAAAATGGAAATATAAAGAATTAACTCGAGTTACTAACTAAACTTGACAAACAAATTAAATGTTACGATATTAGATACCTGAAAAGGTCTAAATCTAGCTACAAGACAGCATAAAAAAGTTAAATTTAAGAATTATTATAAATATGAATTAGATGCCAAAAAAATTCAAGTGTATTTTGAGACAAGTAAATAAATAACAAAAGGAGTACTAAATTATTTTTGTTAACATTAACTCTTAGTGGTTAAATTGTAAGTCAATGAACAATCTTTAACCAAAATTTCTGCCTACAGCGTGTGTAATTTGTCCTTTCCAAACTCTAACTTTTACTCTGACAAAAATCCAGTATATTTAGTTTTTTAAAAAATGAATTAATCAGTCCTTTTTATTTTAACAACGAATAATTTAGTCTTTATATTTTTAAATTTCATTATAACTTAATTATCTTTGTCTCTTTTCAATTTTATTTTTATATTTTATTTAAAGAAATAAAAAAAGAAAAAATAAGTAACAAATATGAAAGAATCGATGAGAAAAAAATAATATTTTTTAAAATAAAATAATATTAAATTAAGCATGACACACAAAAATCAAGAAATTTAATAATTAATTTTTAAATAAAATGTGCTAATTAATTCTTTTTTTTAAAAAAAAGGCACTATTTTATAATGTAAAAAATTTTCTAATAGAATTTATGGAAGGGACTAATTTTGTCCTAAATTCAAAATGCTAATAATGTGGCCATCCCTTCCAAACCACAAATTGAAAATGCCAATAATGTGACCATCCCTTCGAAGCCACAGTGATTAGGTGAAAATAAAAACCATAATAATATCTGTTTTTCGTAAATAATACTTCATACGCACGGCAAACAAATCAATTTTTGAGCTTTATGTTTTTATTTACTTGGATGGAAATATGGAGTCTTTAATATTTGGTAAAAGACGAGGCATGGTTGTATTTTATTTGTTTTTTCGACAGCGAGACTCCTTTAGTGTCACGATTCAATTACATTGATCTTTTTGATATATTTGAATTTCGGACCAAGCTAATTTTTCTATCCAAATTTTTTCATTGTAGTTGACGGTCAAAGATCAAATTTGGCTAATGGTCAAACTAGACCAAAAATCTTAGCCAATCAACATGCACCCATCATCTAAATAATTTTGAATTAACGGAAATTTATAATGAAGTTAAAGGGAGAAAAACTAATTTTGTTTCCTAGATTCAAAATGTCAAGAGGTCAATTGTTTTTTTTTATATATATATAAAAAAAACCAACTCAATAAAAATAGGGATGTTAACATTATATAAACCTTAAAATTTTGTTTGGAGCAAAAATAGGAAGGATAAATCAGTTTGGAAGAAAGTTATCATATCTTGAATTTTCAACTAATAACTTAAACTTTTTGTTTTACATGTCTTTTAACACAGTATTAAAGCCTTAATAATCAAATTCTTATTTCTCTTATAATTAATCAAATACAAAATAGTATGAGTCTATACAAATTTCAAATTAAAATAAACTCAAAGGATTTTCATTTAAGAAAATACATTAAAAAATAATATAAATCATATTTTAGAGGGTCGTTTAACAATTTAAATTTTTGAATTGAGATGGTTTTTTAAAAAGAAAGAGATACGTATCTCATTCTCTTGAATGAATGAGTATAACCCTAAACAAAGAAATAATGGATATAATATCCATTGCCTCCTTACATTTAATATTCTTGGATCCTTCCAATTAATTTGAAAGAATAAGGTGATAGGCTTTTTTATTTTTTTTCTCTATTTATAAAACAAGAGATTCAATGAATATTGGGTGATCTAATGGATTTCCTCATCTTTAAACCTCACTCTATGGTTTTCAAGATTTTAACCACGTTTCTAAGGAGAAATTAATCACTTAAAAAAAAAAAGTAGTGATAAATCTTAAAGTTTTGGACTACAATGATAACCCATTAGAAATCAACAATAACAAAAATTGTTCGAACCTCACCTTTGTTACAAAGAAAAAAACAAAAACAAAGTTTTACTTTCTAACTTGCACTCATAAATGCAAAAACAAGTTCAAGAAAATAAATAAATAAATAAATAAAACCTTAAAATTTATATACAATCCACATGAGGGGGAGAACGTAATTGCATACGTAATGCTATTCGTTATCTATTCGTAGGCCGTAGCCACAACGAAAGTCTCTCAATCGAAGGTTGACTTTCTTTCCAAATACCAACGCCTCCCCGACAATCATAAACCTTGATTTTCACGGGCCTTTGATAGTCCAAATCATGGCCTTTCTTAATCCGAGATTTGACCTAAACGGCGTTATGATGGGCTCATAAACCCATTCACGGTCAAAGGCTGTATTTTCAACAGTTACACGACGTCGAAATGTCAATTTTGAATCCCGAACCCAACGTTTCTTTTTGCATGTCAAAGTCAGAACACTGGAACACACTAGCAAATAGAAAAACAGGTACTTTTATTTTTATTTTTTCAGGAACAGAAGAAAAGCACCTAATGAAATTTGGTAAGTCATAAGAAAGCAGCAGAAAAGATGAAGTAAGCGTACAAGTTGGTCCCTTTGAAAAGAAAAATGTTGGAATTAAACAAAGTGATTATTAGTCTTCAATCCTTATGTTTTAAGATTTAATCTTCTAGCAGGCCTTGGTTTTCTTATCAGCATATGACTTATTATGAATTCTTGGTAAAATTGGTTTCTTGGTAAATGTAGAATTTGTTATTGATTGACGTAGAGTTTATATAAATATAAGAGGTTGGTTTTTTTGTTTGAAGTGTGTGTATAGGTTTAAAAAACACACTTGTGCCGAATGTGTGGATTGAGTTATATTCAATTGGTTTTATCATTTGTGCACAGTTAATAAATAAAATATTATATTTGGGTATTTTATTTTTTTACAATAATAATAATAATAATAAAATATATCTATCCGTTTGTAAATATTAAACGAGCTCTGGCATTGAAGAGGGACAAATCAAATTGTGTTTGTGTGTGCAAAGACAATCTGATGATCAGTAATGAAATTCAAATACGTAGATTTGTAGGCCGGGACAAATAAAATATGGGCCTGTTGGGCTAGATAAGCAATGGTTTTGTTAGAAGTCGGCTTTGCACAGACCCAGTATAACTGTCCAAAGTGAAAGAGAAGGAAATGTTAAACTCAGTTCATTCTACAGGCCGGGTTACTCGAATGAGCTCACTCAAATTATTTTAGAATTATAGGATCTCTGCATTTATTATCCGTTGGAAAAAAAAATTTAATACTCT